ATTACATCAGTGAAACGGTAAAAGAAATGTGTCCATGACTGTGAACATATACATTCAGGTACATAGACCACCATATAATGCAGATAGTAGATAACTAATATTGTGCAACACTTGGTTCTACGATGGTAAAAGACCGGTTTCTTCAGAATGTACACAAAGATAAATGTTGGTGCACCTTCAAGGATAAGAATACCCGACCTAGTGGGCGTGAGTCGCGTTCTTTCTCACTAAACCGACAAAATAAAGCTTACATGTTTATTCTTCGTTAAAATATGCTATCTATTTTATTATTCCCTTAAGCTATAATATATATATAGATATAAGTTACAATATAAAAACATCATTTTCACTCCTACGTTGTTACGAAACAAAACACGACCAAAAGCATATATTAATTGTCAACTTTTTTCAAGTATCCTGTAGTATACGCGAATATGTAATACATACATCCAATGTAGGGTTTTAGTTTAAAATAAGTTAAGATATATCTCGTTCCTAACCGTTAATATTTTACTATTGATGGCTACGAATATTGATGCTCTTATCGAAGCCAATATATTATGTATCAATATGCTATCCGAAAGTCGATAAACTTATTATACTTAAATATAATAAATCATTCCATTACCCAGATGTGTCCACAAAGCACCATTTTCTAAGATATTTTCCTGCCCACAAATTGGGGATTATCCGAAAACGGTGGAGTATACAAAAAGAAACAAAGGGACGATCTTCGATAGAAATATGGTTGTAATACAATAAGATGACACTCTTTGCTATTTACAGATTCAGGACTGTAACATTGACTTTCATATTACAACATAAGATCTATATCAGAATCGTTCAACAAATTTTTGGGTATTTCATTGAAATTTGATGAAATGCCGAAATACAACAATAAAAATGCCCTTTTATAAAATCTTTAAGTTTCTAAAAGTATTAGACGTGAGTACCTCAATCTATATTAATATTATAAATAGGAAAGATTTGTATTTTTGTATGTAACGGGTAAACTCAAAAAATACTGTACCGATTTTAATAATTATTTTTCCATTAGAAAGCTACATTATCACTGAGTAACATAGGCCATATTTAGTACTCGATTACTATAGATATCTATAGAAATTCTTACTAAAATCAACGGAAGGCGTAAAAAAAATTAACCGACAAAAAATGTTCGACAATATTATAGAATATTTTTGAATTTCTTATTTGTATATCTACAAATTGATAGAAATGCCGATCAAAATCTGGCCGTGTTATCCGTACCATTTATAAATGTATATCCGAATAAATAATATAATATTCAAGACTGTCTCAATACCTGATGATTACTTTTTTAATTATTGAAATCGGACATTCCATTCAAAAGATATCACGAAGTTAAAATAAAAATGCATGCCGGCGGTGGCCGCCACGCCGCGCATCGAGTATCTAATTCGATGATAGAGGGGCAGTGGGCTCCTTACGCAGTGGGCGCGAACGACATTGATTATTTCGACTTTTTTTTATCATATTTCATACTTCACTTAAAAAGTTCTTTTCAAAGCTACTTAGTTTAGTATTAGGAATCACACTTTGCATAATATTTGTCAAAGTTCTTTTCAGAATTATCGCTTTGAACTTGAATATTTTCTTTTGTAATAACATTAGTTTATTCTTAATTTCTCTGATTTAAAATAAATATCCTTCATAGCAATATGAAGAAGAAGGTAGCTAAGCAGCTATCTAAGAATAGTTCCCAAGCGAGATTAGCAAAGTTTGTCGTATTGGAGAGTCTTCTTCCTAAAATGATCATCTGGAAAGTATTAGAGTGTACGCGCCCCACGGTAGGACTTCGCAAACGCGTCCACGGGACTCTAACGCTGAACTCTTGCAGCGGCTCCTGACACAGCGTGATAGACAAAGGTCATTAACAGCTAGGACGCGAAATACATTTTTTTTTCTAATTTAGTGATTCATGATCGTTTTAATTACCATGCTTATAACTTTAATATCTGTACTTATCTATCATGTCTACCCGTGCGAAGCCGGGACAGGGCCGCTAGTTTGTGAATAAAATTATGCCCGTGGATTTCTGTCACTTCCATGTATAGACTTTTACATTCTAAAAATACTCGTATCTATAATTTGTGCATTCAGCACTTCAATCAATAAAAAAAAACAGGCATTAAGAAATACTTTAATACGGGGACTGATATCGCACAATAATTCTATTTATATAGCGCACTAGTTAGCTCCTGATTCAAAAAGTTCTTAATTCTAACAAAACTGTGATAATCCCGCTATTATGGTCCTTGCAAATATTACACGGCAGATAAAAAAATATTTTTGTGTAATTGTATTCGCAGACTTATGAACGACGGCATATCTTAATGCCGTAAAGCTGGGTCTTTATGACCTACCCAGGGTCATGGGCACTATTCAAATTAGTAATTTTATAGACAGATTTCTGAATATCAGAAGTCAAAATAGAACGACACGACATCTTAATGTTGGACGGGAGTCTACCCAGGGTCGGATGCTCGCCTGGCCCATTGTTTTCAAACACATCTAGTCAATAATCTTAATTACGAACAGGCATTCCTATTTTTTTCATATAATATGTAATCACTATTCAGGTTTCTTTCTTTTATTACAAATGAATTACTATAAACCTTAACGAACAACAGACCGAGAATTTCGCATTTTGCATTGATAAGTCTAAAGTCCTAGAAATTTCCTGAAACAAAGCGCACTTAGTTATAACGAGACTGGATTATAATCCGAGCTTTGAAGTACTTTACGAGTGTCTCGCAAAACCCGATCGTCATCCGGGGAGCGTATAATGAATTTCTAATAAAATTAAAGTAGTAGTTGAATACTGTCTATAATTTACGTGAGTAGTATTAAATAAAACACTTTAACGGTTTAAAACGCGATATATATTTTAATTACCGCCCAACGTTTCGTATGCTTTGCAGCAGTCTTGGTTATATTGCGTTTGTAACCGTTGAAGTGTTTTATTTAAATAAGGTAGTAGTATTTAAATAAAACACTATAACGGTTTAAAACGCGATTGATTGATTTGAATTTGAATATATATATTAGTTAAACTTATTTGGAAATGATTTTTAACTTCGGCCCGACGTTTCCGATACTTTGCAGCACCACGAAGTCAATCATTTCCAAATAAGTTAAACTAATATATCGCGTTTTAAACCGTTAAAGTGTTTTATTTAAATGTGTACTACTCGCGTAAACTATAGACAGTATTTAAGGTAGTAGTAATTATTTTAAGTGTCAGTTACCAGAAGGTTAAAACGGGAGCCTCTTAGTGGAAATGTTTACTGCGTCTGTCCGTCGCCAGGTCTATTCTCAATGAATCATAACTATTTCCGAATATCCTAAGCCAAAATGGGTCGACGACGCATCTTATTTAGATATTATAGGGCTAGGTTATTCACCTTCCAAGTTCGATCAAATAAACCCCAAAGTCTAAAAATCCTTAAAATAAAATATATTTTTTATTTCTCTTAAAATTACAACTTGGTTCCAGAGCCAGTGTCTGTAATTTTTTTCTATATATTGATTTTAAACTTGGTCAGCTAAAATAGTGCATGTGTGTTTTGTATTTGTGTATGCGTAAATAAGTGTGGGTGCAATAATATTTATATTAAACTAGCGACCCTCCCCGGTCTCACTCGGGTATAATGCTGGTACTAAATACACTAGAGAAAGACTGTGAACATATATAACCTTCCTCTTGAATCACTCTATCTATGAAAAAAACGGCATAAAAATCCGTTGCGTAATTTTAAAGATTTACTCGGTACATAGGGAAAAAAAAAAGCGACTTTGTTTTATACACTAGTGTTAAAATTATTTGTATTTCATTTTGAAAACATTCATATTTTTCAATGCAAGAGGCTTTATGTTTATAATATCGGGGGGGGGGAGCCCAATTGATAGAGCAACAGCACGGAACACTGACGATGCCGGTTCAAGTTCTGCCCGAGTCGAAACATTTATATTTTTAAGTATTTAACTTGTCTGTATGGCATTAGTTCTGTTCCCCCATATGATACTAAGTTACCACGCAAAATATCTTTTTTTCTTATTTACGAGTAGTACCCTGTCTCATGTTGTTATTGTAGATTTCTTATTTTTTACTACCACGTCTTGATTAATATTTTTACAATATCGGTATCCAATTAGGCATGCGCTTAATAGGAGCCCTCGCAAGGGAGTAAACCTAATTTTTTCCCTCTCGCACTAATGGGATCTCTATAAAATTATGTGACACTTAATGTCGATCTTCTTTACAGGGTTATGGCCCTAAATTAGGACTAACCTCAAAAAGTGTTGGTAACCAAAGCCAAATTAAACTCCTAATTTACGCATTGTGTTAGGTGTTGACAAAAACCAAAAGGATTAAATTTAATGTGTCGTCTAACCAACACTGACAATAAATCATTTAAAATTAGTGCAAAACGGGGTTTCAGATGCGTACGCTTCGATAACGGTTCAAGACACCCAAAAAAATATGTATGAAAGAACAATCCTTTAAAATAAAAAATAAGAAAGAACGGGGTCGTGAGCGATGGGACGCGACCGATGTCGTGGGCAGCTTAAATTTATAAAGATATAGAGGTTTGCAAAATCAAATTTGGATGGCCAAAGTAACTATTTTACGCGGACGAAGTCGCTGACACATCTAGTTTTAAATAAATGGGAAAAAAAACACATGGTAACTACTATACTTTTAATTGCATCCAACAAGTTAAATTTTAAGCTGATCCTTAACGTTTCAATACTTAATTAGTACGTACTTCCTAAAATATTTAATATTCTCTTTCACTCATTTGTCAGAATCAGATACAAAAATATGGAAAATAACAAAGGAAAATGCACACTCATCGTGAATGACTTAGAGTAAATAAAACGCATTCGCTTGTCCGTAGTTTCGTAAACTATTTGAACTTATTCAATAAACTATTCACAAGCCGAAGGGCTGGCCATCAATATGAAGCCACGATTTGTAGGTCACACCTCCACACGTTTTCTGAAACACCAATAATAATAGTAATGTAGTCATTACATTTATGCAAGTAGGATTTGCTGCTTTACAAGTCTTTCTTACTTAGTTCTAAGTTTTGATCATGATCAACTCAACTTGTCTTCTTGTTAAAGATGTATATTCCAAGACTGATGCTATCAAGTATAGCATATTGAGCTAAAATATCTTTTCATTAAATTATTTATGTGATAAATGACAAAACAACATCAAATAACCCTAAAGTCAATAATACTATAAAAAACATTGGGCTAAACTTGTTTTTTTTTCATTCTAAGAAGCTTAATAGACTATAATGGTACATAATTACTTTAAATGTTTATTATCTGTGGTTGCTTTACAGCAAGCGTTTACGAAACTCACCACTAGGTGTCGCTCTTCCAAAGCTTAATTGTCTTGTCGTTCTCGAGCGCTGCCGACGCGATAATGTTCTCCGTGGGATGGCAGGCAGTGCACAGAACCGTGTCCGTGTGCCCAGATAACCGTTGCACTATCTCCTTAGATTGCAGGTTCCATATGTATACGAGATTGTCTTCCGATCCAGATACTATCCACTGAAATTAGGTGTAGTGTAAGTAAAAATTACATCAACCAAAGAATCTGTTATTCTCGTCTAATATTTTTGACATCAACAACATTTCCAACATGTTTGAAATTAATTTTAAATTATTATTCTGAAACATGTTGGTGATAGGAATATTGATTAAGAACTACCGTCCAGAGATAAGATTATTTTAGTCTGTGGATATACAAAATATGGTAACAGGATGAAACTTGTTGAGATATCATGTGAATATGGCATATAATAGATTTGTAGAGTGACACAGTTCATGTTGACTTTTCTAGGTAACGTCATGTTTTTTTATAACCTTTGATAATTTTTTATCATGTCAGCTTAAATCGTATGTCGGTCAGTGAAGAGTTCCACGGGAAAAATGGGTTTTATGACAACCATATTAAAATTTAAAATAGACATAAAAATATCAGTAAATATAAATAACGAAAATAATTTACCTTTCCACCAGTAACACTAAAGTTAGCAAAAATACAGTATTTCTCATTCTTATGTCCAGTGTAAGTCTTGAGACATTTGCCCCGACTGTAGTCCCATAGCTTTAGCGTGTTGTCCAACGTCGCGGCGAGTATGTACTTTCCATTGGGGGAGAATTTCACAAAAGACACCGGGGGGTTGTCGTCGTCTATGAGGGTTTTAAGGCACTGACCAGATGCTGTATCCCAGATTCGACTGTTGAATAAAAAGGTGTAGATAAGTTAGTTATTTCAAACTGTATATAGTAATAAAGAACAGCACTCCATTGATATAAGACTTTCCTACAATCTTTGCAAAAACTCTGTGTGGACATGTAACTCTGATTTTTAAATAAAACACTTTAACGGTTTCAAACGCGATATATTAGTTTAACTTATTTTTAACTTCGGCCCGACGTTTCAGATGCTTTGCAGCAGTCGTGGTTACGGGAAGACGAAGTTAAAAATCATTTTCAAATACGTTTTACACCGTTAGTGTTTTATTTAAATGTGTACTACTCACGTTAACTATAGACAGTACTCTGATTTTTATTCATTATAAATTTGAATGTTGATTCTCAAACAGCTGCATATCTCAACTAGACTCTATACTACTTGCTACAGAGGAGCCCTCGGCTTCTTTGAAAACATTGCTTAGAGGACCTGACAGCCTCGACAAAGTGGTGGTAAATGTCGAGGGCAAAAGAACATGGAGTTGATGACCTACTCGAAGTTCTGACCCAGTGGCAAAGATGACGGGTTTCAGTGGACCAACCACTTTTGAACTAGCCGTTGATAGAAAACCATGGAGGCCGCTGTTATTCAACTTGATAAGATTTTGGAAAAACTACAAAGTGCATAGGCACCTTTAGGTGACTTGCGTCTAATAAAATTCATAAAAGTAATTTAAATCCCTTATCTTAAAACGCAGTTCACAGATACGATTTGCAAGGCTTCATATAACTTCTACTTTGTGCAAACTCATTTCTCAAGACGGATTTGATCGCTAAGCAAGTACATAAGTTATCGCGCTATAAATCGCGCGTAGTAAAGGATGTTTTAATTAAACCATTAGTCACTACACGTCGCAATGCAAGCTATTGCGCAACATATTTTTAAAATTACAATTGTGGAATTCCGTTTAGACAGCATAGGACACATATCTGTGGCCGTTTCACTAATAGATTTGATCAAAAGCAATTAATTTACCTATTAATACTGTCTTTTTTACGGAGTAGTACACATATAAATAAAACACTAACGGTTTAAACGTTATTATTAACTTATTTGAAAAATGATTTTTAACTAATATATCGCGTTTTAAACCCTTAAAGAGCGTTTTATTTAAAAGTTTACCAGGCTTCTGTGACCTGTCAGATCAAAACAATTTGTTTTCTTTGGGATCCTTGCTAAACGTCATTCAATGCAACATGTATTGAACTATGGAGGCAGAAAACGATTAACACTAACTCAGGTTCTTATTAGTCTTATTACATCAATCTTATTAGATTATAAATATTTAAGATTACCATATTCATACTATAACATCATATACATAATATATATCTAATACATCTAAAAAATAAAATGAATGTGATGGTTTACATGAAACTACAAATTATTAATAAATGCCCATCACAATAAATAATCTGTCTATTCTCTAAATAAACTACTAACGTTGCGCTTACCGCTCGCGTTTTTTACTGTTCGATTTCAAATTTTAATATATATTTTTTACAGAATTGGTCTTTTGGTTAAAGAAAAAAACCGATATAATTCACTATATTGCCCTCAATGCAGTTGCAATACCTTAGAATAAGTTCATACATCACCAATTTTTTTTTGATTGCACAACTTTTCTATTTTCAATTAAAAATGAGTGAGAACTGTCTTTTCCAATTGAAATTTTCCAGTTGTCATGCAAAGATTAGCCTATTCAAACGTTTGCTGACTCATCCACCGACCACAATTATAGATATTCAACCTTGAATTACACTTTTTGTGCCAAACTCGCCTAGCTGCTTATCTTTAGGCCTAACAAGTTAATTTAACATTACAACCTCAATCATTTCTGTATTATTATGCACCGTAGTGCCTTATCAAGTTGTAATAATAATAGGGATTATCAAGTAAGAATTTACTTCTTAAATAGTATGTTGGTACTTAGAAATGTTACTATGATTTCTGTTTTTCATCTAAAATATTATATACTATATAAAAAATATCTATTTTATAGATTATGATTAAACTTTAATACCTATTACAAATACAGATATTCTTTGTTGTGATAAAACAAAACAATACAAAACAAAAATTGATGGAAATAATTGTAAATAAATTATTTACCAATTTTTTTTTAATAACTGACGTTGCATAGTTTTTGTAAAGTCTCCTTCTAAAGGCTTTGACTTAAGGCAAATTGTTATTTTTGAAGTTTTCACTTCTTAAAATATATTTATGCAAACCGCTTTAATTTTAATGTACAACACTAAGATGAAGGGGCTTACAAAATAAATATTTACTAACTTTATATTTAATATGTGTATCTTGGACACCCATGTATCTGTAAAGTGTTTTTTCTTATTCAAAATTAATAAACTTCTTTTCTAGTCTACCAGGCTTCTTGGAGCTCCAAGATCTAGCCATTTCATCTAACAAAGTGGATATAAATCTGGCCCACAATTCATTTGAATAAGAAAGTATGCCTTTTCAGAATGTAATTAATTACTTACCATAAGCCGTCGTAACTTGAAGATACAATAAGGCTTCCATCTCTATTAAAATGCACAGCTGAGACTGGATCTGAATGCGCGGGGAGGGTTTTTAAACATTTCCCTGTAAAATAATTTTTGTGGTATTAATAAGTGATCCTTTTACCTATTAAAAACTTCGTAATAGGGCCATTTTAAGGCTGTACCAAACACAGTTAGGTGAAATTCTCGTTTTTGTAATACCAGAACGATGATTTCAAGATTATAAGTAATCAGTAATTTAAATCTGCTTTATTTAAAAGAAATTATAAATGATTACACAAAATGACACATTCTTATGTTTTTCTTGTACATAGTAATTAGTTTATTAATCAATAAATATTTATAAAATCAATGTTACCTGTTCTTACATCCCATATTCGCACACTCTCGTCAAAACTACCAGAAACAATAAGATTACTCTGTGGGTTAAAATTGCAGCAGAATACATAATTGCTATGTCCTTTTAGTGTCTTCAAACATTTGCCTGAACTTAATTCCCAAACCTGAAACAATTCCGAAATTATATTGAAAATTTAAGTATTGTCTGTCTGTACAATGGCTGCTGTAATGCATTTGGTCATAGTTAAAATACAATATAGATAAGTTACCTAAGAAATTTTACATTTTGAGCAGTTAACAAGTGTTTTTATTCACATTGAGAAAGTAATTAGGTTTTATTTATAGGAAAAAATATTTCAAAGTTCCATAGTACAACATATTAAACTATTTGTGGTGTGTTATTATTATATATTAATATTAATACTACACATGTAAGGGGTACCCTTTATATGTATAGTGCACTTTGAACAAACTTTAGACAGATAACTTGATTAAACACCTAGTAAACATTCCTATCAGTAAGTCATTGCATCTTATCTTTCATTTATAGATAAAGGGTTCAAGAACCGTGAGAATTGATGCCTTAAACATACATTATTTTTTGGTGAAACATTTAACTTCATAAAACCTCCACAATTTAGGAGCTTTGATTAGACACAAAATTTTCTAGTAAAATATACCTTAAGTGTTTTGTCATCACTAGCGCTGACAATCAATCTACTATCAGATGACCATGCTACGTCACTGATGCCCATCTTGTGTCCAGATATGGTCTTTTCAAATTTTCCATCATACGCACCCCACACTTTGATGAGTTTATCGGCAGCTGAAATTAATTATTTTAAGTATTAGTTAGACTTGAGAGATACAATATGGAAGTATTAGCATATTTCAAAATATTAAAAAAAAATACATAATTTAAGTAAATCTTATATTTTAGATTTGGAAATCGACAGAGAAAGAAATTAACAAGCCTTGAATAGTTATCACCTCACATGTTGAATGTAAATTTTGAATGTTGCTATGTGACCTACTTAGTTCATAGCATATACAACAGTTGTGACATTAGTGAAAAATATTGGAATAAACTATTTATATTAATGGTATATATATAAATGGTTTGATTTCATGTATCATAATAAGAATCCTATTAAAATTGTAATAAAATTATTTATTAATTAATTTAGTAAAATGCTGAATGACAATGCATAATAAATTTGGAATATTGTTTATTTCCATTAAACATTGTATTATTCTAAATAGGAATACTTAAAAAACCGAAGATAAACAATAACAAACTGGGTTAGTGGTTTATGATACACGACCTATGATCGAAAACAAATTTAAATATAAGCGATAAAAATACGTCAACTTACAGGAACTAGCGAGCCATTCGCCATTTGGACTAAATTTAACAGACGAGACCGCCTTCGTGTGACCAGCGAGGGTAAATTTGAGCGTGTAATTCGGCTTCTGAAATCAGTTATCAAAATTAGCGCGAAATCGCACGTGCTCCGTTCTACAGTTACATAAACATGTGCGAGCCGCGAGAGTGACGTTATGCGTTGTAATATTTCAGTCAATATGAACTCACCGCGACCGACGATTTATTAGATTGCGAGGAACTCTGTGATAAAGAATTTGGGCCGGTTAAGTTGCTCGAGGGACCGCCGTGAGTTTGATGTGCGGCAGGATGGCCTGGCCCGGGCCCTAGCGGCACCATGTTTCAACTTTTGACGCACTTATTTGGTGTATATTCGTCACCCACTACAATCACTAATACACTCCGAACTGTAGTTTAAATCCAACTCTCTTGTACACACGAAACCAAACTTATCACGCACTTGGAAAGTTTCATAAATTTTAACGTAGATTTTCAAGGAACATTCTAAATCCGAGCGTCTCGATGCGTGCATTTCGCGAAGAACGTACAGTGCTGCCAACATGAGCAAACAAGAGTTCCCTCCCGAATTCCCTCCCCGCATCACCCGCAAGCTACTGCAGCGGCTTTACCAACATAAGTATATGAATAATAAGACAATAATTAAATATAAATTATATTTTCTTACTTATTTGCATAAATTAGTAATTTGATTTTGATTTCATTTAATCTTTATTAAAGTATGTGTACGTGTAGTTGCTATATGTAAATATACTTGTAATAATATTGCTACTGGCAAGTATAGTTGACCCTTTTGACATTCGCAAATCGCAAGGTCAAAATTGATTAACAAATTTTAGAATTATTTCAAAAAGCCGATATAAAGTTGATATATTAAATTGAGGCAGATTAAAATAATGGCTTTAAATAAATTGAGCATCGATGCTGTTAATTTAGGTGGCAAGCGCGTTTTGATGAGGTATGGCAAACTTTCGAAGAATCGTTTGCAATTTATTTTAGATTTGTGTCTACTAAACTGAGTATTTTGCTTTCAGAGTGGACTTTAATGTTCCTCTAAAAGACGGAGCGATCACCAACAACCAGCGGATTGTAGCAGCCTTGGATTCAGTTAAATATGCTTTGGATAAAGGAGCCAAATCTGTTGTTCTTATGTCACATCTCGGCCGGCCTGACGGTCAAGCAAATCCAAAATACTCTCTCAAACCCGTAGCTGAGGAACTTAAAAAGTTACTAAACAGGTAATAATTGGCAAGAGCTACAAGCTAAGTTCAGTTAAAAGAAACATACAAACACAGTTAAAGCAATAAATAATTTATTATTTACAATTTTTTTAACATTTCTTTTATTTTTCAAATTAGAGACATACAGTTCCTTCCGGACTGCGTTGGGGCTGAGGTAGAAGCTACCTGTGCTGATCCTCCTGTAGGCTCAGTTGTATTGTTAGAAAACTTACGTTACCATATTGAAGAGGAAGGAAAGGGGGTTTATGCTAGTGGAGCTAAGGTAAAGGCTGATCCTGAGAAAGTAAAGGCCTTCAGAGCAAGCTTAAGGAAGCTCGGAGATGTTTACATAAATGATGCCTTTGGTAATTTTTTCTCTGATATTGTCTATATATAATTTGTGTAACTTCAATGGCATGTTAACTAAAACTTTTGATTTTTACAATACTTAACTTTCCAATACCGTGCTTTCAAGAGATGTTGTCTTTTGGGCAGGTACTGCTCACAGGGCACATAGTTCCATGATGGGTGAAGGCTTCGACCAAAGAGCCAGTGGGTTCTTGTTGAAGAAGGAATTGCAGTACTTCGCCAAAGCTCTTCATGAACCAGAAAGGTGTGTTGAATAGCTGTTACTATATAACTGATGTAATACAATTTGAGCACAGAAGTAGATATTTTTCAACATACTTTTCTTTGAAATTCAGGCCATTCCTGGCCATCTTGGGTGGTGCAAAGGTAGCCGACAAAATCCTGCTGATTGAAAATCTATTGGATAAAGTCAATGAAATGATCATCGGTGGTGGTATGGCTTATACATTTTTGAAGGAAACTAAGGGCATGGCTGTAAGTTTTAACTTGAACATAAAAAAAATTATAAAGCATGGGTTATTACTTTTTATTGGAGACTCGAAAAAGTTGGGGGATCAGTCCAAACTATAAGCTGACTATTTCACCGATTTCCCCATTTCCATAGTGTGAGTTCTATTTCTGTGTGATGTCCTACCTGATCTAAATAGTTTTGGTTAAAATATTTAAAAATTGGACAACACATGTAACTATACCAGACCACAAAGATGTGGAAATAGAATATAAGATGCTTTTATTCCCATATTATTGTTTTAGATTGGCAACTCATTGTATGATGCGGAGGGAGCAAAAATTGTTACTAAATTGTTGGAAAAGGCAGCTAAGAATAATGTGAAAGTGCACCTTCCTGTTGACTTTGTCACCGCAGACAAGTTTGATGAAAATGCACAGGTAATTGAATTTTATAATTTCCTAATGTAACCTAATTTCCATCATATCTTGCCTTTCTCAAAATGCAAAGTAAATCGTAAATAAAAAATTTACTGACATAGTCGGTTTCACAGTTAATAAACTATTTCTCCTGACATTTTTATTTTTGATTTAACCTATAACTTCCTCATGGCCTATTTTGAAAACATCTACTAAATGTTTTAATAAAATATTAGTTTTGAGTTGTAGTAATATTTTATATCAAAGATATTTCCCCCCAAGGTTGGTGCAGCAGATGTCGACAGTGGTATCCCCGAAGGCTGGATGGGTTTGGATGTCGGACCAAAGAGTAGGGAGCTTTTTGCTGATCCTATTGCAAGAGCTAAGGTCATTGTCTGGAATGGGTTAGTTACTATGTATCACATTATTCAAAACTACTTTTAAGTGTATGTATATATGTAATGTCAGTAATTAGCTAATTATTGAGTTTGACTTTACTCAGTAAGGTATTTGTGCATGAGCTAAAATTTATATATTAACTTTAAATATTCTATATTTTAGTAACATGTATGACGTCGCCTAGCAACCAACAATTTCCTTTAAAACTACTGTAATAAAAGTACTTATTTAATGTGTGGATTGATCTTTTTGTGTAACAGCCCTGCTGGCGTATTTGAATTCGAGAAGTTTGCTGGTGGTACCCGCGCATTAATGGACGGCGTTGTCAAAGCAACGGCTGGCGGAGCTATCACTATTATTGGTAAGATTCCTATGTCACTAAATTATTGATTGTAATAAATGTATGGGAGCATATTACGTACATTTACTTACTTTATTCTTATTATTAATCTTATCAGATTATGTCGTCCAATAAGACTGAAATTTACAAATTATGTTATGGAAATTACTATGAATAGACTAAAACTATCTACGTAATAGACTTACAATATAAGTTAAATAATTATTTCAAGCTTACGTTAAAAGAAAAAACTATTCTTGTATATATATATATATATATATATATAAAAAATCGATATAATATAAAAACCATTGCGCCTAAAATGTAAGATATTCTTAGATTATCATTTTTATATTGCCAATATAGCTTGTTTAGGGCTAAATTGAAACCCCTCTGTTACATGTACCTCTACCTGTACAAACATCTCAAATTATTCATTTTTTTTAAGGTGGTGGTGACACAGCGACCTGTTGCGCAAAATGGGGCACCGAGGACAAAGTATCTCATGTGTCAACCGGTGGTGGTGCCTCCTTAGAGCTACTTGAAGGTAAAAACTTATACCAGGGTGCGCCAGACTGCACGTGATTTTTTTATAGAATGTCGTTCGGAATGTTCTCAGTAATTTAGGCATAGTTTCTTCTTCGAATTAAGATCTGATTGAATCTTCTGACAATCGGATGAATCATAGTCTTGATAATTGCAAATTGTCTTAGCCATCTACAGAGAAAATATATTTAGAAATAAATACAGAACTGTAGACTTGTTATTTCACCTAATGAACTTATAAAAAGTATTTAAAGCCTAAAACACTGAACGTATCTTGTATTTGTGCCGCAGTAGAGAGAATGCAATAAATGTATTTATTAGATCTATAACTCTTTTAAATCTTTTTCTTTTGACGCACACTTACAAATGCTGGTTCAAACGCTGAAAAAAGTTGGCAATTAATGCCATTTAAATAAAACACTAACTGTTTAAAACGCGATACATTTTAGTTAAATTAGTTTGAAAATTAATTTTAACTACGGCCCGACGTTTCGGATGCTATACAGCAGTCGTGGTCACGGGGAGACCGTAGTTAAAAATAATTTTTAAACAAGTTTAACTAAAATTAACTTAATATTTAGTTCTTGTTATACGTATTTTATAAACATATTAACCGTTGTATGGGGAGGTCAATTATTACAGTGATTAGATATACATTTTTTTAAATACATATTTATCAATCACAGGCTTTTGTATCTCACACGAAGCAATATTTCGTTGCCTCCAGGGAATCTCAATTTCACGCTTATAATTGTCAATTTGGTATTGATAAGGGATGTTAGAATGACGTTTAAATTAAGTGGATCTAAAAGGTTTATTTATTATATTCCCTAGCTGTACGGATTCTGAACAATGAAATCAACTACTTCTAAGTACGTACGACGGTAAATTGTTGGCAAATAAAATTGCCACACGCGATCACGGCTACACTCGAAACGTCAGGCCGTTGTTAAATAATGAATTAAAACAAATTATTCGTTAAAACCAAGTTAACTAGTACGAAGTAAATTATCATACTGATAAGGCGGGGCGTAATATTTTTTTATCACACTCGCGTCTTTAAATTCACGAACCAAATTTTTTAAAATTCTTTTAAACCCGCCAACGCGCATTGATGCAGTGTGGTAGCTTTAAGCTCTTTGCCCCTATTAAAGAGAAGTCTAAGACACTTAGACACTATCAGTTTGAAATTATATAAAATGGGATTACTTAAACCAATGAACGTCACTGTCGTTGGGTCATTGGGTTAGATTAACATGTTCGTCCGCGTCACAGCGCAATCGAATTTGTGAAATTACGTCACCCGGATCTGCATAGCGTTAATTCAGTGTCGGGTATCGATGTAACTTTTTTAATTAACTTGAATTTCCGCTAGCGAAACTTCTTAGCCCCAAAGCAAAGTGCTTTAATAACGGTAGATTGGCCGAGTGTTCTTCTTAATAGGGTAGTATTGGTTGCCATTAATTATTAATTTAATAAAAACTTTAAATGTTTCAAAACACGACATATATTAATTTACCTTTAATAAAAAATAATTTGACTATGTATTTAAACCGCGAAAATTCTTTGATTGCGTACCCACGAAAACTAGTACTGTACATAATTTGGGGAAAAAAGTCAATTAATTATTATATTTGTATTTTGATGTAACGAATCCCAAAAAAAAACCCCTCCCCCCCCCCCCCCCTTTTTTTTATCCCCAGTATATCTATATATTCTTATTATAATTCTAATTATAGTTCCAAAAATTGTTTTTCACCATCACAACAGTGTCATCAAAGTCATATTTCGAATAATAAAATCAATCGAACCGCGTAAATAAAGTAACAACATACATACTTGCAAATGTAATAAGGAGACCATTCTTACCTACAATTTTTACATTTAATACGGATGTTTAACTAATTTATTTATTGCAGGTAAAGTTCTACCCGGAGTAGCAGCGCTCTCTGATGCTTAGAGGAATTTTAAGCACAAGCGAATATCAACTGTTTAACCTATAAACACATCCCCTATAGCAATATTATAAAGGCCATTAAAATTATTTATAGAAAATTACACGCTGAATTAAGCGTTAGAGATTATAGACTTACTCTTTGAAGCGCATGATTTGATAATATTATGACAGTGTGTCGTGTGTTGTATAGATTTTTGTTATGTTAAGAATAAATGTTGCTAAATTTTCTTGGGTTTTCTTTTACCCTAACCGAGAGGGGGGATCAAGAGAGGTATAGACGAATGTGTTATTTTTTATGTCAGTTATTATTAGTAGTGATATATACCCGTAACACAAATTCTTGGGCTGAAGCTTGTCTGCCCTCATCTGTGATAAAATCAAACGCTCGTTGATCTAATAGCAGTAATATAATATGGCTAATAATTAACGGGCTACAATCTCACATGTGAATTGATTCAATCAATTTATATTTTTTCTGAAACACGTACTTTGTCTGGAAAACTGAATATTTAACATGTGGTAGGAATATCGAAATCCCATCCGCGTCACGAACCACGGTTCACAATTAAACGCCGTGTACGTATAATATGTTTATTGTTTAAGGTGGTAATGTGTGGCTTAAATTTATCAACATGAAAAAGTTTGCAAAAACAAATTTGGATCCCCAAAATTTCTATTCTACGCGAACGAAGTCGCTGACACGGCTAGTTTATCATAAAAAAGATACTAAAATTTTAAAGACCATATAGTGAGCAAAAGTACGGGTCGTATTTATTCACAAGATTCCTCATCATTGATCAACCTAACCATTGTTAGTAATAAAAGTTTAAACATTTTTTTTATTTGTCTACAAAGGAGACGTCTCACAATTTTAATACGCCTTACAAAAGCAACACCTTTTATGACTTGAAATCGCGTTCGCTTATCACTCGGACGTCTCATTGACTCGTGTATCAAGTCAATACGTAATAACATCGCAATAAGGATTTAGATCCATCTCTGTCAAACGTATGTCTATCGCTTTGATTTCTACCTGTTAGCTTTATCGATCTGTTGATCGCGCAAGCGTGCTACTAACTTATTTTTCAGTAATTAGTCTAAGACCTGTTTAGTTCAATAAAAGAATTATAACGACAGTCTCAGCTCGGAAGATGTGTTGCAAAGGTGTGACGATTAAATGACCTGATGATGAGTTCGATGATGTTCCGCGCATGCTCAGATGAAAGCGTTTTATCATAACATTTTTCGGGCTAGTCTCAAACAGACCGGATGGTAGGCCGGTGCACCGGCTACCAATAAAATGAATAATTTAATTTGTATAACGTTGCCGCCTTGATTGCAAACAAAAATGATCTATGAAAACTATAGTTCTACGTCAATTGTTTATTAGTATAGATTATGATATAGGCAATCTAGGTAAATCTGTTAGCAGGTGAGTTGGCGATGTTTTAGTGTCGTGTTAGAAGTGTTAATAATTTAGGGACGTTTAAAATTAAATTTTATTGTGTGCGGTTAGAGTGCATATTGCAATGGAGTGGGGAGCGAATTTTGATAGGGCTCCTTAATATAGCTAACATACGTGAGGGACGAAGGTGGGTTAATTTATTCTTTAGAAGTAAGGTATACTCTTGTCATAAGACTTTGTATAGCAGCACTTGAAAAATATAACGTGCAGTGATTTTTCTTTCACTTCCCTTGGAGTTTAAAAGTTTCAACTTTGTAGCGAGGTTTGTAAAATTGAAGTAATTGTATGGTTTATGGAACCAACTAATAGCAGAAGTCACGCGAACCGAGGTTTATTTTCCTAAAACTTAGCTTCATAGGCATTGTTCGTTTAGATATACTTACAGTTAAATAGATGTACCTATTTAAATAAAACACTTTAACGGTTTAAAACGCGATATATTAGTTAAACTTATTTGAAAATTATTTTTCTTGGTCTCCCCGTGACCACGGCTGCTGCAAAGCATCCGAAACGTCGGGCCGAAGTTAAAAATCATTTTCAAATAAGTTTAACTAATATATCGCGTTTTAAACCGTTAAAGTGTTTTATTTAAATGTGTACTACTCACGTAAACTATAGACAGTATTTAAATGTACTTATAAAAATAAACATTGGGGGAGAAACCTTGAGAAACATTTTGTAATCTCATAGATGAAATAAATTTAATATACCTAAATAAATATAACAGAAACGTACGCTCAGAAAAATCATGGGTCATTACTTATCGCCCTTTCAAATAACTAATGAATTAGATTATTTTAGATAATGCGTGAATGGGACAAACAAACATAATATATATTTTAATATTCTTACAGTTTTTCGTCTTTTGTTTTTTATTAATGTCCCCATTATTGATTAATCGAATAATATTATACTTCGCTTGTCTCAAAGATATTATATCACGAATATACTATATATATAGTATATTCGTGATATGTGTGTTGTGTGTGGGAGTGGGGTTTACGAAAAATTTTGTTATAGTCAGTGAAATTTATAGAAAAGTTTATACATAAGTCATGAATGTTAACGAACGCTGTAAAATAAGAGCCATTAGCAAATGAAAGTTTTAGTAGGTGCGAGACATAAGATGCCCGACTGGTGGTGGTTGATCCTAGCAGCACTTTTCGGTGCTGCATCAGCGCTGGCTGTTCCAATTGCGTTGTTCCTGTACTTCATTCGGCCTTTTGAAAAGGCGCCGCCGGCGAATGAAGACTTTAGCATACCGATTACAATACCTCCAGTAAGTAAAAACTATTTTACAGGTAGGATATGTAAAATTGCTTCTGTGTCCAGCCCGGCCTGGCTATATTCTGATTCGAACCCAGAACTAATTACGGTTAATGCAATGCTAGACTACGTTTTAACCATTGCATTACAAGGCATTGGCCACGTGTGGGACACTATATATTGTTGTAAAAAAAAATTAACTTCGTAACCACATCGTCTTCTAATAAGTAAGTTAGTTGTCCTGTTTTTGTTTTTTTCGATTAGCTAATATAATTATTATAACGAAATAGTAGTAGTTAATAGTTTTCACTATGCTCTATACAGTTTTATTAGTAGGTACATATTTATTACGCACGTGCGAGATATAAGACGAAGTAATATTTTGTACCTTGCAAGTTAAGTGGATCTAATACGTTTATTTTTGTATTCGGATTGAACAATTAAATTAATGACTTTTACTGAAGTGTGCGACAACAATTTATTGACAAATAAAAATAAACGTCCTCCCGTGACCACGGCTGCAATGCATCGTAAACGTCAGGCCATAATTAAATGATATAAAAAATCAGTTGCCTAATATATTATGTCGCGTTTTAAATTGTTAATTTTAAAGTGTAGTAGGTACTACTCGCGTAAACTCCAAACAATACTTAAAAGTAAAGCTTTCCTTTCTCGATTATGTTATTTATCTACATTTCGCTGTACTTAACACACGAATGCATTTTATTAGATGTACGTTTCCGTAAAATATTGGATGAAGCCCAAAAGCCTATCAAGTATTTACGACGAGGTCCACGTGAAAAATGTTATTTGGACCACTATGAAAATTGGATGTTACGATACTGGTAAAAAAGAAGATGGCGGTACACTTTGGCGGTAATGAACTCCCAAAAAGTAAAAAGTAATGTTTGCAAAAAGCTCTCACAAAACTGGGCTTCTCGTAGCGCTTTATCTCCTACGCGAAAAACAAACAAACGACGGCTAGAAGAAAGAAAGAAGAATTATTTTATGGCCTAAAAGGCAATAAACCCTTTCAAAGTGTAATTTATATTTTGCATGATCCAGATATATTTCTGTGTTCGTTTATTATTATTCTTATAAGAATAAAGCTTTTAAAAGAAAGCAGATCGTTTTGCTTTAGGCGGACATTTTTCTGTGGCCGTTTTCATTATTCTTATCTATAGTTGCTACATTATAGCACAAAAGGCAATAATCTCTTTAAGAACTAGTGTGTTTTCTTCTGCATGAAGCGGATATACTTCTGTGTCCGTGTGTTATGAATCTTATTTATAGTTGCTAGGTTATCGGACGCGTTTAACGTCATCTATCAATTAATCATCTCTCTTGCAAGAAGCCTCGTTTTAATTTGAACCATGGGCCATATTGCAACCACGACTATTTATAGTAAAGTTAGTAATTTTTAAATATAATTGCATAAGGAAATAGCTCAAAACAACATACAGATAATATCATAATCACTTATAATCTACCGCCTTTATAATAACTAAATCTATAATTGGCGTTGACCGTTTAAATAATTATTAAAAAAGTAGTTTACCTAGGCGAACGGTACATATTATGTATTATTATTATCTATTGACTTACAGCAGTCATGGTCAAGGTGCTCGAAATGAAGGGTCACAGTTATACATTAATATCCTCATAAAGGTGGAGTTTTAAACCGTTAGAATAAATATGCAGAAGATTACGTCCAAAGAATCGTAAACATCGCGACTTTACGGCGCCGCTCTCTCCTCTGTATTGCAAGCCCTCTAATAATCTTTCGCCCTAATTCTCTGACGTGCAACATAAAAAGACGCCTTAATTAACGATCGTTTTATGTTAGGGCTCCCGCAGACAGGCCATTTTTCCTAGAGTTCTTACAATTCAGCCGGTGGTCACACGCTACAAAACAAAATGTATAAACTACAAGAAGAGAAAAGGTGCAATAAACAGACAGACAAGAAACACAAAAGGAGTTCATAAAATTTTAAAAATTGCAATCAGACTCTTATCTTATTTGTTTGTTTATTTAATTACCAGCTAACGCGACTTCGTCCGGTTGAATAGTTATTGGGGCATCAAAAGTAATAGCGAACGACCTCCTCAGTAAAAATTTACAGCTGTTACCACGATGTCGTCCGCGTCCCATCATCATTTTTAAAGATTTTTTTTAGATCATTTACAGGAACTCTACTCTATCATACACACTTTTCGGTTCCTTAAACCATTTTCGAAGCGCACAAAAAAGAAAGCCATCTAAGATGAATAATTTTTCCGGCTTTTTTCCTTATATTTCCAAACGTTTTCCCGCTCCTATTGGCCCTATGATCCAGATAGATATGTAATCGATAATGGTATATCGAACATGTAAACTATTTTTCAAATAGAACCTGAAAGGAGGTCCTGAAAATAACGCGTTTAACATCAACAAACCACACAACAATATAAAACAAAATTCTAAAGTGAAAAAAGGCTTTATAATCTAAAATTTGTTATATAAATAATTTCAGGAAATCCTAAATGAACTTACCCGGGGCGCCGGAAGTACATCGGAAGGAGCGCTAAATGGAATGCTTCAGTTCATATTTCAGCAGAGCACAGCTGACACAAGATGGCTCAGGCGACGTATGGCCACCGAGTTGGCTGAATTACTCGCTAAGACTTCTTCGGGGAAGATATTTGAATCTCTTACAGTAAGTCTTTTTCATACGATTAGGCATTATACAAATTTAAAAATCGATTTTAGATTTAAACACTGGCAAATAGTACTTAACACGTCACTTAAGTATTAAATACTATTTACCAAGTTAAGTTAAGTTAAGTTAAGTTTGAAATTACATTGCGCGAGTGGTGCATGTATTAATGGCTTGAACGGTGTGAATACCTGTTCTAGTCCCACCCGCGTCGCGAAAGTTTTATCTAAAATTAATTTTTAATTTAACAAAATAACTTATTTTTTTAATTAAGTAATTGAGGATAACGTAACCATGACAACCAGTTATAACAGTCTGAATAACATTATAGATTATTCAATAAACAATATTGGTATTATTATTGGAGGGGATAAAAAAAAAAAAAAAGCTATTTCGAGTACAAATTTTATAATCAAAGACGTACAAAGCTCGAGTGTCCCGGGATCCTAGTTACATTAGTAAAAAAACTCCTTTAAAGTCGTTGTTACCCACATATCAGTATTTTTTGCAAAATAACACATTTAACGGTTGTGTTGCATTGTGCTATCATAAAAGCCTTATTTTTATATTAATTTTCAAATAAAAGCCCTTTTGTATTTAGATACTTAAAAACTTTTAACGGTTTAAAACGCAAAATGTATTAGTTTAACGACTTGCAGCAGCCGTGGTTACTTTTTAAAAACGTCAGGCCGTAGTTAAAATAATTGTCAAAGTTAAATAATACATTTCGACTTTTAAACCGTTGAAAGTGTTTTTTAAAATTTGTAATACTCTCGTAAACTACAAACACTGTGTAACTCATTGGCAGACTTAATTATTTGTTTTTCAGTTACGTTCGCTAGAAGTAGGAACCGAATTCCCAAGTATTACAAATCTTCGCATTGTGAGTGGAGAATTAGAGGAAGACGGGGCGAGACTACGGTCTTTGGACTTAAGACTGGATTTAGCGTATGACGGAAACTTTAGGATTGAAGTTGACGCTGTTATGCTTCTGGGAAAAATTGCAAACATATCTATAACTGGTGAGTTTAAACTAGTACATTGATTCATTATTTTTTTTACATTGCTATGATTATATAGATAAAAGGTTCTTAAAGATAAAATATGTTTTTAAAACAACAGCACTGTTTTTCTGTTGTATTCTGTGGGCGTGCGTGGCGTGTTTCTGTTTTTTTTTTGTTACTTTAACTATATTTCTCTCATAATCAACCTTTTCTAATATTTCTGCTTATAATTTTCCTCGTAAGAAAAGTTTTATCTTAATATCTAGTCTAGCCTATTTTGCCTATTTTGCCTCTTGACGCATCTTTGAATAAATAAATTTAAATGAAATATGATTTAAGGTTTAAAACGCTATATTATTCTTTACCTTATTTTTAACCCGTCATTTCGCAGTCATAACGGCCCTGATTACGGGCGTCGCAATTAATGATTAGTTCACCAATTTCGCGTTTTAAACCATTTAAAAGTGTTTTATTTCAAATTAAACTTAAATCAACGCTTGTAATAGAACTTCATTTGTTTTGTATAACCTTTCAGTTGAAAGTATCAGCGGCACCGTTCGCGTCATGTTTCGTCGGACGCCCTACACCCATTGGGCGCTGGCTTTCGAATCCCAACCGAAGCTGGAGCTTCGAGTCCGAGGTCGTTTTCAAGGGAGACAGTTGAAGCCTCGCTTGGCAGCCCTGGTGGCAGCCCATATACGGAGGGCTGTTGCCCAGAGACATACACTTCCTAATTACAAGATACGGTATACCCTATATGGTTTCGCTATTCTAGACAACATTATTTGCAGTGCATTCTATATCCGTGTAGAATGCTTACTTAATGTTGCCTTGAGTTGATCTATTATGTTCAAACGATTATATATCGTCACATAGATTACTCTATGGCAAACGGTTAAAAAATAATTTTCATAACATCATAGTAATCTCTATTTATAGATAAATACTTTTTTCAACTAAGTTTCATTAATAGTAAAGAACGTCCTCAAATTTTGATGTTTTCAATTCAAATCCTTTATTCTCATTTTCCAACCTATAATATTTTAATCTTAGCCTAACTGTATAGTTACTAAAATCCCAGTCTCCCCTCGTCGTGGTCCATAGGGCGAATATACCTCTGCGTTGCACTGATCGGTTTTATTTAGAGGCAAGTAGTTGATCAGACTTCTGTGCCCTGCCCGAAACAATTGACTGTTTCCCCGGGATTCAAACTTAGGACGTTTCACCATTTAGCTACAGAATCTGGTCTAATTACTGTATAATATATTGGTGTTACCGCAGCAGTTGGTGTTTGTTACACACAACAGCATTGGTTTTTAGATTCTAACGAAAAACCTTACTATTATAATAAAAGTATGATGTAGAAATGTATTACACAAAACAAGACCTTTATTCGTCTTCTTAAGTTATGTCATCTTATAAAAAACTCTTTCTTATTTAAAGAAAACACTATTAACGGTTTAAAACGCGATATATATTGGTTAACTTTGAATTTGTTTTAACCAAGACCCGACCTTTTTTGTTTTACAGCAGCCGAGGTCCAGATAAGACTACAAATATGATATTTAAAATGTTATTTTATTGTAGGTACAAACCATTCTTCCCGAAGTCCGATCCGGGTAGTACAGAAGGCGAGGATGGGCCAACACCACATGGACGTCTTACAGTGAGACTGGTGGAAGTCAGTCGTCTTCACTGGACCGGGAACAATGGTGTTGTACGAGCTGCTCTAGCCGTGGATTCACATGCTTGGGTAATTTTTTTTTTTATGATAAAGGAGGACGACAGGCAAGCATGGGGTTAACTTGACGGAAGATGGAATACCCCAGACATATAACATCTAAACAAGATGTGCTGCCGACCTCTTTTGTCTTTGGATATTGGAAATCCACAGATTGCACCGAAACGCGATTAAACTTCACGACTTTTCATTTGGGAACGGTAGTGAAAGTTATATTTACTAAAAGTAACACTAAAAATTGACAAAACACCATGCAACCAAAGTATTTTATTTTAATAGGTATTAGGGTAGACGTAATATAAACTAAGAAAAGTAATTTAAGGTAGATAGGTATGATATAGTACATATAAAAGAAGTTTGGCAAGAGTTAAATAAGTAACCGGTCCCTTCTGACCGAGGAGGGGGAGACCCCGTCGTTCTTTGGTTTAAGAACTATGGACAAATTATAAAAGAAAAAAATAGGTATTGGATAATCAATTTGTATTAACTGTCTGTCTTGTTTCAGATTACTGCTTCCGCTTAACGATTCGGTTTTAACTATTTTAACAGTACATTTTGATAAATTTATCATTTCTTCCAAACCCTAGCTATCTAGTTAACGTCTTTATACTATATTGCTAAGCATTATACTAACGAGACGTTATTTAGGTGTCCCTAAGACGTGGAATACTAGTACTAGATGTAGTACTGCCAGCTGTCTCTGGGCCTCTGGGACTAGTCTGTTGTCAAGGTGTGGGCGTGGTGCTAGTGGATACTGTGGTACCGATGTCACCAGCGTATCGAGCTGATCTAAGACGAGACGACGTAGTTCTCGCTATAGACAACAAACCTGTCACCAATGTTGCCCAGGTACTAATTGTAATAAAATACGAAGAACTAGTAAATGTGTATATTAATTTACGCGGCTAAAGGCTTTAGAAATATATTATGTGAACTTTTTAACTTAATCTAAATTGTATAAGATTTGGATCTTCGAAGTGTTGTATGATCGTAATTGAACTATTGTTCTCTAACCCCCGACTCCAAGAAGCTAATTCAAATCAAATGATGAATAATATTGTTGGGTGAAAACTATATCGCTTTATACATTTAATATATTTATATTATAATTAGGTTGGCAAACTCCTAAGAAGTGTAGAACGCAGAGCAGTTACCGTAAGAGTCCGTCGTGGAGGCGCAGGAGGTGCAACTAGAAGAGATGATGAGCCCAAACGTCTTCGGACCAACTTCTCCTTCCGTAGGGTCTCTGAAGTCATGGAAGGAGTAAGACTACAGGGCATGCGGTCTGCAACGTCTAAGAATAATGTTCAAGTAAGATTTCTTCTGTTATGCGATTCAAATTTACTCCTAATATGTATTAGAAGAGAATACATTTCTAATCAAGGCCTGACTTATATGGCAAAATACTTAATATTAAGTACACTTCATTTTTGATGTGTTGCAGGAATCAGAATCACCCGCAAAGCCAGTAGAACCACAAAACGACATCGAATCCCAAGGAAAACAGAAAGTAGAGTTAACCCGCCAATTAACCAAATCCACAGACTCTATAGGCCCAGCCAACTTCGGTTTAAGAAAACGTCGATGTTCCGTAGAAAACAAATCCTCCGATAGTTCGGCTGGTAGTACACCACCTGCGTCCGGAGCAAGCACACCGCTGCGACAGATAACAACAAACAAAACAGTCAAGCACCCAGACATACCAATAATACGAACCGATTCCTCAGAATGCAAAATAACAGAACGAGAAATCACTACGGAAGAAGATGAACAGGTATTCGAAGCCGGTGGGCCAAGACAGAGCGAACACGTGGAAATATGCCAAATGTTTTGGACCAAAAGCGTCCAGCTTAAGCCAATTATTCACTTCGATGAAGAAACTGACTTCAAATTGAACGAGAATCACAAATACTTAAATATCAATGTGTTGGTAACAGTTCCGGGGGAGAAGGAGGAAGTGTTATTAGGTTATCTTAATATCCCGTTGGCAGCTTTGCTGTCTGAATGCCAAGATTCGACAGTTCCTCATCATATGAAACGGTATCAATTTCTACCACCGGATGTTGATATTAAGTTTAGGTAAGCTATAGAAAGAAGAATGGTTTTGGGTCGAGTATAAAATCTTAGTATCTTAAGAGAAAAACATTACCAGATATTTATACCTATTTTTTTATTAATTGTGAAAGGGTAGTAACGTTTGGCTGTGCTCCTGGTGTTAAGTGAAAGCACAGCCTAAGTTGTAACACGTTTATGCCTTGAATTGGTCCAGATTATATTCGCTTGGGAAGACTTTTAAATTTTGGAACCTCTACAACATAAGGATGTAGGCCCAAGCGAATTCTGGGTCGACGCAATATATGCGTTATAGACCTTGATTTTTAAGGCATACTTACCTTCGGTCTGAATAATTTTTACTTTATTGTACTATTTCCAAAGCTTCAAAGCGAGAATTTATTAAATATCTACTGAATTATTAATGTTTATCTTAGAATAGACACAGATAGACACAACAGCGTATTGTTTCAGCAAGAGCCACAACCTAGCGTCACACGCTGGCTTTGAGCCGTGTCTGTGTTTTGGAGACGCCTTGGTTTGGTGGGAATGGGAGGGTGTCGGTGGTAGTAGAAGTGCACCACGTCCCGCATCCAAGGGGACACCACCCCGCACACAAACACCGGCTGTGACGTCACACGACTTTGTACGCACACACTTCCATAGGTCAACGCAATGCGACTTCTGCAATAAAAAAGGTAATCTGAATGAAATATAATAAATGTTTCGCCTAGATTTGTTACAACAAATGTAAGATATTTCTATTAGTTTATTGAAAAAGACACTTCTATCTTTGTGTGTTAAGAGTATGTATGTAATCGTACGGAAATACCGCTTAGGAACGTTCATGGTGTTGCCTTGTATTTAGCCTTTTCCATAATAAGTTTTGTGATATCCACAAGTTTGTGACGATGGATATTTCATTGTAGCCAACTTAATTTTTTTCACTCACAAATAACAAAAGGGGAAAGCTCATTTCAGGCCACAAACGTACAATGAACTAGAAATACAATTACAGTAATATTAAAAGCCATAATTTATTTTAGATTGACCAATAAACATCTATGAGGGTTAGTAAGGGTGTTTTATAAGTGGTGCACATTTTATGTTCACTTTTGGCCTGTAACACTAAGTTTTGAACTTTCTCTTTTATTTAATATAAAATGAGTAAACATACCTAACAGTATTGTACACGGGATATTTAAATATATTAGAAACTTGGCATTGAAAGTAGTCGGCACGTGCGTGTCTGTACTACTGTTTCCGTTTTGTATTCATAATAATTATCAGTGAGATTAATTAATGTGCACAGTTAAACAGTATTAATTAGATGAAACCCACATTTTGCCTGTTATAACGATAATTGTTGTTACAAAGGAAGATATAAGATTTGGATATTTTTTGCCTGCGCATGCGCAGTTACTTTACCATACCAAATACAACGCACTTATTAATCCTAATGAACTTTTCTGTGTAAATATTATAATTTCCATACGCTAAAAGTGATTTCTTCCAGGCACAATTAGTAGTAACTGTAAATTTAGAGTATAAAATTATTTTTTTAAATTTTCCACGTTTGCCAATATTGAGCGAAAACGCTATAAAACTCGAATTTGTTGCAGCTATCGAAACACCGAAATTATTTCTTTTGTTTTAGATACTTTGTCATAGAGACAACAGATATTCATAATTTGTAAATTCCAAATGTCCATCGCTATATATAATAACTTAACAAAATATAGTACGTTATAGGAATGGTTTAGTTTTGTTACGGAAGTACTGGATACTAATCTATGTTATGTATCAGCGTCGTTATCAAATAAGAAATTCTTATCCCTTCAAATAAACCACTTTAATGATTTAAAACTCGATATATATATAAGTAAAACTTATTTGTGTAAAAATTATTTTAACTATGGCCGGACGTTTCTGATTTGCAGCAGCCGTGGTCACGGGGAGATTAAACTAGTATATATCGCGTTTTAAACCGTTTAAGTGTTTTATTTAGATTCGTAAACTAAAGACAGTATTCAATTGTTATCCTAACAGATTTGGCTCAAAGATGCAATGCAATGTCGGAACTGTGGACTCTGCTGTCACAAGAAATGCGTAGCGAAGTGTCAAGAATCATCTCCGTGCATACCGAAGCAAAATCGAGGTAAGAAATTTGGAATTTCATACCGGACGGTAGGACGGACTTTGTCTGGAACTCTGGAAATTAAATGGATGGTAGGAATATCGAAATTCCGTCCGGGTCACGAACCAAGCCTGGTGGATTTACCAATATCCAAAGCCAAATCTCGTTTAGATGTTATATGGCTGGGGTACACCATCAAGTGAAAGTGTGCTTGTCTGTCCTCCTCGAAAAATATATCTAAGGATTTTTTTTTTACGGATTTTTTTTACCAGATTTTAACGACTACCTCCACTAAATTAGTATCTACCGAGACTGGTAAATAACGTGCTCTCCTCGCGAACCAACACTGCCTGGTGGGTCTAAGCTCTATGCGAAAAACAACCTTCGCCCAGCTGTGGGACACTCACAGACTGCACCTATCACATTAATAGTTTGGCACGCAACACAAATTTCAAGTTATTTGATCTTAACGGAACCTACGAGTCTTACATAGGGCTATACATATATTTAAGTGTTATAAACATTCCCAAACAGGTATATGATTCACACTTTTACAAGAATCGCTTGAGATAAAACCCAGTCGTTTTCCTTCCTCAAACTTGAGAGAGATTTACTAATCTAGAGCCTATTAGTAATGAAGCTTTCTTTGTTCGAATATAACAAAAAATGTAATTTACGTTTTAAATACTGTCTACAGTTTACGCGAGTAGTACACATTTAAATAATAAACTTTAACGGTTTAAAACGCGATATATTAGTTAAACTTATTTGAAAATGATCGTTGACTTCGGCCCGACTTTTCGGATGCTTTGCAGCAGCCGTGGTCACGGGGACACGAAACGTCGGGTCGAAGTTAAAAATCATTTTCAAATAAGTTTAACTAATGTATCGCGTTTTAAACCGTTAAAGTGTTTTATTTAAAAGGGTTTTATTTAAATGTGTACTACTCGCGGAAACTACAGGAAGTACTTAAGATTTTTTTTATTATACTATTTAATTTCTAAGCATTGCGTAAACGCGACAAGTCCTGAGTTTGAACCTTTTAAAAACATAAATATCGTATAGTAACTACACAATTTGATCAAGTGCGTACTGTAAAAAAAAAATATTATAATTCAAAGAAATTACGACTCGGGCAGGACTTGAACCTGCATCGACAACGTTCCGTGCTGTTGCTCTTAACTTGTGAAAAATATTACAGTTTTCAATACAATTAAGACAGAAATGATTTAATTGATATAAACGGAATTTTTCGGGGAGTTTAAATGATATAAAAAAAATAAATTAAATGAAACCTAGATTAAGAATCGAAAATAAATTTTAAAAATTTTCGACTCTAGCGTGACTTGAACCGACATCGTCAGCTTTCCGTGCTGTTGCTCTACCAATTAAGCTACCGAGTCCTCGACCTAACCGAAAAATTTCATTTCGGTTAGGTTTCATCAACTTAAGGAAACAAAAGACTTTTAAACGGTGTAAACGTGGAGTCTCATTTGCTCTTTGCCAAAATAATTTAGTCTGTCATTAACATATTGCACCCGAAATGTTGTTGACTTCATCTCTCTGCGTTCAATGTGTATTTTTGCTGCAAAAGGGCATGTTTTTGCACGTGCCCCGGTCTGAAATACACCTTGACAGTTTGCCAAATGTTTCGCTCCATGCAGCCAAGTCGCGAAACAAATTCGGTCACTGACTTTCCTGGACAAAGTCTTATTCCCTGTCAAAAACATATTATTGTCCGGTGATTAAGTTAATTACGGCTTTGAAAGCTCGAAAGAGCGCTCTTCTTTTGTTTTAATAATTTTTCCGCTTTGTTCGCTTTACGCTTTGAAATTCAATTCTGAATATCAAACTGATCGTCGTCTAAATAATGTCTGTCAACATTATTCGGATAAAAGTGCTATCATTTACAACCTATAGAGTAAAATACAGTTTAAAGTTCAAAAATAAAAGTCTCAGATGTCGCTTTTGAGGTTTTCAATTATTAATGGATATTTATTTATATCCATAATATTGTTTATATTATATTATGGATATTTATAATTGTTATTTAGTCTGTAGTTTTCACGACACGTCATCGTTATCGATTTATAAGTACAAACCGAATTCAGATGTTTTACATCAGCTGTAGAATTAACACTTTAAAACAAAATAACTCAAAAATACAGATCAAACACCTTTACACCCGTTATATGCAACGTATATCTTATATAACACTACGTATTACGAAATACATCATTGTATGTTGAATACAATAAGAAGTATGATCACGTTCGGAATTCAAACGATGATATATATAGTCTATATTAACACGACGATGTTAGTTGCTTGTAAGTTTATTTACTAACAACGCAAACATTACAAATATCTAACCAGCTCTAAATTAATGCTTTTATTTTATCTCACTGCCCAGACCGCTGAAAGGACTATGTTTTTAATATTATAGACTAGGATTCCTTTGAGGCATTTATTTAAGAATTTACATAATTAATCAAATAAACTACTAAAATTTAAGCCATGTGTTATAAATCCGGGTTAAACTTGTTCTATTAGAAACGTTAGAACTTAGTAGCTATATTGTATAAGGCAGGCATGTTATGGATCCGGGAAAGGTTTTTGTACTTTATTTTTTCCTCAGAATGAAATTGCTCATCAAGAGTGCAAAGCCGTATAAATCAACTAGTTTCCAATAAAAGTATTCGTGTGAATTTATAACGGAAAACTCCGCCGCTCCACTTTATTTTATGTAATATAAATCTGTTTTAAGGTTCTTCATAGTGACGCAATTAAGCGAAATACTCTGGGGTCTTATAAAACTTAGTGTATTATGTATATTTACCTTTCATTTAAAACCTTGACTTCATATTATGTGAGAAATATTCACAATTGCTTGCTATAGAAAATTCTACATTTCCTACTTACGCCACTATCACAAAATGAAACATGAGTGGCGCATATGGCAGACATATTTCTCGATCCGATTCTTTGATCAATGTCACAGACAGAGAGTATTTGCCTTAACGAAATCATCCGTATCTATATATTTTTTTCCCAGAAAGCAACCAATAAGCAATGCGTTATAATACAGAACCACGAAATCGGTGAAAAACATATTATAGTCAATTTAATGTTTATAATTTAAATGGTAAAAGGTACGTATTTAATTACGTAATTTTAGGAGTATATTCACTTTTGAATTGAAAGCAATAAGGGCATTTTGTGATCTTCTTTTAAAAATTCGCTTACGGCTGCTCGAATCGAAAAAGTCTCTAATTACATTTAAATAAAACACTTTAACGGTTTAAAACGCGATATAAACTGTTAGTGTTTATTTAAATGTGTACTACTCTCGTAAACTATAGACAGTATTTAGTCTCTAATTACGTTTTTTTTTAAAGATAGAGGATGAATAAAGGTGAATCATCTAAACAAATCTACAAACTGAAACCGACACGGGATTAAACTTTACGTCTCTTTCATATAATGGTAGTGTGTTCGTGACCCAGATGAAATTTCGATATTCCTATCATATCCACCCATTTCATCAGCAAATTTCCTGACGAGGTCCAACATGTAAATAAATAAATAAATGTCTCAGTAAAAATGTAAATTGATTAAACACATGTTGGACCTGGTAGGGATCGAACCCAGGGCCCGTTTATTGTTACCATTAATCTAACGAGTCCGTCCGAAAAAATCTTATTAGTAGAGAAGAAAAACAGTACACACTTTTGTTGTACCCTCTCATAAGATGTAACTTAAAACCTTTATTTCTTTTAAAGAATCATCCACAAGTTCTAGCTGCCAACCCCCCGAGTTAATTATGACCGAAGTTGACGTGGACCCAGACTCCGAAGATGAAGAGAAAGGTGAAAGGAAGGACTCGCTTGACGTGCACGATGAAGGTTTTTAGAATTAAACAGTTAATTTGGGAAAATTAATTTAAAAATTCAGCTTTAGACAAAACATGCTTAACGTTATTTAGTTTATGTTTTTCTTGTATATTTGTAGTTTAGTACACAATAAATAAAATACTTTTTAACGGTTTAAAACGTACACTATTGTTTTTAAAGAATGAATTTTTGGCTAATGACAAGACCATTGTCATTAGGAAAAAATTATAGAGTAAATAATGTCTATAGTTTACGCGACTAGTACACATTTAAATAAAACACTTGAACTGTTTTAAACGCGATCACGGCTGCTGCAAAGTATCCGAAACGTCGAGCCGAAGTTTAAAATTATTTGCAAATAAGTTTAACTTATATATCGCGTTTTAAACCGTTAGTGTTTTATTCAAATATTGAAAAGTAGTTTATTTATAATAATTTCTTACTTCATGTAGTGTTAGGAATCAGTACAACCCACGATAGTGGGGATTTAAAAGTCAATTGACATTTATCATACACTATTATTGTATATTAGAAAGCTAATTATTATATTATTTGCCTTTGCGAATTTATATGTGCCTCACGAGCTTGTTTTTTTTGTACAGACGAGCTATTCGAATACTGAAGATTTTTCTGCTAGTAAGGACTAAGCAAAAGTTAGCAGGTTTTTATTTTTTTCCACCGTGCCGTTGTTACCAATGCCTCAGTTTTCACTTACCTTATATGACAGACTGCTAGAAGCAGAGTGGCCTAATAAAAAATAAATATGATTTTCAATTAGGTGTAAAATAAAAATGCGCAATGAACATAGGCGAAAATAATTATTTGTGCAAGAATTATGCAATTACATTAATTGACTATAAAAATATAAATAAGTCACAAAATTGCAGTTAGGCTACTCTGCCTCTAGCAACCTTATATATTAAACGAGTTCGTACATAAATTTAAATTTCGAATTTCCATTCTTGCGACGCCGTTGCCAACCCTTACGAAAACCCCGATGCAATGCCCTCTCGACTGTATCCAATTATCATAGTCCTAATAACGCGTACTAGGTCATCTGTAACACCTAACTCAGATTAATTGTACCTGTTACGTGGATACGAACTCATTAGGAAATTAGCAAAGTAATTGTTCTGCTCTTCAAGGATGCGTTAGGTAATCTCAATGCTTTACGATCTTGCAATGTTCATCTACACACATGTGATACGATCCATTCTTAGGCTCTGGTCGGACTTTGCTAAGATATTATCGCATACGCTTAGTACGCGTTCATTATTATAGCCTCATATATTAAACCAATAATATACAGGTTCAGGTAAGTGTGAAAGTTTTTATAATCTATGGTATGCGATATTGTAGTGCTATAGACTATGATATAAAAATGAATACATTTTAAAATAAAGGAGAAGTAACAGATATTATAGCATCGATTGAAATGCTTTGGAATTAAAACGATTTTATACAACAGTCACATGCTAAATAAACTAAACTTAGACTATACTCATAATATAGAAAAAAGTTATGTAATACTTAAAATCAACTACTAAATGGTAATAGTAGAGATACATTTTTAAACATTACACCATTAATGTTTGATAAAGTAAAAATATAAAGCTGAAGAGTTTGTTTGTTTGAACGCGCTAATCTCAGGAACTACTGGTTCGACTTGAATAATTCCTTTCGTGTTAGTTAGAACATTTATCGAGCCACAAATAGCAGCGAAGAAACAGGGGGAATTTGACAAAAACGGGAAAAAATATTTATCTTGCCGGGATTCCGTTGCGTGGGTTGTGAAAAAGGTTCAAGAAACCAAAACAATATGTATGGAAGGATCATAAATCTAAAATAAGTCCGCGACGCTATATGTCTATCTTTAAAGATAATACGTACACGACATTCGTCGCTCTTAAGAGCGACGAATGTCGTGGGTAATAGCTATAATTTATAAAAATGAGGTGGAAGTTCGCAAAAACTAATTTTAGCTGGCACAGTTAGTCTCTTTTATAAAGGTAACATGGATTTAGGATATAAGTCAAAATGGCACAATCCTTCTTGTCCTTTCTGCGCCCTTGTTGGTACTTAAATGAAGAATGATGATAACCTTATTGTATTTCGTGTTCAAGAATGTACAGCTTCTTCCTATGGATGCATGATTTTAAATGTTAGATAATTATTTGCATATACACATTGTCCGTGTATATACCGTCTTCCTGAAGAAATCAAGCCTAATCATCCATCAGAATCCATTTCAACGTCCACCCGAATGGCTTTGAATGTCCGTGAATGTTCTAGAACACGCATAGATTGTCGATGTTTTGTTATTAGCCGGTGGAGCAATGAGTGCGCTGGTTGCAGGACTCCGGCGTGCTGGTTCCGCTCACTCCCTCTGCGTTTCCAGAAGCAATTCCTCATCTAGGTCATTACCGCCTTCTCCAAGTCATACTCCCAGGTAAGACAGTCAACTACCTAAGTATGCCGTTGCTACCTAACCAGACTCATCAACGATCTCGTTGATTCAATGGTAATAATGTATGGCTAATAATCATTATAATGTGGATTCGATCGACACCAGGTCCAAAATGTTGTAATCAATTTATAATTATTCTGGAATACTGTCAGACTTCATCTGTAAATCATGCATCATTAAATGGTCGGTGGGAATATCGAAATTCCGTTCGGGTCACGAGCAGTCTACAGATGAAAAGAGCCGTGAAGATTTAATCGTTTTTCGGTTTCAGTCTGTGGATTTCCGAATAGTCAAAGCCACAGTAGGTCGACAGTCACAGCACTTGTTGAGATGTCATATGGCTGAGGTATTAAATCTTCTATCAAGTAAACTCCAAGCTTGTCCTTCTCTATCATAGATTAGGGCCTTTTCATTCTATATGCTATCTTACTGGATTCTATAGTAGTCAAAGCAATGAATCCTAGGGCAGCGACACGTCTCAAGAACAGCTCTTGTACTCAGGAAGCAGTCCCTAGAATCGGCGAACCCGTTCAGCACATGCGGCTCGACGTGGCTGGAGCAGGGCGGGGTCGGGGCGATGCTGTACCCGGTACTTCGGAGCGCGCTTCCACCAGACGCACTCCTCGCAGCCGCAAGGGACTCCGCGCCTGATCTCGCCGCTAAACTATCTGCTGCACAAATACATGACATGGTAAACACAAGAAGAGACTTTTTTAACACATCTTGTTAATTGCCAGTCGATAAAGTAAACGCAAATTTAGACCATCTTTTTGTCTTTTTGTTTCCGTATTTTAAACCCTATATCCTAACATAATGAGTTTTTATTTAATATTTTATGAAATTGTTTATATTCTACAAATCTGCCCCAGTTACATCAAAGAACGCATAATATAATACAAATTATTGTTAAACATTTTAAAGCAGCAAAAAAAAATGAAATATTTTTGTCCGCAATTTGTTATATTGTTCCAGCTGCAAGCGGTTCGTGAAGAATTATCAGCGTCGGACGCGAGCGGTGAGGAGGGCGGAGAAGGCCGCGCTTGCGCACTCACCGCCCTAATGCTGCACTGCTGCGCCGCTGCACAACTTGCACAACAACGTGTTGCCGAGACTTCTTAATAAATATATATCATAGTATTAAAAAAAGACACTTCAACAAGAATATATCATCCTGATAATGTGCAATACACTAAAAATTGTTTCTTTTGGGTTATTATATTTTCTTAAGTCACTAGTACCCAATAAGATCCTTTTTGAACTTATGGTGTGAATGCCTAATGCACGCCCGCGGGCAATAGTGACGTGGGGAGTGTGGTAAATCGTACTACACCCTTCTCGGAGACAGTCGACCAGAACCACTAAACACACCACCAGCCCGCTATGGTGCTTTCGAGGGAGCCCTGGGAACATGTTGTTACGACTCCTAAGCTTCCCAATGAGTATCCTAGCATCACAGAAGTCTAGGATACTATAGCCCTAGGATTAAACAAGCCACTTTCAACATTTCATGAAATCTTGAGATATTGAGATTTTCTGGAAACGTTAGGTGTATTGCTGTTTACCCAGTACTACGTGAATGAAAATAAAGATGTCTAAAATGATATGTGTGAAAAATGACAGACAATCAAGAAAATAGGATTATAAGTCTGATTTTGATCAATCCACTTCAAAAATATCAACTTATATATAAGGCCTTACTAATAAAAAAAATATAAAGATAAATTTAAAGCGGTATGCACATAGGCCAAAACGGACGGTAGACTTAAAAATAAATATTGAAAGAACAAGTCTAATCAATAATGATAATAAAATACTGTCTATAGTTTACGCGAGTAGTACACATTTAAATAAAACACTTTAACGGTTTAAAACGCGATATATTAGTTAAACTTATTTGATATTAAAATAAGTTTAACTAATATATCGCGTTTTAAACCGTTAAAGTGTTTTATTTAAATAATGATAATAATTTATGTTCTGTGAATCACCGACAAAACCTTACATTTTTATTGCATGTCCGTTATTGGCCTAGAATTCTATGAAAAGTGGTTTCTACTTATAACATATTTATTAGTAAGGTGCACAATTGTGCAATCAGAAATACTTCGCCTATTCTTGTAAAAAATAGACCGCCTCTGTAGCCAAACGGTAAAACGTGATGCCTAGCATTGCGTTAAGAGGTCTTGGGTTCGAATTCTGCGGAAACAATAGAGTGTTTCAGGCAGGGCACAGTCTGATCAAATACTTGCCTGTAAATGACCTATCAGCGTAACGGACAGAAATGTGTTTGCCCCATGAGGGGAGGTTAAACGGGAATTTACTTACTTGTAAATAAATAAAAGAAAGATATTTATTAGAGACACTGGAGATGGGAGTATGTGTTTGATGTTGAGCAACTTGCTTGTCCTTGCTGTAAAGTGCGAGCTGTGAGAAGATCGAGGTCAATGAACTACGAACTACTCACAATTCGGATACATTAAATGCATTGTTCATTGTGACCTTTTGTTTTACTTATTCCTGACCTTTTTCAAAACATATTTTGGAACGCCTTCGACCTTAAATTGATTACCGATTGTTTTATATACCGCAAAAACATTTCGTCTCTAGCACGTCATAGTCTATACTAATATTATAAAGCTGAAGAGTTTGTTTGAACGCGCTAATCTCTGGAACTACTGGTTCAAATTGAAAAATATTTTTGTGTTTGGATAGATCATACCGGGCTTTAGGCTATAACATCACGCAGCGACTAATAGCTACGTAGAAACACACGATATTTCCACGCGGACGAAGCATAAGGAAGAAGGCAGCAGGGGAAGGGGGAATGCATTTTTGTGCCCGTTTCACTGGCAGATTTTATTTGTTGACTAGTGAATGGTTCACGTCTCTTTGATATGCCAAATTAAAGTATTTTTTCCCAGGACTCGGATCGAGGTACTCTCGCGCAGACTCATTTAACGAGTGAGCTACTTTTTTAAATTTCTGGGTGTCTAAACAAACACTACAAACTATTATTATTTTTTATTAGATCGTGCAATCACTATTATACAGATCACAATAGCGAAAAAGCTTAACGTTGTTCTTAAAATATTAAATAAGGGAAACCAATACTTCTGTTCCATCTAATCTTCTGTATCACTTGTCTTAAGATCCATTTTCCCGTGACACACGGATTTAAGACATGCGTCGTGTGAACTTGGCCAGTTTCCAGGTTGTCCTGAAATAGCACAAAGGATCGACTTGTTCCAGATGAAAATCTGCGAAATGTCGGAACCGTTATGGTGGAAAATTTCGTGCGTCACACGCACTTCGAACAATGTCATGTCACGAACCGTTAGAACAAAATAGCTTTTGTTAAAACGATGTTATTGTTACTAGGACTATTTACAGTAATGTTATAGTTTTATGCAGTCACTTTGACTTGAAGTAAAACTGTATAATAATACTGAGCTTAAACTATTTTCTAAACCGTAATAAAATTAATGAAGTATTCTTAACTATTTTTGTTTAGATACAGATAAGATTGAGTTAAATTCTGTCATTATAACATATCACCTATATTCAGTTTTTTTGGTAAAATTGTAAGTTATGTTTGAGGTAATACCGCTGACATGTAAAGCCTATGTAATTGCTATTAGGCTGTTTCCTCTGCTGTTTAGTTAACAGAAACTTGAGCACCATCTTCTTGTTAACGAAACCGTTGTATAACATTTGAATTAAACACATTTAACGGTTTAAAACACGAAATATATTAGATAAATTATTTTAATGTTATTAACTACGGCTGTCGTTGCAGTAATTTTTGAAAATAAGCTTATATGTTTAGCATTATAAACTGTTAAAAGTATTTTATTTTAATGTGTACTACTAGCGTAAACTACGGACAATACTAAGTACAACATATTTATATATAGGTCGGATACACATATTAGATTTTACCTCTATTCAAGTAGTAATCCCGTGCCCTATCTTGTAATTATCGTAATTATTTATTCATGGGGAAGAATCGAACTACGGAGCAGGTTAATAAGTCACTAAAGCTTTACAAGATACAATTTAATGAATGACTTGACCAGGAAGGTAAACTATTAGTATCCCTAACGTCAAGTTTGCTTCATAGAATTAATCATACCATGATGAAGCAAATCATGAATAATCAAGTGAGTGAATTTCAAAATGCAACCGTTGCTCATGATGAAATGTAACAGATATGTGAAATATTTTTATAAATTTTATTCTAGCTGGTGGTAAGTGGGCCATGAGAGGAGGAAGCCACTTTCGTAGACACAAGGTCGTTTAATGAAATTCAGAGTAGATCGTCACTTACTTGCAAGTTCGTGCAATTTATGATTATAGCAATATTCTCTTTAGAATCAGGCAACAATTTTGGTTATCTAACAGATAGTGGTAGACGTTAATTTAATATAATTAATGTCAAAATGCTTACAAAACTGAAGAGTCTATTAAATAACTAATCTGATCTAACGATGATATATGAGAGTATTTTTAATAATGTAAAATGTGGATTTCCGAATGTCCAAAGCCAAAATAGGTCGAGGCTAGGCTATTTCACCTGTCTGTCGGGAAAATCTGGATTTATTTAATACCTATAAGCAAAACTCTGATTAATATCTTTAATTGAATTTTTTGGTTATCATAATATTTGCGAATCCTAACAACAAACTAATAAACAATCTAGTCATACGAAATATAGAACAATAAAACTAAAGGAAGTTTTCATTGATATAATTTTTTCACGAGGAGTAAATTACTTGAGGCAACTTTCGGTAGGGTTTAAATATGGTATTTGGTATTGATGGGTGTTTGAAAGTTATTTTCGACATGAATTTAATTGTATTTTAGTTGACATCATATATTTTGCATAAACACATTACGTTAACATGAAAATTCCAATGAATTCATTATTTAAGACGCAAAAGTGAATTACGTTTTATAAACTGTGTTTACGTATTTTTAAACAAAAAGATCTAAATCACACGGATTCAAATAGGAGCACGGGACTAGGAAAATATAAATTCTAGTTTTGGCAAAGATTCAAGGTTGCTGAAGTTGAAATTCTGCGTCTCTGTTTGGCCAAGACATCAAAACAGTGCGTTGAACGAACTTTTCAGACGTCAAAGGATGACGTTAATGTATTCATCAGCTGCTGTTTGTTTGGGACATATATATATATATATATTATAAAAGTACCTTGTTGGACCTATTAATGGTAAAGGTGTACTTTTTCAAAAGAAAAATCTTCTAAAAGAAGGCATAAGATTTTCCACTCATCAAGTTGTTCAGAGGACGACGAGACAATCATGAGGTTCCCTGGTGTGTAGGTCGTTATATACATCTTAACAAGATGTGTTGTCGACCTTTTTTACGATGCAGGGGTTATAACCTACCACTATCGAACTTCGGACGGATTGAGAAATCCCTGTTTAAAAGTCGCAAATTACATTTTGCCGATCCTGGCCCCGAACCCAGTATCTAGTGATCTATAATCTGGTGTAATAACACTAGGCCAAGAACGCATAACGTTAAATCTGCTTTCTTCCTTTTCTTATACATATAGAGAAACTATTTTTTTTATTTGAATTAGGAAATTCAATTAATTCATTCGTGATTTATTTATTTTAGATTACGTTCCAGCATCCATAGACTGGAATAAAGTTAATTCGACGTACATGCTATAGACAATAAAGTATGTTACAATATCCTTTCACATCCAATATTATTGAAGTACAGTCTAAAGCAATGAGTCATCTTCTACAAAACCACACATAGCAGTTATAAAAATTACCTAAGAGTTGAGTAATTATTATTCTAGAGCGGTATTGCGTTAGACCTATCGCAACAAATATTAAAACAATCGCACACTTTATCACCGATTAGACGATAAACAAAGACAACGATAAGAAATAAGATCCCGATTCTCTCCGTTAAGCACAACAATGAAGCAAAATCGGTCCATTGTTTAAGAAGAGGGTTACATCTCTTTGTGAGATACGTTTATGCTCCTCTCCCATCAATTTTCCACGTGCTTCCGCGAGGAAAAGCAACTGCGCATCACGCGAGAGCGGGCCAGCGTATTGTTATTATTGCCCTCTCGCTCGCGCACCACGCTTCTTTGTTTTGACGAAGATATAAAGGCCAGCTGCTGACGCCGCGCACAAATCTAACAGTGCTGCCGTTCAACCAGGCGCTACGCGTTTCGGAACGGTTTTACTAAAGCGTAATTGTTTTGTGCAAGACTGTGACCGATTTGAGGAGTGCAGTGGTTAAGTGCAGTGATGAGGCCTCCGTCGGAGTACAATGATTCGAGGATGCCCGCTGAAGCGGAGGAGGGGGATCCTAGGGCTCCTGCTATGATGATCTGCGCGAGATTGGCTGGCCGGGCGATTATTAGGGTTGTGGGCCGGTGTGAGGATGCACAGGAAAACAGTCAGCTAGGTCCGTATACTAGGAAATAATTAAACGGATTGAAACGCTATATATTACATTTACATCTCTACTTACGGTCTACTACTCGTGTGAACCATAGATGTATATTGATATCATTTGATATTTAGATAAGATTTGTTTGTCAACAAATGGGTAAATAATATGAATAATTATACGAGTATGTGATATTATGGAGCTTGTTATAATTAATAGGCGATAACATACAAATCGAATTTTCGTGTCACGCGCCGTTAGGTATGCGTAAAATTTTGGACTTTTGAAGTTACTCTTTTTGTCGAGACCTTACTATGAAATAGAAAGATCGAAAAAGGCCTTTTCATTATATCTTAAAAGAAGAATTAAGCATCAAATCAAAAACTGAAATATACACACACACACAATAATATAGAAGCACCGTATCATTCAAGGAAACATGTATGTGTTCACCTAGTTATGCAAATTCCGTTTATCTTATCTAATACACTGCGATGTCTTTTAATTTAGCAACGATAGATGGAACTAGAGCAATGTTTGTCCTCATTTCGATGTTTTCTCAATTAATTGAGTCTAATGACTAATACACATTATAGGTACGTCCTTGACTCAAGTGATTTACTTGTTCATTGACATTCAGGTATAGGGGTTAATCGAACTATAATACCAATTAGAAATGTACATAATTGTATTTGAAACGAAACCTTATTTCAACTTATCCCTTTGAAAATGAACTGGCCTTTCGCTTATGTTCGTGTTATGGCGAGCATCGAAATCCCAGTATACAGATACCACCTTTAAACTTGTCTCGTGTCGGAGCGCGTCACGAATTCTCCGCAACTTTCCTCAAATGAGTCATGTTGAATTTGCGCACGAGTCATTTAGAATTTGAAAGTCTAATTAAATTCAAATCAATAAAATCAATAAGTTTAAATACTGTCTGTAGTTAACGCTAGTAGTAGACATTTAAATAAAATACTTCAACTAATATAAATCTCGTTTTAAACCGTTAAACTTATTTTAATTTTTTTATCTACGGCTTGAAGTTTCGGATGCTTTGCAGCAGCTGTGACCACGGGGGAAGTCCAGTGACCAGGGTGTTATATCGTGTTTAAAACCGTCAAAGTGTATTATTTCAATCAATAAGTTTTCCTTAATATAAAAATAATGTTTTTTTTTACTATTTTTAACCAATTAAGTGTTTTATTTAAATACTACGCCTCTTTCTTACACAATTTTCTTTAATGTGTCAACTATAAAACCAGCTCTTTGTGATTTGTTAAGTTATTGTCGATTTTGCTATGATTTGTAATAAGTTATTTAAAAGTATTTATGGCTGTACCTATTTCACCTATGGAATAAACCGCTTTTTGCAATAAAACACTTCCTACTTGTTAATACACATTGTATGTTATATGGCGACGAAGTTCTATCGAGGTCACAACGCTTCTAATCTTATAGATCATATGAAGAAGTATTTGCAGATAAATAGCGACATTAAACAGGTTTTGCTATGCGGAACTTAAATACACAGACTAGTATTTCCGGAAAACAAATGCGGATTTGATATATATTATTGTACAAACTCGTAAGTCTTTTGTTCTCAACCGATACAATAAATATTATCACGCAAATAAAGTCTCTATAAATATTATGATTTGTAAAAACGCGATACACATTAGTTAAACTTATTTGAAAATTATTTTAACAACAGCCCAAACATACATACAGTTAAACTTTTTTATTTAAATGTGAACCACTCGCGTAAACTACAGACACTGTTTAAATTTCTTCTAACTTTAAGTTACTTTAAAAAAATATTTAAAAATAGTTGGACTTGCAGCGAATAAAGCAGTAATAACCGGATTAAAACATATCATAAAATTCAATTATGTGCAGTAATTAATTTAAAATTATTTATTTTTATTATAAATATAAAATCCTACTTAGATCTTGATTAGTAATATTTTTATTAGGTGTAAACTGTGGGGTGTTGTAATAACGTTATAATAATAAAACACGCAACTTACTAACTAACCTATTATTAATGGACGAACTACCGCATTTTTCATAATGATCCCAATCTTTTAATGGACTAGCTCACGTAAGAGCTTTCTAGTTTAATACTCTGTTCCGTATATATGTTACATACCTACTCGTATTATTCCTTGTCCTGAAATAGTTACTACTTCGTAAATCTTTCAATATACATACTAATAACTCTTTAAGGGTTTAAAAGGCGATATATTAAACTTATTTGAAAATTATTTTTAACTTCGGCCCGACGTTTCGGATGCTTTGCAGCAGTCGTGGTCACGGGGAGACAGTAGGTATTTGACAGTTCATTATTTAAAAAAAAATAGTTTATCTATATATCTATAAATGACACATATTTTCGAGTATTTAGTTAGTTGAATATTGTAATTATAATTACAATAATTGTAGTAATAAGTAATTATTAATTATATGTATTTTGTACTATTTTATTAAAAAAATACTGAATTATCAATTGTATTTCATCTTACTATGCTGTGTTGGTTGAGATACATTTTAGCAGTTTTAGTAAACAGTAAACGATTAAATATTCTTACTGTTAATTTAAGTATAAGTATTTGGAAATGACGTAAATAACATTAGATAGGCTTAATTAATAATGTAATTCATAACAGAATAGTGAGTAAATGTTGCAAAAATGCCTTGTATTGCGTCCGCATTTCGTAAATAGGTACTTAATACAGAGGTATCTCGTAAAAATTGTGAAACTCGGAGGCCACTGCGATCTTATTGCGGTTTTTGTTATGTCTTAAATTAATTTCATATGATTAGATAGCGTATTCAAGTGAATAGAATCCGAGAACTTTACGCTAGTAGGTAAAATTATTAAATATTTATTAATGTGTGTAGTTACTGAATTAACTTAGACAACTGCTAGACATTGTTAGGTGACGTAATCAGTGTAGACTCATATAAATTATAAATCGATGTTCATTTGTTTTCCAGTGTTATTAAATTACTATGACAAAGATGTTATGTAAGTGTAGATAGTAACCAACAAGCCATAGTGCGAATAATTTGTATCTATTCTGTGTTACTTCTATTGTCATTACTTATTGTCTCTTCACGGTCGGTAATTCTGTTAAAATAAAAACCTTTTTGCATCAAAGCGAATGAATGCCTTTGTGTGTATTGTAATATAGGCATACACATAAGTATTTATACTCTCTACAATTTGAAATGTTGTCGACCTTATGGAGATAATTTCTTCCATAAAAGGATTATAGTCAGGTCGAGCCTATTCTTACACTTCCTTATTTTAAATATTTTTTACGCGTGACTCAGATTTATGCAACACGACGTTATAATATTTATTCTCTTTTAAAAAGGACTGAGCCCTTTTTATTATTTTGCCCGCACGGCTAAAAATTGAGCTTAAAAGACATACAAGGTCTGTATGTTAGTCTGACGTTCTCGTCAACTGTCAGTTTAACTACTTTGTATATCCTGTCACTGTCAATTGTCAAATAAAAAACATGTTACTATTTACATTGATAAGAAGATTACTAAATTAAGTATTAGTACAATAAAATTTAATGCAATTAATAAAAATAGATATTAAAGACGATAACGTATGTGTTTCTTTGTGATAATAACAACTAAGATCTTTGCTCGTCACAATTCAGAATTTAGCCTTGAAAATGTTTGTTTACAACGAAAATAAAGCAGGTCTATTACTCTATTTATAGCACAAAACCAGAGTCCAGACGAATTGTAATAGAGCAGTTTTCTATAGTTAATCGTTTACAAGTGAACAAGAGCTGGTTGGTTACATTCATCTTGTAACAGCAGATTAAAACGTAAATAATTTAAATTGTGCATTGATTATTATGGCGTCAGCTGTTACACGTGTTATACTTAGGTGTGAGGATGCCCAAGAATCCCAATTATTAGGTAACCATATCATATTTCTTATTAGAATTTCTCAAGGTCTTGCTCCTAGTCCTTGTTTGTGTCGATTTAAAATATTATTATGTTCTATACAAAAGCCCACTATAATTTGTGTTAAAAAATGTTTGAAGATTTAAGTTCTTTATGCATTTCTTTTCTGTTATAGATTTATCTGAATGCCAGCTTATGCAAGTGCCAGACGCAGTGTATCATTTGATGCGACACACGGAATTGAAGAGCTGTGATCTCAGTGGGAATGTCATCACCAAGATACCACCAAAGTTTACTGTTAAATTTAGTTTAATCACAGGTATGTTTCGTCATGTAAATTAAATACCTATTAGATAAAATACATAGCAAAAGTATTTATGGTTGATAATATTAGTTTTAAACGATAAAAAATAGAAAAGGAGGTGGCATTTATAATAATCTTGAGTATACTATATAATTCTGTCTTCTTTCAGATCTAAACCTGTCTAATAACCAGATTGCCAGACTACCAGATGAAATATGCACCCTGGCCTGCTTAGAGCGGCTTGACATCTCTCACAACTCCTTTGTGGCTTTGCCTCACATTGCCTGCCAGTGTCCCAGCCTTCATACCCTGATAGCACATCACAACCAAATTATTGGTACTTGAATTTATTATTTATAATGTATTAAGGTAATTTGTGGACTGACACTTTTTCATTTCCATTTCTGACATTAGAGAGGAGGGAAAGAGATTAACAGAGAGAGTTATAGGTTAACTTTTGTGCAATAATGGCCTTAAATTAAAATCAAATGTAAAGAGGTTGACCTTTTACATTTCAGAAGTAGATGTTGATCGATTAGCGAGGTCCCGCGCCCTTGAATATGTAGATCTCAGTGACAATCCAATCCAGCCACGGACACATGAAGAGCTGAAGCAACTTTCACACCCCCGGATATCTGTATCTGAAAGAGAGAAAGAAGATTGGGAGGAGGATCTCGTTATTTAGAAATATTCTCTCTCCTCTGGGTACTAATATGATAACTGTAATTGAATATGCAACCTTGTACAACAACATTGTAAAGGAATAGGATTGAAATTGATCTGACAACGGAATAACTGGCAGAAAAAAAATTGTCAACCACATAACTAAAGTCCAATTATAAGTTTACCGTATTTGTAGTAAATTTGTCTATGCATAGAGCTATAGTTGTTATACTTTTCTGATATATGTTAGATTCTGCTCAAATATTTTGGTCAGATGACTGAATCAATATGAAAAAGGTAAATATCAGTAAGATATAGCAAATCACGCATTAAAATTACACTAAATTGCTGACAATAATGCGTCTTATGGCGCCTGTCCTCATTTCAACTGTGATTATGCTATGTTATCAACAAACATAGTAGCACTAGTTATATAGTTTTACACAGGTGTATTGAAGGATATGTTATTTAAGTGCTCAAACTTTTACTTAAGTATATAGAGATTATTTTAAGTGTAATTGGTTTTAACTATCAGAGCTTCTAGTTAGTATCATGTTGGTTCTTGGCTCCAAGTCTCGAATTGCTAAGTCCCAGTTAAGTAAGCTGCTTGATGTGTAACAAAATTGGTACTTAATTTCATGACTTTAATTTTTCATGGATATGGTATGTTAAACTTTGAATGACTAGTATTCAGGTACTTGCATTGGTGTTACCAATGGTATTTTAAAAGGACTGAATAAGTATTAGCGAGTTTACCAGAATACACAATAAAAAGGAGAATGTCATTATTTGGCACTTCTTTTTAAGAAAAAAAAAAACATTATTTCATAAATAAGAAAAAATACAGTTTGTATCAACAATTGAACCTATATTATAACTTAAACAGTGGATAACTTTTTGTGAACCATTCTTGGTCTGAGATATAATGTAGTATTAGCATTTTCCTTTAATTTAAGTTATAATAACCAACTAGAATATTTTACTGTTTTTCGTAATAATGAAAGCTAGTCTTAAAGATAGTACTATTTTTTATTATATACCTTAAAATTTCTTATACTATTAGAGTTGTGATAATTAATGCAAAAAGGGAAATTACGTTGTTGCGCACATAAAATATAAGCAGTTATTTTACCTACTAAAATTTGATAAAAATATAAATATTTTATACAAATATGAAAAAGTTTTATTTTATTATCTATGTATAGAAGGTGGTGAAAAATAAAATAAAAGTCAAAGTCTACTGTCTAGTGCGGTTACAGTTGTTGTCTTAAATATAAATTGAGTAAAATTATTGGAAATTAAATTAAGTTTTGTTAACACTAAAATGGCTGGTGGTGTTGAAGACGATCCAAATTTAAAAGGTTTAAGCAGAATATTCAACAGTCAAACAAACAGGGGACGGGCAAATGTAAGTTAGCGTGGAATTTAATATTGTTTTTAATTAATTGCACAGATGACGAGCGTAACGGTAGCAATGTATACATGTATATGCGCTAATGATCAACGGGTCGTAGGTTTTGTCCCCACCAGGTACAACATTTTTCTGGATATTATATAGGTGGTAAGAATATAGAGATTCCGTCCTAGTAACGAACCACCATCCATAGATGAAAAAGCCGTGAAGCTTAATCGCGTTTCGGTTTTAGTCTGTGGATTTCTTTAGATGTTATAGGCTGGGGTCTATCCTACTATCTATATATATATATATATCACCTACCATCAATTGAACCCCATGCCATGTCTATCCTCCTCTATCATAAAAAAATACCTTCCAGATGAAATAGGCCTGAATATAGTTTAATTATAGTAATTTCAGTTATATTGTATGTACCTTCAAATGTAGTACCTATATCCCTAATTATATTATCGGATATTACTAAATAATTTAAAAATCAAAATTAAATTGAAAAAATTTTCGACTCGGGCAGGACTTGAACCGGTATCGTCAGCGTTCGGTACTGTTGCTCTAAACTACTACATTTACTAATTACTAAAGCAAAACTTATTTTGATTCTAGGTTACTAAAGCTACGTATTCGTTATTGGCTATTTACTACGTTTATTACAAATTATTCAAGTCTGGAAAGAAGAAAGATAAGAAATAACACTTTCACATCTTATTGAAATAATAAATTAAAATAACATCCAACTAGGACAGACTATATATTATATTATATTTACCAAATTATAATTCTTTCTAAAATGGACTCCTTGCATGTATGTTAAGAAAGAAGTTTTAAAGTCGAATCCCAGGAAATCATAATGAAGTTTCCATGAGTAGTGCTCAAAGGATTTATCGTATGCACGCATGAAAAAGAATCGTGGTAGAACCAATCGAACTGCGTCGGCACTATGCCCGACATTCATTCATATAATGAATAAAGAAGCAGAATTCCTTGCCTAACGTTTGACATTCTACAGACTGACAAGTTTTAATGGAGTAGATGTCACTCTTCATTGTCAAATTTGAGAGATAAGAATCTACTTTTAACTGACAATTAACATTGTCATTCCTATCGGCCGACTGTAAAATCCACTTTGCGTTTTCAGGTTGTTATTACATAAGATTTAAACAAGTAAGTTTAAGTGCTAGATTTTAACTTGTTAATACTTTACCAAGTTATATGGCACATTATAGTTCGTCGTAATAAATATTTTTGCAAATGTTGTAGAATGGCCGGAGATGCAGTTGATGAATCCCAGTTCAAGGGTCTCTCCAAGTACTTCAACAGCCAGACAAATAGAGGCAGAGGAAATGTATGTATATTTTTCCATAGCATTTTTTATATCAATTACAAGTTCTTATATTAAAATGCTGGCAACAGACTAAATTTTTCACATAACCATTCTTTTCCTTACAATTCCTTTTGTATCTTTACAGACAGCAAAAGCCACATACGCATTCTTCGGTGTAGTAATATTATATTTTACTCTGAAACCTAAGAAGCAAGCGGCACCTGCGACAAAATAGACTTCAGGGAACATTCAAATTATTTATTAAGTGTTTTATGATTTCTTTAAGATCAGTTGTATAATAGTGAACATTAAAATCATGTAAAACTCACCATTGTATTTTTTTTATTTTTAATCTTTTTGAACTAGTGGTAGTTAGTCAATACATCCAGAGTAGGTTTATCTATCTTTAAATAAAAGTAGAAAGAATACATTCAAAATACATTTTGTTATGTTCAGTCAGTTTTACTTATTTTTTTTCTTATTAACAAGCTAAGGGCAGACACCTGAGGTTCAACTTGACTACTGCACTTACATTAGCACAAGGCCATTAAGCTACAAATGCAATGAGATACCCACTATGTTTGTTATTTGTTACTATTTATTGCATCGGAGTAAAAAATGAAAGAATTAATTATTAATAAATAATTGATATATTTACTGTTACATATTTGAAACTGCTGAAGCACATCGATGAAAAGGAAAATAAACACTTGCAACACCTAATTTTACTATATTTTTAGTGCAAAAATATTAAGGGATACAAATAAATTTAGTTTAATTAGTAATTTCCCATCTTAATTTTCATCCTATGATGAATTTACAGCAAGATTAGTTATTGCAAGTTTACTTGTTCAACGCAAAATCTTTGGTAATATAATTTTAATGAATGCTAGATGCCAAAGATACTATCTTGCAATATTATAGAAAAGTTAAGGTCTACTCATAAGGCGTACCTACTTTGTGCCATGTACCATGAAAACACTGAGATGACAGGAGAAAACAAAACAAGTACCCCTGTGGATGCTAAAGGGTGATGGAATTTAATCTTAATTGAACTGCAGACTAAAATTAGATCCAAATATTTGCCCACACTAAATATCAAAGCACAACAGTACACTTATAGGCACCGAGCTTACATTCGCTTAAACATAAGAAAATTCACAGAATACATGCTTAATTCAATTGCAATATCATAAATTGATTAACAATAAATAATTAGTCATAGCTGCGTTGTATTTATTTTTATATTTCTAATGTATAAAAACTGACTCAATATAAATTAAAAACTATGATGACGTCTCACAAACAATAATGACTAGCATACACCATTTGTTCAAGATTACAAAAGCTATCACTTAGCCATACTACATACACGCCAATTGTGTCATATTCACGTTGAATATGAGATTGGTCACAGCGTCACCTGAGGGGTTTTTAACATCAGTGCAATTATTGAACAAGGGAGGATCGAGTTGGCTGGGAGAAGAGAAGTTAATTTTACATTTTGTCACTCTCCTACAATCATACAAACCACATGTGAAATCTGAAAAATTATATTTTAATGCTAAAACCTGAATCCTCCCTTGTTACATTTAATCTTCACTTAACTCGTCACAAATCATCTAGCCTCCTCTAAATTCGAACAATTCTTTCTCTTACTAAAATCACCCCCTGCTTAATTTTATTTCAACATTTCCCTCGCACACACAGCTCTTCAAGCTCTACCAAAATATATAAAAAGTTGCCAACGTGTACATATTTATAAAATAATATCATAGCACTTTAATGCCTAGAATATCTTTTTTTTTCAATTAAGGAATGCCATAACTAACTTATACTAACATTAAACAACATCAAAATGGACTTTGATCAATAGATTTTAAATTGTAAGGCGGAAATTATTCTCTGTATGTAATTGAGCTGGTTTTGTAATTCATTTTTATTAATTAATTGGGTTTATAATTAATTTATTTTGTATTTTTTTAAGTATGGAAGTTCTTAGTAATGGCAATAGATTTACAATGTATGTGGTAAACTTAAATATAATTCTTCCTTGAATATTTACCATATCAGGGTTCCCTCAGACTTAACACATTAATTTTAACTGTGTATTAAAAAAAATATTGCCAAAAATACAAATTATTTTTCATCAAGTTATTTTTTTCATACAAAATCCACTGTAAGTAGTTGTTGTATTTTAGCAAATTTTTTACGTTCGAAAATGACTACATCTTTACAATTATCAATGATTGTCATTAATTCTAGTGTCTGTTATAAACTGATGTTTTTTTGGTAAATAGAAAAAGTATTTTAGCGCCCAATAATATATAGCCAGATTTTAATGTGATATGTCTTACGGTACTACACCTCTTCAATGGAAAATACTATTCAATGTTTATCATTTTAAATCATAACGCTATAAGCAACTAAGCAATAGTGCAAGTCACACGTAAACATTAAATAAGACAAACGCGTCTACATCTATAACCAAGTGGGTGCTCTAGCTAGGGAATACAGTGGTGGTGGATTGGTCTGCGTAGGCGCAGCTGTGTCTTCCGTATCAGACTCCTCAGACGAGACACGTTCGGCTGCACTTAGGGCCACTCGTGCGTATTCATCTGTGTCTATACTCTTGCAGAAGTGGATTGCATATCTGTGGAATCAGTAAATTTGTAGTCAATTGATTTGGCAATGGCACTAACTTTCACCTCCTAATCTTTTGCCTTTCTTCTCCTTTCTTATAAAATTGCTGTACATTGACTTCCGTGTCAGTCTTTCCATTTTTAAAGATAAACCTTTTACAGCATAGTCTGTGCTTTTATTAAACATCAGGCGATAAACAACCAAAACACGTAAGTAAAAAACTTTCTTTTGTCTTTTAATCCGTACACTCGGGATAAAAATATGAGGCTATGAAATTGTATAATAATAATGATTCTACATTATTTGTTTATTTGTAGTCGTTTTGAAATTAGAATTGTAAGTTATGACCAATGTAACTCACCTTAGTTTCTCTCGTAGAACACTTTTGCACGAATATCTTGGCATTTTGAGAAGGAAGAAGCAAGTGTAACTTTCTGGTAGGAAGTGGTCCGGAGGCTGATATTTGTCGAGAACCTAAATACGCTCATTTACATAATTAAATTTGATGACTTTTTTAAAATACAGTATCTCTTCAATCTTAAATACATCGATACAGCAAAATTGTTAAAACTAAAGATATATAATGTTCAAGCTGTGCTTTATGACATTTATTTTTAAATAAAACTCTTTAAGCACTACCATACCTGCAGCACAAAGTCCCTCTGCCGCGGATCTTGTGGTGCGCGCGGTAGACGCGTTCGTCCCCACACAAAACGCAAGAACAAAGCCCGTTCACTCCCCGACAACTCTTCCATTACTTCCCAGAACCACAGCACTAGTGGAGCGTTGGGTTCAACACCTAGAAAATAACTTGCCTTGAATACACTACGAAGAAACAAGAAAATATATTGAAAATATACGAAGCACTAGTAAATGTACTGTAATTAACCGAAACGAGATTAAACTTCACGCCTTTTTATTAGTCGTCGGTAGTTCGTGACCTGGAGAGAAATTAGATATTTCTATCATCCATTTAATATCCACTTTATTCAAACGAGGCTATAGAAAAATTATAAATTTTTAAAAATAGTTTTGTAGTCCCCTTGATTATTAGTGATACATTGTTACCATCAGATCCACGAGGTGGTCAAAAATAAATTGATATAATTAAACTGGGTACCTTTATACGTAGCGGAGGCTCTTAAAGTATGAACTGGTATATCCGGTGAACCACATACTAGAGTCTCAAGCTCCCCAGCAGTAAAAAGAGCCAGCAAAGGCGCGGGAACCACCCGCGAAATACCATCACGTACGGCGCGAACTTGCTCGTCAAATTCGTGTAACCTAGTAATTAATATTAAAATTAGGTTGCTTGATATAAATTAAATAGGGTTTTTATAAGCCTTGATATTTTTTAGGGTATAAGAAAACACTGTTAGTACTGTCTGTAATTTAAGCAAGTAGTACATACAATTTGTTCTACTTGTAGGTACAGGATTCTCTTCTTATACGATACAGGTTGTAAAAGTTACTGACAATATTGGGAGACTGAGAAAAGGGAGTAATTATACTTCTTTGATTTTTTTTATTATGGCATATGCTAAAACAAACAACAATATAATCATTTAAATAAAACACTTTAACGGTTTAAAACGCGATAAATATTAGTTAAACTTATTTGTAAATTACTTTAAGTACGGCCCGACGTTTCGGTTGCTTTGCAGCAGCCGTGACCATGGCTATATCAGTTTAAATAATATTTATTGCGTTTAAAACCATTAAAGTTTTATTAAAATGTGTACGCGTAAACTACAGACAGTATTTATCAATACAATAATCAAGGCATATTTCCCAAAATGAGTCTCGTCTAGGCATAATGTTTACCTGTAATGAAGTGCCAACTGCACGTATTCATCTTTATTGTCCGGCGTAACGCGCTTATGCCTCGTCGACAGCGGCACTTCATGCCCAGCTGCCGATGGAATGGAGAAGGGCAGTTCCAAGTTTTGGAGTTCCTGTTCAAATTTTAATAGTTCAAGTCCTGCCCGTGTCGTAAATTCTTTAAATGTATATAGTTTTTTTTGTTAGATTGTGCGTGGTTATATTGTCATATATACTACATAAAACATTATGTGTATGTAGTGTGTATTCAAAAGTTATACATAAGGTTCTGCTTAAACTTTCATTGGTGATTCCAGGGGGGTGGAGGGGAAGAGGGGAGGTTTTAGTTATCTCCATACACGTGCAACTAATCTATTGTAAAGTGAAATAATGTGTATGTACCTTGTTAGTGGGAGTCATGTCGCGTATACACAGCAAAGCTGGTAGGAAATCCTTATCGACTTCGGCAAGGTCTTGTGGGCGTAATGGCTGTCCAGCTAATTGCCTCCAAACACCTTCAGCCAGCGAGAGGGATAAGGGCGAGCCGGTTCGAATCGCAATGCCCATGAGGACACCTGATAATAGAAACAAATGAATAATATATTACTAAAAGGTAAAATTAGGAATCTCGAGACGCCCCCAAATGCCCAAGGGTAAAAGGATATATTGATAAACTGGCGAAATACATAGAAAAGTTATTATATCTGTAGTTAAGAAATGAAATAACAAGTTTTTTATAAAAAATAATAATAACTAATATGTGTATTTTGTATTTTAAGTGTTTTGTGCGTGGATTTTTATTTGGATGCGGGTCAAAGCTAACACTGATCTTTGAGATTTCGATAATTTTCAGTGTGAAAAATAAAGAAGATATTAACAAAATAAACTAACATATATAAAGACATGAAGAATTATACATCCTTTTTAATTTCTCAATCTTATAAGATATTACTAATATAAAAATAATATCTTAGTAACATATCATTATTTTTGATTGTTATTTAGATTATAAATATACAGTATTATTAATACTGTATATTTATATATTTATATTATATATATACTAGGTATTTTAAACTTACCAAGGAATCTAAAGCAGTTGAGATGTAATGGCGTATTAGCTGTAGGATTGAGCAAGAAGGCGTCTCGTGATGCGCCCGCGTCGCCCCGGCCGTTGGGCGTTGCCATTAGTAGCGGCAACGATCCGTTCTGTAGTTCCTCACACATTTCCGCGATACTTTCGCTATACCCACCTCCACAGTCATCCACGCTTTCACCTGAGACAAAACAGATTTTTTAATAATCGTACACTATCATACTAGAAATTATATATTATTGTATATTATAATATAAATGCTTTAGATATCTCAAACGAAATAAAAATAAAATGAACTCTTGTTTTTAAACTAAATTATATAATCTCATTAACTTGGAATGTATTACCGCATAAAAATCTGGTTCGGACCACTTAAAATAAAACTCGAGACTGTTGGATCTTTTAAACTCTAATGTATTATATACTAACCAACAAATTTAACTTTCCACACGCGATGAGGCAAAGCGAGAGCATCTTGCGTGAGAGCAGGTAACCGAGCTACCATCTGGCCGAAGACCGACCGCATACCCGCTGGCCCAGCTAAGCCCGTGCCGCCGCGACGCGCCCGTCTAGCTGCCACCCGGGACAACTCGACCACGGGACCGTGCTGGCGTTCTCTGACCATCGTTGTCATTATTGCCTGTTTATATAACAAAAGTTTTTCCATAAAATCCTTCAATATAAACAAAGTGAAGCTACTTCGTTATAAAAAAACTAAGAGAGAGTTTCGATAATATTTATTGAAATAAATAATAAAATGTGCTTTACCTTCCTGAAAGCACCTTCCTTTACACTGTAAAACAGCAGTGTGCGTAGTTGGTCGAACGGTCCGTCCAAAATTAGTAAAGGCAGATTTGGACATACGAGTTCTGAGAATTGGTGGAGTAGTACCTGGATGAGAACAGTGTCACACAATAAGACGAGTGTATTAGCTATAACGATATCTGTCTAGAACTAGTACTTTAAAATAACTAACGTAAAGGTGAACAATAGTGATTATTTTTTTCAATGGTGAAGATAAAGAGTGTAATTATGATTATTTTTTGTAATAAATGTATAAACCACCAAAAAAGTTTTACCAGTCTATGGCACATGCGTTGCGGTGACATGTCTCGTAACAGATGGCATTCGAGTGGTGGATGTGGAGGAGCACGGGGGGCTCTCGGAGCCTCCACACACAACGCTACAGTGTGTGCACTTCCGCAGGCAACCTTTGTTACACGTTTGCCCTAAAAACAATTGCTCAAATATTTAACAAGGTTTTGTCAATTTATCTTTCGACCTAACACCAAAAAAGAATTCATTTAAAGCAGACAAATTAATGCACCGGCAGTTGCTTTTGAAAGTATGTTACTTATCCGGCTCAAAGGACCAAATTCAACATTTACATATCAATGTTTAATAGTTAAACAGGAACCATATCTATGAAATTGTATAATAATAGCACATACTTGCATAGCCACAAGTAATCTAGGCCTTTGTGCAGCTAATGTCGTTCCATCGCCCAATTGTCCTTCGTCATTATCACCCCAAGTGTAAACCTCGCCTGTATCCGTACAAGCGACGCAGTGTAAACTTCCTATGAAATAAAATATATCATTTAAACCAGCACACAAAACGTCATATGCATATATGCGCAAATCGCGTAATCACACGCCGAATTATTTCCAAACACATACATACACATATAAACATTTAGAATCAAACGTGTATGTCACCACGATTACCCATTCAAATATATTATAACAATAGTTGTAAGTAATTTAATTGTATGATGGATTAATGGAGCCCTGGCGATATTTGTTAGGTGATTACTTAAAAGGGATTTCATATCAAAACTTAATACATACTTTTTATTGTTTTATAATATTTTATAAAAAAATTACCAGTGGCAATCGAGACGATCATTTTTCCCTGCATACCCGTGACGCGCATTGGTCTACGAACGTGGTCGTAGCTTCCGTGTCCGAGTCTATGATAGTCGCCTTTGCCCCTTTAAAAAACATAATAAATACAAGTACTTGAATAAGAATACTAAAAAACTAATGATAATTCCTTACCAAGTATAAACACTTCCACACTGACAGAGCGCCACGGAAAACTGTGATCCGCACTCTACCTTGATTACTCGTAGACCTTTCAAACAATCTATTCTCATAGGTAGCTTACAGCCTTCGGAACCACCACGGCCTGGACAGAGAATAATACGTCTGATATAGAAATATTAAGAAACAGTTTGTTATAAAAAAACCTTCCATTAACAGAATTAATCAAGAAAACATGGCACACTTAAGAAATAAGAAATGAAACACCAATTTATTTTGCACTTGTTGAAATGAAAAAGACGACAGGTGCTTTTAGAATGTAAAAGCACCTGTCGTCTAGCGCGCTCAACTTTTGTGTAGAAGTTGTTTGAGTGATTTAAAGAATGGTTAGAGCAATACTTACCCAATTTTCCATAATCCCCATCACCCCAAGACCATACATTGTCATCATCTGTTATGCACAGGGTCTGTGCATCGCCCGAACCACACGCCACATCTATCACTCTGTAGTTGGCAAGTGCTTCCACCTATAAAATTGCGATCATTTGGGATAAAAATGAAGTGTGTATGAGTAAAAGCAACTAAAATAATAATAATGTTGTAACAGACTAATTATTATATTCGTATTTATTAGTTGTATATTAAAATATATTTTATAGCTTGGTAAAATTTATGCTACAGACTCAACTAGTCAGAACATTAGCACAGTACACTTTTTGTGGATTAACTGTCTCTTTTACAAATAATAGTCAATTGACTTGAAAGACTGTCAACAACGGTGAAACGTGACGTACCACAGACTATGCCTGACTACAGAGTGGGGAGAAATAAAGAATTTCTGAAATAATAATCCTCCGACATACACAAGAGATAAATCATAATAAGACAATCACCATTTTGGGTACGAGTTGGTCCTCTGAGTCTCCATGTCCCAAGCGCCCGTAACGACCTTTACCCCAAGTGTAGATACGACCTCTCGCGGTCAGACACGCAGAATGGGCACCACCACATGCTATTGCTACCACTTCTAGTCCAGAGAGAGCCGTTATGAGCTTTGGTCGGTCGTAATTCCTGATGTGATATATATATACATATGAGCACAAGTATTGTCTGTAGTTCAAGCAAGTTGAAACAATTAAAGGTTTGACAGACGAAGAAACATAAATAACATCAATAAGAAATATGTTCCATCCCCACCGGGTATAACATTTTTCTAATCAATTTGTAATTTCTCTGAAACATTTGGACTTCGTCTGTTTAGTTGGATATTAAAGGGGAGGTAGGAATATCGAAATTTCGTCGCAAACCACTGTCCACAGATGAAAAAGCCGTTCATTTAAATCGGGTTTCGGTTTTAATCTGTGGACTACCAATTATCCAAAGCCGATATAGTCGACATCACATCTAGTTTAGGTGTTAAACTGCTGGGGTTAAGCCTTCAATCGAGTGAGCCCATACTCGTCTATCATAAAAAAACGGAACTTTACTTACAGTTAGGGTTTTCGAACGTTCAGTTGCCTTATTAACGTTGTTGGGTTTAAACGTACATATTTGGAAAGTTTTAACAAAGCAATGTTTTTTTTATTGTGTATAATATAACACGATATTGTTTCGTTTATAATATAGCTTGGCATTATTTTAAAGTTACAAATTATAATTACTTACACTCGATTTCCATGGCCGAGTTTACCATCTTCTCCTTCACCCCAACTGTAAACATCTCCATCGGAAGACAGAGCCAGGCAATGTTTTCCACCGGAATTACAGGCGACCTACAAAGTTTTATAAACATAAGAATCAGTTTTGAATGCACGTGCAACTACTCAATAGTAGATACGTACCTTTGTTATAAAAACGTGTTGTAAGGACGCCAGTAATGTAGGCTGTGATACGGAATCTATACCTCCTATTCCCAAACGACCACCTGCCCCATAACCTGTGAAGTTTAGTAGTTTTTAACATAATATAAATATAAAACAATTTAATCATTGCGTAACTGAGTTATCAATCTTGCTATTTATACAAAAATACAATTTTATCTTTTTTTTCTAATTACTTGCAATAAGCGAATGTGCACATTTAGCTTCTTATTTATAACTTTAAACGGCTTAAATCGAGACATATATTAGGTAAATTATTATTTCAAACTACAACCCGATTTTCGGAAGCTTAGTACCAGGCGTGGTAATGGGATATTTATACATATTTAAATAATGATACCTGAAGAGGATTTAATTGGATTAATCATATTAAATAAGGTTTTTTAACTATATTATATCTCCAATTACTATTTCATATTTTTTTAATACGACTGTATTTGTTTGTTAATATATTGACCTGTATTGCCATCCTACCTGTGGCATATACTTTTCCATCCGGTGTGACTGCAAAGAGTGTTTGTTCACCGCCCACAAGTTGCACTGGGTTGAGACTAGCGAGGGCTTGGCACGGGGTAGGCGATCGGACCTTAGCACCTTCCACCCCACCAAGTTGACCCCGGTGGTTGTGACCCCATCCGTAAACAGCACAGCCACGGGAACTGCCGTTCCACCAGCCAGTCCAATCTTCTGGACGCCTAGTACAAAATGACGTATAAAAAAGCTGGATATATATATTTCGTATTATTTAGTATTTGGATTAAACTTAAAACTTTGTAAAACATTCTAATTGTCTAAGAGACTGCTCTACATTTGTTGTGAAAAAACAACAAAGAGATAGGGCATGCTTAAAAGGCCAGTTGGAAATGTTAGTTAGTATACGATATTTTAGTAAAATCGCTAGTGAAGTGCAAGCACTACCAATCACTAAGGTAAAATCCTACGCTATCCTAAAAATTGCTTGGAAAGTCATCAATATTTAATCGACATCAATGCTTAGCGAGAGAACCCGCTCTGACAAGAAAAAATATGTAGTACGCTTCAGTAATTAAAGACCGTTAAAGAAAACTTGGCGATAAAAGGAGTGGCGACGAGTTTCTTGCCAATTCTTCTCGTTCCTTGATTTGAGAACTGGTAGTAAATGTAAATTTAGAGTCTTTAGTTTTTAACAGGTGTGACGTTCATAAGTGTACATAGAATTAATTTATCGGTTTCAACTTATATTTTTCACATCGCACATGAAGGCACTATATAATTTAAAAATTGAAAATAAATTGAAAAAAATGTTCGACTCGGGCAGGACTTGAACCAGTATCGTAGGACTCGATAGCTCAATTCCTAGAGTAACAGCACGGAAATCTGACGATGCCGGTTCAAGTCTTGCCCGAGTCGAACATGTTTTTCAATTTCTTTTCAATTTTTAAATTACACGATGTTACTTATTAGTATTGACTTACTTATTCACCCAGTGCAATAACTGCTCATCATGCTGCCTAGTAAACTTCGAGTTGTCTTCGAAAGCGTTGGATTCACTAGACCCTTCTTCAGTATAGACACCGAGGTCTGCCAATCGTTTCCGAACGTCTGTTAAAAAGGCTGATGGAAGGGGCGCGCGACGAAGTAACGCGTCCGCAGGTGCGTATGCACAGACAGTAACGTTTAAACCACGCCCACCGCGCTGCGTCCGTACCGTTGCACACCCGTGAGTCTACGCGTAAGCCACAAGCGAGCCACGCTAGTTCCTAGATAGTAAATGTAATTTTAAAAACTCTTACGTTGCAATACGTTTTGTTTCTTTGAGCCAGAGTGAGAGAGACAGCGTTTCACGAAACGAAAAAAATCATATATTAAACTATTACCTAATTTATTTATGTAAATAGGTTATTGTATGAAAATCGAATAATATATCAATAGATTTAAATCTATACTATTATATAAAGCTGAAGAGTTTGTTTGTATGTGTGAACGCGCTAATCTCAATAACTACGGGATCGAATTGAAAAAATTATTTTTGTTGGTTAGAACATTTATCGAGAAACATAGGGATATAATTTATAAGGTAAAAAATTATTTTAATATTGCGGACTAAAAATTGACAACGAAGAAAACATTCGGGATCTACGAAGTCAAGTTAAGGTCAGTTGAAGTTTTTAAAAAATCCACGGGCCCGTAAACATATATAAAATCTTTTATTGAATATACATTTGTAAAGAATGGCAAAACATTAATATATGTATGTTAAAAATCACCTTTAAATAATGTGTGTGCATGAGATGTGTTCCAGTTCTGAGAGCGGGTTCTTCGTGTTCGTACTGGGCTTGTAACAGCTGGGGCAGATGTTGCAGCGCTGGTGGTGTGCCGGCTGTTGGTTCACCTTCTCCACCACAGACCACACCGCGAAGACGACGTACACACCAAACACGGGCTCGCCAAGCTATATACATATATTATTTATTATATTTCGTCGCGGAATCGGGTCTAACTTGTATCATCAGATTGCAAAAAAAAAAACAAAAATGCTTTTATCATTAATTCAGCAAAACATCTACTTTTAATGATGTGTAAATTATAGTTAACAATAAATAAAAAAAAAAAAAAAATTTTTAATTTTTTTATCTCCTTTTACTCTCTGTATAATTGCAAAATATTTAAGGTTTAATGTCCAGTTTATATTATTTGAATATTTGAACATGATGTTCCAACTGTCGTTTGCCAGTATGCTAAGTCGTAAATATTTCTATCTTCTTTTGAACTTTACAATAAATACATTTTAATAGCAATTAGAATCGTTTAGAAGAAATATAGATTCTTCATCGTATGCCCCAAAATTGACGTAGTATAAGCAAAATTTTTAATTTGCATTTACGAGTTTAATTTTTAATTGCTAAAATATTTTATTAAATAACAATATAAATATGGCGATGATAATTAAATATTAAAATCGATACGATTTACTTACATAATGTTAGCATCTGTGCGCAAATGGCAAGCGCTTGTGCCAACCTGGGCGCAAGTTGGTGATCGTTCGAAATGGCTGTTAAGAGAGGTCCATCCAAGAGCCGCCAAGCAAGTTCCACAGACGGACACGAGAGCACGTATCGATCGGTACCACTTTCCTAAAAGCAAGGAGTATTGAGTCTATCTCTAATCAAATAGGAAGTCAGTAAAACTAGATTAGATCACAAAAAAAGCGTAAATTAATTCGACGTCTTCTGTATAGAAGTAACGAATAGAAGATACATAAGTTTAAATATAACATTTTTAATGGTTTCAAACATGACATATTAGTTAAAATTATTTTAACTTCGGCTAGACGTTTTAGATACTTTGCAGCAGCCGTGGTATCGGATTTGTAAATAAGTTTAACTAATACATTTCGCGTTTTAAATCGTTAAAACTGTTTTATTTAAATGTTCACTACTCGCGTAAACCACAGACAATAAATTATTAAATTATGTAAAAATTAAATTAAATTATACCACAGACAAAATTAGATTCAGAAGTTGTCTGGCTATTTATAAGCTTACCGAAGGCGAATGAGTAGGTAATATTGGATGTGCGGTGAATCTCCAACCCCAACCGTTAACAGAACCGTCACTCGTAAATCTCCAACGCAATTCGTCACCTGTTAGTATAGTTTAATTATAGTAAAACTTTTTTTATAAATTATTTTGTAAATGAATTGTGTAAGGCATGACGTGAGCGTAAAGAGGTTCTCACGTCGGCGAAACAGCCCGAAAAACAATTATATGTTTTGTAAATATTTTAATAAAAAAAACACAATTGCCTATGTTTTAATATTTCTTAAAATCGAGGAAAGATGGCCTTGTTGTATGGTTAGTACGAGGGGACGAAAAATTTATGAGTCTATCGTTTTTTACTTACAGTCAGTTGTTTTGAATTCGTATTTCCATTCTAATCGATTTACCATTAACGATAACTTCTTGCGCCCAATCCGTGGGTTCTCTACCGGAGCGAGTAGCCAAAACGCGTCCAGCAGCATCCGATATAGTTAACGGATCATTTCGTCGTTCCGTAGAACAGCCCTGTTCGAAAGACACGCGGAGAGATGACGCACCGGGAATTTTCACAACTCCTGTAAAAAATATAAATCTTTTATCAAAAACTAACTGTTACCCACGACGTTCGCGTCCCGTCGTTCTAGGCAGTTAATCTTAAAGAACACATATACCTACAGTCCCGACATTTCTGTAGATCAGTGTCTCGCAAACTGTGTGCCGCGGGAGAATGTTAAGTGTGCCGCAAAAGATTTTCCAAGTTGCAGTAGATATTCTGAGATTAATCTATAAACCAATTTCTGATAACTATAAAATTACCCAAAAAGTAATAATTTAACTTTAACTAAATAACCCAGAACGCAGGTACTCGTAACAACAAGATGCACAAGCGAGGGCGAATTGGTTAGAAAAGCACTGGGCGTGGTTTTTCTCCCACTCAACGTATTTAATAATGTAATTTAGCTTAGTGTGCCGCGGAAAAAAAAATCATCAGTTAGCGTGCCGCAGACTAAAAAAGTTTGCGAGACACTGCTGTAGATCATTAAAAGAGTGTTATATTATACACATTTTTGGCCTTGAACCTGATTATTTTTTAATTCGAACCAGTAGTTCCTGAGATTAGCGCGTTTAAACAGATAATATATTATTGATGAAGTAACCGTCGCTAATGTAAAAAATATGTCACTCACTTTTGTAGACAGGCAAGTAGATTATCAGACTATTGTACCCTACTCAACCAGAACAATTATTCTTTCCCCGATATTCCAACCCAGTACCTCTAACGTGTAACGCAATTTGAGGTTTACCCATTGAAGTTATTTATGTAGGCGTAGTGTCAGAGATGTTAAATGAAGTATGGGATTTGGTATTTTTTTACTATCTGATACAGACATTGTGTAAAGAAATACTTTGTATTTGGTTATACCTGATATATCCGTATCGTCAGCGTAAGGATGTGGACTGTCTACAGTTACAGGCAGCGGTGGAGCTCTACCACTTCCGGCAGCTGCTTCTTCCAACTCACACACACAGACTTCGACCACCATATCAGCTACGCTTGGTTTGCTTGCACACAAAGCTATAAAAACATGAAATGAAAAATATGAATACTAAATTAACCAATCAGAACATATGAAGCAATTCAAGACTACTAACTAATGAAAATTTAGTTCAACGTAGGACATTACTTTACTTAAGATAGTTAGGACGCTATGTCCTTAAATTGAAAATCGATGTAGATCAAACGAGATTGACTACACGATCGGGGCTCGAACCGGCATCCATACAGTTGTCGTCATTTTTTAAATCTAAATCAATTTTTAATTTTCATAATGCCATCACACCAAAATATTAAAGTTAGTAAATCTATCCAGTTATCAATCGGTCTTGTGAAATAAAATATATTAAAGGATTAAAAATCAATACATTAAAGGATTTCATTAATTATAATATCATCAAATCCTAATCGATATATTATTTTAGCTTATGTCGTTTTTAACCTTTGAAAGTGTTTTAAAGAAGGTGAAATAACTTTCTTATAACATACAAAAAAAAAACTAGGACATAAGTCGACAGCGAGACATTATTATATAGCATATATACATATATATGACACATGTACACAATTATTCACTCACCCATAAGAACATCGGTGATAACTTTGACAGCATTACTTGCTTCTGGTATTCGTCCAGCTGCCGCCAACTTTAGTAGATCGACTAACGCCCTGGCATCAGACTCACCAAGTTGTGATGTGAAATCGTCCAATTCAACCTGGGCAAACAAACCGTTGAATTTTCTAATTAGAAGCTATATAATAGTACCTTTTTTATGTTACGCTACCATAACTTAATCTAAGTATACCGCTGTTTATATACTGGGACTATAATTATCTTTGGTAAGACTGGTTTTGGATTTTGCAAATTAAATTCTTGTTGGACTGTATGTGGTATGGAGCTGTCTTTGCCTTGTATTTTCTGTCTGTGTATAGTAGATAATCTTTTTTTATGATAGTAGAGAACAGATAAGCATGGAGTTTACTTAATAGTAGGTAAAATATCCCAGCCCTATCATCTAAGTAAAATGCACTGTCGATCTATTTGGCTTTGGAAGTTTATATCCACAGACTGAAGCCGAAACGCGATTCAAATAAATCGTTTTTTCATCTGAAGTCGTTTCGTGATCCGGACGGAATTTCGATTACCACCAATTTAATATCAAGATTTCCAGATGAATTCCGACATGTTTCAGGAAGATTATAAATTGATAAGAAACATGTTTCACGCGGTGGGGATCGAACCCCGACCAGTTTATTAGCCATACATTGCTACTATTACAGCAACAATCCTGTCAAACGTCGCCTTTTCAATTATTACGGTTTAAAGAAACCTTGGGTGCTTCTGCTTGTTGAACTGTCATGGTTGCCGCAGCCACCGAGACCGCACTTGATGACATCACTGCTGAATGCCGGGATGATATAGATCCACTAAGCGGGGTGCTAGCACCACTCTAAAAAATCAAAAAGTTAATATACTTTACACATAAGTGCCGTAAATGTCTATAACTCTTGCACACAATTATATTACACAAACATATTTATAAAATCTTATATTAAAGATGTAGAAAATAGTAAGAAAAAGAGGAAGAAAACCTTTTAACATGAAAAGCAATGACACCTTTTCCTATTTTTTATTACATTTAGGTGCATCATAACCACACGATGACTGCTAATTCGGTCTTTTCGTGTAATAGAATCCTACTTTAAAATTGAAGGATTTATATTCTTAAGTACAGACGTTAGTAAAAATGTACGTACAGGTAGTGTAGCTCTATCCGCGGGTGCCTCCCCGCCACCAGTCCTAGCGTCAGCTTCAGTCTCCTCCTCTTCAGTTTCAAGGCCAACCACTGGTGTGCTCGTACATACTTCATGTGCCCGTAACGCTTCTACGAGGAGGCAGCGGGCCTACACATAATAAATACAACCCATTCGGAAAGTAATTTCAAGTCATATTTATTCGGAAAGATTTCTTCGGCCATTATATATAGGCTTTATACAGTTTAGGTTGCTTAAATTATATCGCTACACAAGAAATACAAGATATTGAAATTTCCCCATTAAACTATACTTCTATATACGAAACTAAAAGTCGAAAATTTTATTAACATTTTTACAACAGTTTAGTTTGTTTGTCAGGAACATCAATTTGAAGTTGGCAGATGAAATGTCAGTTGTTAATATGCAATTCATTGTAAATTCCACCATTGGTTAAACGTAAAATTATAAAAAGAATTGATGATTTTTAAAAATTTACTTTAAATGTCGTTTTTTTATATTTACGGGTAAGTAGTTAATCATTAATTACACTGTAAATTAAAATTGTCCGTGTTTACTACGATGTAAAACTTTATTTACAGAACAACGCAATTGTTTCTTTTAACGTCCTCAATTCCTATAAAGAATTGGCTTAAATGCGTATAACTACTAAGGTAGAGACATCATTTAGGCATAATATAGAAAATAAATAACAATTGGCAAATGAAATTAGTCTGAGCTGCTTATAAGCGCTCGTCACTTTCAGCAAATACAAACCCTACCTGTGTAATATGCAAAGCTAGTAGTATAAGTGACAGAGCATGTTGGACAGCAACAGGTGGTTCGAGTGTCAACGCAGCGGCTGCTAGCGAAGGTCGAGGGCCGTGGGACTCTTCTATACTGTTCTCTTCTGCGTACAAACCTGGCAATTCAAAAATGTATAAGAAAACATTTATAAGAGGAATGTAATGTCAAGTCAATTTGAACTTTAATGCATTAGAATAAAGTTCAAGTATTAGTGGAAAGGTCCCGAGGAGGTAGTGTGGTAACGCTAGAAGCGGATACATATCAATGTCAAATATGATCAAAAATAGAACTTGATTTAGAAAAATAAGTATAAAATAAAATGTAATGTGTATACTACACGAAGGTCGCCGAGATTACTAGTATTATTTATACGGTAAAAATATTAACACTACATGTTTTTTTCTTACGATAGACAAGGCCAGTCAAGCATATAAAATCTACCACTTATATAAAATCTACACATGCACTGTCGACGCTGTTTGGCTTTGGATATTCGAAAATCCACAAACTTAAACCGAAACGCGATTTAACTCGACGCCTATGTCATCCGTGGACAGTGCTTCGTGACCCGGACCGAATCTTCTGTATTCCTACCACCCATTTAATATCAGAAAAAAATAAAAATTGATTAGAACCAACCAATTCGCACTCACCAAGACTATGTGCGCCTAAAGGATCTTTCAATGAAGGGAAAGGTAAAGGTGCTATATGAGGCGTGGTCACATCCGCCTGTAACGCAACGGGGCGGAGCGCCCAAGCAGCGGAATGCGATGAACCAGCAGCAGCTCTTTGCACACCTTCCACGCCAGCGACTAATGCCGGTCTACGGTTCACGCAAGTTGTTCCGTTACCCTGTTGACCATGGTCGTTGTCTCCCCATGCCCACACCTGAATAAAGACGTAATTAGGTCTCATTTATTGTAAAAACATTTATTTATTATTTTTAAAAACTTTTGAGCTACATTGCTATTAGCATGTTTGGTTTGTTAAAAAGCGTAGACATTATGTAGCAATATAACACAAAAATCGACCTCAATAACGGGTAACTTCTAAAGTAGTATAACAAAATTAAACCGGAACCTAACCCGTTACTTGAAGAACAGTTATTGCAAAGTTCATTAAGCGATTAGAGCTGTCGTAAATTCTCAAAAACTACAAGTTATAAACCTATACGGAAAGATGTATTACCTTAGCGATAAAAGGAGTGGGGGCGAGTTTTTTGCCAGTTCTTTTCGTTCGTTCTACGCCCTTGATTTGAGAACTTATAGTAAAGGTAAATTTTGAGCCTTTAGTTTAATCTGGTGCGACGTTCACAAGTGTACGTAGTTACCTACGTGAATAAATTATTTTTGACTTTGACTTTTGACCTGATTATCACTGGTAACAGCCAAGCAATGGAGTGCACCAACGGCGACATGTATAACCCTTCGCCCGCGTAATGCTTCCACCAGTGTGGGGCGTCGGAAGTGGGCGTCGCATCCGTGGCCCAGACGAAAATAATCACCCTTGCCCCACGTCCAAACCTTGAAAGCAAATAAAGAGGTGATATTTAATTGAAACTGACTATTAAGTATTGTATTTACCCGAGTACACATTATAATAAAACACTTTTAACGGTTTAGAATACGAAATATATTAGTCAACTACGCGACATCCAAAATGTCGATTAAAATAAGTTATTAATTTTTGCTTTTTAAACAGTTAAAATGTTCTACTTCACTGACTAATATTAATTTACTACAATTAAAGTCAGATTATTTTTATAACAGAGGAGGATAGTTCTGCAGTTTGAGGTGCAATAATGAAAGGTGACGTCACATCTCATACAGGTTCTATTTTCGAAATTCGAACATTCACGGACTGTAACCGAAACGCGCGCTTGTGAAATATACGACTTCTCTATTTCTGGATAGTACGTATTTTTAGAAAATTTGATAATGATTAACACCCGGTGAAAGTCGATTCCATGACCCAATAGATATTAACCATACACCGTGACTATCAAATAAACGCTAGCTGATTTTCGATTCAGGAATACTAAGTCTGTATTACAAAAATATTTCGGTTTTATTGTCACAAATGAGTTAAATCATGTAAATATACCTCTCCATCGCGTGTTAAAGCCAGACTAAATTGAGCACCACATTCGACCTGCACCACATCTAGCGTGTTTAGTCTTTCAACGTTCATTGGCACAGCGCAGCCGTCGGAACCACCGCGGCCTGGAAAAATCCGGTTAAATACAAGTTTAAAACCGATATTAGGAATGAAAATATTCATTTTTTGAATAGCCTAGCACAATATTTGAATACCTTGCCTAGCAATGCGATAAGCGCGAAAGGTGCTGGATTGGATTCCCGGGGCGACATATTTATTTCTATCGAACAGAAACAAATATCTGAACTATGAAAAAAATAAATTAATATCGCCTCCATAGGACAATGTTTGAATATCTTGCGTAGCATTGCGTTAAGTGGGAAAGATACAGAATTCGATTACCGGGATAGAAATCTTACCTACTCGTCTGTAAATACAATTGAAAGACAGATGCAAATGTGTATCTGTACAATGTGTCGGTTATCCGAAGTTCTCTTTAATACATTACGTAATATTTCACATTTGACATTTGAAATAATTACCCAATTTTCCAAAATCACCATCGCCCCATGAGAAGACCTTCCCACAGGCCGTTAGAGCCAATGTTTGTGCGTCACGTGACCCACACGCAACATGGATCACTCTAAATGCAGCTAGTGCTTCCACCTGCAATAAAAGCTAAATGTATAACGGCTTGAAACTTGTAATATACTACCTGACTGCGATTCGACGTTTCAGATATTATAGCAGCCATTATAAAATTTAAAGTTTCATATAATATCTATAACTAGCGTAGGTCAATTTGTCTAAAATGAAAACAAATAGAAAAAAAGGGACAGACAATTTAAAACAAATGAGAGCTTTATATACTCATATTTTTTAGTTTAGTATTTTTAAGTGATGAAGAAACATACTTCTATTTGTAAATGATCGCTCTTTGTATCCCAGTTTTCACTCAGATTCGATTGTATTTTAAATAAGAAATAAGGGACTAGTATTTAATATCTAAGTCCTTAATTATACAACAATTCTTAAAATAGGAGCTAGACCTAACAGATTGCGTATATATAAATATGATGGGACAATTAATGAAGACAAAAAAAAACATACCAATAATAATTTGATACACAAATTACAATTCATATGAAAAACAGAAACGTAAAATTATAATGCTCACCATTTTAGGCGACAGTTGTGTCACATAATCGCCGTGCCCCAATCGCCCATACTCTCCCATGCCCCATGTATACAGGTGCCCTCGAGCGGTCACGCATGCACTGTGCGCTGAACCACAAGCAATATTAACTACTCGTTCACCCGCCAGCGATTCGATGAGACGAGGTGACTCAAGCGTTAGCCGATTTCCGTGGCCCAGTTTACCATCTTCGCCTTCACCCCATGAATAGACCTAGATTGTGAAATGAGGGAAAAATAATATTGTATATTTAAAATCATAGTAGCTTATTATTAAAGGAAGCCTTTTTTGTCATAAAGGAGGACGTTTAAGCGTGTGGTTCACTTGATAGGTGAAATACCTCAGCTTATAGCATCTAAACAAGATGTGCTGTCAGCCTATTTTGACTTTGGAAATCCACAGACCGAAACGCCGCGGCTTCTAAAACTTCACGGCTTTTTATCTATGGACGGTGTTCGTGACCCGGTTCGTCGTTTAATTTTACTACGCAATTACAACTGTACATTAAATTTAAAAAATAGAACAATGACTTGCAGATTTAGTATTTTGACACAATAATGCACACGAAAGGTTTGAAAAGATTGATTTTTTTCTATTGGACGGATCTCGAACCAGCACCACACGCCGCTTTGTTCCTCCTTGCTACGGTGCCTTTATGTTATATATATTTCTGGGAATAAGTCATATGCCTTTAAAATTTTAAATATTCAAACTTGTAGTTGATAGTAGTATTATTGGTAGTAGATTTACTCTGACCAAAGACATGAATTTTTTTAACGATCTCAAAGCCGTCATCGTTTCACAAAGTACTACTATCAAATTGAAATTAAAATATTAGGGAAAAAATATCACCTTTCCGTCAGCAGTCAGGGCTAAAGCATGTTTCCCACCAGAGTGTACCGCCACCCGTCTAACCAACACGTGGGAAAGGTAAGGATTTGCTTTCGGCGTGGAAACGTTGTTACTGTGTCCCAATCCAAGACGACCGTTAGTCCCTTCTCCACATGCGAATAGCTGGATTTACAAGAAGGTAACAAATTACAACTCAAAAGTAAATAAAATACTATTTATGATAGAGAAGGAAGCTTGGGGCTCAGGCGTTTTGTTTTTGGATATTTGGAATTAATTGCTGTTCGGAATAAATTTATTGAAGAAGGCATTACTTATGTATTTTAGTTGATATTTATTTTCAGTATCCGTTATAAAATACATACTCATAATATTATATATCAACAACAAACTACTTAAAAAAAACGTGATTCAAAAATATAGTTATGAAATGCAAAGGAATTAATTCAACTATTTACTCGAACAATTTATCGAAAAATAATGTAATTTAAGGGTGGAAAAATATATAATAAAAATACTTTAATATTAAGGATTTACCGATGGTATAATTTATTTATTTGTCTGCTTAGATTATATGAACGAATTGAAAAAGTAATAAATTGGTTTTATTCAGAAAAACAATGTTTTACCTTCCCATCGTGTGAGACGATAAATAGCGTTTTGGATCCACCTGCAACATGTAAGGGTCGTAAAGCGCTCAGCCCCGGCGAAAACACTGGCACTTTTACTTTAGATCCCTTCACTCCGCCGAGTTGATCTTTATCATTCAATCCCCACACGTACACCTGTGGTGAAATTTTGATTTTAACTCATTGTAATAAAGTGCAAAGTCAAGACAATACAATATTGCTATCCTATTCTTATATTAGGTAATGAGAGAGAGAGAAACTAACTTTTGGACAGTCAGGTTGTACAGAAGGCGCATTGTTGTCGGTTGGCAATGCACCAGTGGGCGGATCCTTCTCCATCCAATCCTCTGCTACAAAGTTCATGCCCTGTGAAAGAGAAAAATACTTGTAAGCTTTTCCGTAGACAATATAGGGTCGCTAACTATACTCTTAATCGATACTTACTGATAATATTTCTGTATACAATGGATTTGGTCTGAAACCAGTAACGTAGAGACCGTACACACGACAGTCGGCGTTCACATTGCGGTTTTGTTTTATCCCAATTTCAATACATGAATAATACTGTAAACATAGAAAAACAATTAGAAATTGAAAACAGTATTTTGATATTAGCAAAGTATGACACCTTACTCATATCAGTGTTTTCCGTTCGGCCGACGTAAGCGAGAAGAGCAAGATGTTTCGCCATCACGAGCGGACGGCATCATCCGGAGATGTTAGCTCCTCGATTGCCAAAGAATTAGTTCTTCGAATAGCCCGAAAAAGGTGAAGGTCTTACACAATTTATTCCTTACTTGTTTACAATCTGAAAGAAGCTGTATTTGCGCCAAGTGAGTTGGAGGTCTGTCCCTAGATGGTGGTGCAGGTGCGCAGGGCACAGCAGCAAGCGGCGCTAATGCAGAGTCATCGAAACTTGAGCCCGCACGCACAGATAAAGCTGAAGGGGCGTGGACTCCACCGGCTACGCCCAAACCGAGGCGACGTATACGCACACCGCAACGCATTTCAACGCGAATCCAGTGCTGAAAGTATGTTTTTACTACTTAAAAAGAAGTTCAAGCAACAAGTATGAACAGTTAAATTATTATTTACATCTAATCTATACACTTGTTTGTATTTGTTTGTTGCTGTCTTTTTCATCAAACTTCACCTTTTATTTCTATTATTTTTTTGAATATGCTGAGAGTATTCCCATTATACATAGTGTTGTATACGGGGACACGCCTTGACAGCGGTAAGAGGACTGTATGATAAAATGACAAAAGGACTCACAGTCTCCAGGTAATTCCTGGCTCTTGTTTTTTCTATACAGTGTTGCTATTAACAAATTTAAATTTAGCGACTACACGTACTTTTTTTTATTTTTTCACTGTGCCGAGGATGCCATTGAAAAAATTAAAAAGGATATAAAATAAGTTAGTTCTACCTGCCCAGTCCCAGTGGAGCTTTGCCAATACGTATGTGGCTGTGAATCTAGAAGACGTCGCGCTCCCGCACCCGACCGACAGGACGAAACCCGTACAGCTCGCACCGCACCTCGCCAACCGACATTAGTACCGCCTGCGCTCTCACCCCATTCGGCTATGAAAGTATCAACACTTTTATTAGTATAAATGTATTTAAGATCAAAATGGAAGTTAAGTGCTTAAGGAAGATTTTATGAGGTTTAGTATTATATTAGCATAAATAAAAAAAAAACAACTCAAGAATAAAGTTAGCGAAAAATTACCTATAAAATACTACTGTACTTACGAAAAATCTTAAAAGTTCTTATCGACACTTACACTGATCAGTTACTAGTTCCATTTCGCTAACTTGACCGGTCCAGCCAGGTTGTTGTGGAAAATCAACTGTCAAGTCCCTTCCATTGCTAGAAATAGCTGTAACGAATAGGACGATTACATAAAAGGGGGGGAAAGTGGTAGGATAAATTTCCTTCAATGTAAATCCAATGTATCCTGAATTATACCTGTAACAGTTCCAACACTAGAATGGTCTATGCAGCCCCATTTATAACGGGGTTGTGTGACAGCGGCGCGAACACGCACCCGATCTCCAGCTGCAAACGGGGGCGCACCAGAAACCACTTCCGCGTGAAGCGCTCGAATGCCCGATATGCGACCGAGTCCCCGCCATTCCACCTAAAAAACAACTTTTAATTTTAATATCCTATTATCTATACTAATATTACAAAGTTGATGCGTTTGTTTGTTTGTTTGAACGCGCGTGTCTATCTTTTTAAGATTAGCACGTAAGAACGATTGGACGCGGACAATTTCGTGGGTAACATGATTTATAAAGTTGAGGAGATTGTCGGCAAAATAAATAACATGACTGCCTAAAACAACTTTTCCACCCGACGAAGTCGCAGACACACTTACTATATATTATAATTCAACAAATAAAAACCTCTGTAGCCAATTTAACACTTTAAGGCAATGTATCACATCTTATTGTTGTAAAATGACTTACGTGTAAATAAACGTTTTGTTTGATGTCTCGTTCAACTTTCTGTACTTGGCCAACATCACCCAGGGCAATCTAGAGAAAGTGAATATTAGATATTTAGAGGTCTAGAAATTATTTGCATAAAAAATAGAAAGTAATTTTATGAAATACTGTCTGTAGTTTACAAGAGTAGTACAAATTCAAATAAAACATTTAAACGGTTTGCAATGCGAAATATATTCAACTTTTTTTAGACATCTTCAACTTAAAAGAAACGTCGGGCCGCAGTTGATGTAATTTGTTTAATAAATTTACCTAATACAATAATAATATACGAATATTTTTATTGTATTACGCGTTTTGAACCGTTAGTGTTTTATTTAAATTAATTAGTTAATTGGTAATTGTTCGGAAGAGACTAGCCGCCCACGACACAGGCAATCCTGATGTGGGGGCGTATAACGAAATTTACACAATATTTTTGTTAAATATAGAGTTTGTATTTGTATATTTATTGGTAATACATTAATATTACGAACTTACATTTTCATAAGCCTTGCAACACCGTACAGTCATACCAGGTGTAATAATATCCGACAAGTATTGTGCGTATTCGTCTTCAGAGGCGAAACAACTCCGCCAACGATAGGGTGTTTGCTTTTTCTCTAGCTTCGAGGTCATTAACCTCGGCTCGAATACAGAGTCGTCCATTCCTTGCTGCGGCAACTCTAGAAGATAGGCGACTAGCGATTCTACAGACGGTAGAGTGGTTCCGCCTAGGAAAAAGGCAATTAGAATTTTATATCAATACCCCGAATGAAACGAAAATTTACTTTGTATGTGTCCAAAAAAATCCTTAACAAGAAGAGGAAGTGGGCGTTATGGGAAACGTGCAGATGCTCTAACCAATTGAGCGACCGGTTAGAGAATCAGGTCGGATCATAGTAAGTGTGGATGTCGGTTCAAGACCCGCTCGTGTCTTCAATTTATTTTCAAACTAAATACGTGTGGATTTTTAATTAATACAATGCTTGAATGCTATTCTATGATTCTAAATTATATTTACTGTATGTACTTACCGAGTGTCTGTATAGCGGCGTAGACGGCGTGCCGCGAGAAACCCATCTCAATGACTTGTTGCACTTGTGAAGAATTCGTCCAAGTGTTGAGGTCTTTTCGGGCTGAAATTTATAATTCGAATATCTTTTGCACAAAAAATTTTTTGGGCCTATTTGGGTCTATGGAAATATAGGCCATATTTCCATAGACTTCCCATTTATATAAACAAATTAAATAATTAATGTTTTTGTTTCGTTGCGTCCTTTGAGATATTATAACACACAGATACAAACAAGATGAGTTAATATATTTTTATATTCTGCCACTATCTTCTATTACACACTTAATTTTTGATGTTTTTCTTAAATATACATACATGACTATTACTCTATATATATATTGACGGGCGCTTTAGTGTGACGCAATGTATGGTTAAACAATCAATCCCTATTTTTCTGTAAATATGGATATTATATGGGTGGGTGGTAGGAATATCGAAACTCCATCCGGGTCACGATGTCCACAGATAAAAAAAAACCGTCAAGTTCGTGTTTCAAGTTCAGGCTGTGACTTTCTGGAAATTCAAAGCCAAAAATAGGAAAGCGCATCTCGTTTAGATGATGTCTCGGGTATTTCATTTACTATTAAGGCAATCCCAAGCCCGTCTGTCCTACGCTATAATAAAAAATTAACTTACACAGAGAAGCAGTACTGGTAGACGGTCCGACAGACAATTGCATTACGTTACTCTTATCTATTATAGGTATTTCAGGAGGAGATTCGTAGTCCTTATCATCACCTAAAAGAAAATATATTTTATGTAAATGAATGAATACGCCTTTATTCCCTGACTGACAATACCGTGTAGATTGTGTTTTAGATGTAAGTTTCAGCTATTTTATTTATTTTACTATAGTATTTCAATCGCGAAAGGTGCTGGGTTTGAATCCCAGGGAAAAAATAACAATAAATAATTTCAGTCGGACAGGGAACAAGTCTTATTAAACCGATCGGTGAAACGGACGGAAATGTATTCATCCTGCTCCATGGAGGATTTGTAATATATTAGTTTTATTCAAAATATTTATTCGCTTTAGAATATAAGGCCAACGTTCATAATTTTAAAAGACAATATTAACAAAATGTACTTTAAGTGTAATCAATATTTTAAAATAAAAAACGGTTTAAAACGTAATATATGTTAAACTTAATTGATTTGTTTAAAAAAAAAAACAAATTTTTATTTCAAAATTTAATATAATAACAAATTTACTATTTTTTTCGCGTTTTAAACTGTTATTTGTTTTATTCAAATGTGCACTATTCCCGTCACTTACACCGCCAATACAATAACTTATTTATATGTATTTTAGATAACATTTTTACTATAAATAGTATAGCAGTATATTATAATGTTCGTGAATATAAATCTGGTATCTTAACTTACTTGCAATGTGCGCCGCCAATTGCTGTGCTATAGTCAAAGCTGCTGTACCGAGATCTTTCGGCGAGTGAGACGCAGCTAACGGACTAGGCCGAGTTGCTAGCGCTAGTAGCCGGCGTAATAAAGTTCCTTCTGTTCCCAGTGTCGTCCCAGCTCGTTCAAGTGATCCTTTAAAGGAAACAATTTTTTTAAAATTATTTTCGCTTTTTTATTAATTTATGACAAAAAATCTAATAAAATAACTAACTACATGCTTCAACGAACATATTACACAGTAACTTTTTTGTGATAGAGGAGGACAGACAAGCCTGGAGTTAACTTGATGGTAGGTAATACCCCAGCCATATAACATCTAAACCAGATGCGCTATCGACCTATTTCGGCGTTGGTTATTCATAAATCCACAGCCGAAACGCTATTTAACGTGACCCGGGTGGAATTACAATATTCTTAACACCCATTTATTATACAGACTTCCAGACGAAGTCCTACATATTTAAAAAAATAATATAAATTGATTATACAAACGTTGGACGCAGTGAGAATCGAATCCACGACCCATTGATATATAATTGGTAATGTTAGCCATACACAGTTACCATAAAGCAAACGAGCTCGTCAAATTATACGGTAAACTAACTGTGAAATTACCTGTTGAATTATCTGGTGGTTGCATCAGCACATTTCTGAGCCTAGTGCGGGTCGTTAGCAATCCCCGTACAGCTGTTAGCGTTAGCAACTCCATCTGCTGTCTCCTCAATCCAAACACATCAATTTCCGCTAGAAATAATGAAACATGTTATTTTTTACTCAAAATACTTGTAAATAAGAACCTAAAACATGCAAGTTTTTTATATTCTTTATTCAATGAGATGGCGCTTGAATGGCGTCAAAGTTATATTAAAACTTCTCAGGCATTTTATTGACAGTTAATGTAATTATATTATCATTGAACACACAATCCAATAATTTCTCGAACGGTCATAATAAATGTTATGCTAACATAATTTACCAGGTAAGTGGTGTGGATGCATAGGCGAAGCTTGGGGCCCCGCACCGAGTAGGGCAGCGGATACTCTTAGGGCGCTTTCGCCGCCCCCTAGCGGATGTGACAGCTTTTCACTTTCTATATTCTGTACGCTGTTTAGATCAGTCTGAAAAAAAAAATGAAACGCTCATTTTCAGCTAAAGCGAATATTGACTTCTATAAAAATGTGTGCTCTACGCAAGACCCCTTTTGGTTTGGTTTTAGACATTTATTAAAGAATGTACACATTCACTTATTACTAAGTTATCTAAATATTACATTGGAATTTGGACAGTATTTTTATTGAACACAACTATAAAAAGGAGATAGTTATGAACAGTATATCATAATATTATTATCTAGCTTTTAGCATCACTTTATTTCAAATTAAATTTAATCTTGTCGTGTTAATTTTTTCATTGTAATTATATTTATTTATTTTATTTAATTATTCATTTTAACTACGTCCCAACGTTTTATATGTTTTGCAGCAGCCCTGGGCTCTGGAGGACTGAAGATAGAGGGTGTCCCTAATATCAAAGTAAAGTTGACAGATTTGCAAAAACATGCTGGGTCCTTAGAGAACTGACGGCGCGTTTCAAACCGGTAAAAGTGTTATATTTAAATATGTCTTATTGTATATTTAAACGTTCACTTCATGAGTTCATTAGTTATTAGGAAATACCTTAGTTGTAGTATTGTCATCATGCACCAAAGTAATCTTGGCTCGCGTTGAGAGTTGTGTTATAACAGCGTTACGTGGGGGCGAACCGGCACTGACACGTTGACCTAAACGCAACCGCCATTCCATACCACCCACGACCCCCAAAGCACCAGCTTAAATAAAAAATCATAATAAAGTCTTAAAGAATCCAATTTTTAATTACAGTTAACAGCCAAATAATTATGAAACAAATTAATCAATAAGTCCTTACCGATTAGACATGTATCTAGCGTGGGAGGCGTTGGTTTCAGTGTTTGTGCCAAATCTTGACTTGCGTGTGGCCACCAATGCCAGTCATTTGTTATCTAGAAAAAATTGTTTAGAATAACGTTTAAAAAAAATTGTAAAGAAGTATCGCTTTTGATTATAATCGTATTCGCTACTCTCAGTTTGCGTGAGAGATCATGGTTTCGAATCCCGGGGAAAATAATAAATTGTAAAAGGATTTATGTTTGTTTTTATTTATTAAACTTTTTTTATTATTTATAAAACAACAGAAATGGTTGATATGAAAACAAAGTAGGAACTTTTAAAACGTGGCCTCTTCCCTACATAGCGATCTCTTACAGGCAACCAGGAGTGTAGCGAAAAACCTAGAGTTAGAGAGGATTACGTAAAAAGGAAACTAAGAACTTTAACGGTAATCCTTGAAAACTAAAATTTTTAAAAGTACTGAGAGATTGAGCTTTTGACGCAGGGGCAGAGATTTCCAGAGATTAATAGCGTTAATAGTTAAGGAGTTGTAATAAATAAATAATAAAAAGGTTGAAGGTTTTCTTTATTTGTTTGTACAGACATACCATTTGAGCAGCTAACTGCATTTTGTCAAGAAGCAAACTAGTGATGGGTCCATGCCATTGCGGCATGGCGTGCAATTGTCGCAAAAGGTTGATAATCGCTGCACAAGTAGCTCCGGTATAACTGGCAGTTGCTGGTGCGCGCCATCTGTTATCTATGGGATAGAATAATCTTAATTACTATAAAATACTAAACAAGGACTCGCACCGCTTTAATGGTCCAAATCTAGGACACAAGTCGGTTCAACCACTAGCCTGTAAACAAAATCTATCTTTATAACAGAGATGTAAATACTGTCAATAGTTAGATTCGTTTTCTAATATATATCGCGTTTTAAACCGTTAAAGTTTTTTATTTAGACAGATGTGTTACCTCCTTGCCTAATATCGGTGAAACAACATTTTACTATTAAAAACTACAAAATAATTTCGTTACAGAATTTGGTTTTATATAGATAGTTTACTTATATCATATTCCGTTTTGGTGAAACACGTTTAATCATATTAATTAAGATATCTTTTTAGCTCATTCTTTCGTCATTGATATTTTGGATCCAGTGGTTACCTATTTCTTCTTCATCCATGTGTGGAGGAACGGGCGTGGTATGCGACGGAGTTCTTAAAGCTGGGTCTGAAGCGTGGGTTTCCAACCAGATCCGGCCAGCTAGGGCAATCAGCTGAGCGCTGACAGTCCGGCGCCATTCAACGGGACCGGTGTGTTCGCTTAACACTCGACGTAGTAGCCATAGAGCTTGAATCTATAGAAAATATAGAGCTAAATTTGGTACTAATAAAAGTTTTAATAAAACACTAACGGTTTAAAACGCGATATATATTAGTTAAAGCCGTGGTCACGGGGAGACACGGCTGCTGTAAAGCATCCGAAACATCGGGTCGTAGTTAAAAAAATAGTTGAAAATTATCAAATAAGTTTAACTAATATATACCGCGTTTTAACAGTTAGTAATTTATATAAATGTGTACGACTTGCGTAAACTGCAGATAAGTATTTAACAATAAAAGTTTTAATGATCTAAACCAGGTGTGTACATATTGGCATTAAAAAAAAGCTATGTCTGTTTAAGTGATGATCATGTTTGAGACTTAAATATTTTTTACATGTATGGATGGCATTATATAAATTAGATGTCGGTTTGACACGAGCGGGTCTTGAACTGGCATTGAGAGCGTACCGTGCTTTCGCTCAAACGAATTGAACTACCGTGTCTTACACTCACGTTTACTCATTCGTCATTAATTGAAAAAATATGTTATGGCCCTATAGAAAGAAATGTCAATTTAGTTTAAACATTATTTGGTTATGGCTTACCTGTAGATATAATAAGTCTAGAGTAATAGGTTTGTCGTTGGATGAAATAATGCTGTAACACAGTTCGAACCAAGAATCGGTACATAGAGACACCCTCATTTCAAAGGTTTGCGCGGTCACTAAAAAAAATTAACAGATTGAGTAATACAAAAACCATTTATTTTAACATTTTAATGACTAAACCCTTATAAAATCTCATATTAATTAATAAAATTATGGTTAATTTCTACTGTTTCTTCGCTTCTATGGAGCGAGATATTATATGGCCTAAAGCATTTGTCGATGGATAGACCCAGCACAAAAATATTTTTTCAATTCGAATCAGTGGTTCCTGAGATTAGCGCGTTCAAACAAACAAACTCTTCAGCTTTTTAGTATTCGTATAGATTATTATGCATATTTTTTTATGCACGTATGTAACGCATATGTACATACATACCTCTAACTAACGAAAGCGCAGAATGTAAGTAACCAGCGAACGCTGTAGGTGGAGGAGATACATGCGCATGGGCTAGAGCGAGAAGTCGCCTTTGAAGGGCAGCTACGTTTCGTCGCGCAGTGACGCTATAATGACCAGATCCCCCAATCGCACCGACTCCTGCGCAGATCGCGCGCACTGCGCTCGTGCACGCTGCGCGTACCTCACTCACTGGCCACCAGTCTTGTGTTATTTCCGCTGAGTAAAACATAGAAACATAGTGTTGTGAATTCCTTGAATGTATTGTTTGTTATCTAATAGGTTATTTTTTTTATAACAGTCAATGTCAAATATCATTTTTTATTTTAACATACTTTAAGTACACTACATATTTATTGTTGTTAAGGCGAGTTCAATAAAGGAGGTCAAAAAGGTTCACTTGAAGAAAGGTAAAATACCCAAGCCATACAACATCTACACAAGTTACGCTGTCGATCTTGTTTGGGTCTGGATGGTCGGAAATCCGGAATAAAACCGAAATGTGGTTATACTTTACGGCTTTGTCATCTGTGGGCTGTGGTTAGTGTGACCCGGACAGAATATAGAGAACGACAGAGGTTAATGAGGACACTTTAGTGTTTAGGTTTTCATATTATTAGCATATACACAAATAAAAATTCTTTGACATATTTGCTAAGATATAAAACATAAGCTGACTACTCACGGGATCCTTGTATTGTCTCGACAACAGATGGCGGTGGTGATGGTGAGCGCGCGAGTTTCAGATCGTACTTTCCCTCTTTACCCATTCGGTATGAATTCGTTCCACCAGCATCCCACGCCACGCGAACCCATCCATCGTCTCCCAATTCACCGACAACTCGTCCTTCACCACCCGGTACTCCGTCCTAAAGAAAATCATATAAAACTTTTTAGCTAAACAATAAGCAGTTGGAGTCTTCGTCGTTGATAAAAAAATATATTCGTAGATCTTAGATTCGTAGCTTTTAAAACGAGTATTATTGAACGTGTTCCAAATTCAAAATAAAAAAAGGCGGCAGTAAGACGAATTATCTACCAAAAACTTCAATATTTTTCACATGTTATCGCACATATGGCACTATATAAAAAACCTATTTAGATGTATATCTACCACTGACACCGTAGCTAAATTGATTTGAGCAAGATAGGAATTATGTCTCGCTCGGGTCATCGATTTTTTTAATCTAAATAAAATCTTAATTTAAATTCATAATCATTAGAAAGGCTTTAGTCATTATTATAATTGGACCAATTTTACCTGATCGCCCCACTTCCAGTCTTTGCCGCGTACAACGCGTGTACCGATCTTCATCAAAGAAGCTAACTCCGGTCCAGACAAAGAAGCTCCCCTCGCTCGAGCACCCAGTCTTTCATCTTCGTATATTAATAAACAGTCCGCTAAAAAAAATTAAATTATAAACTAATTTATAATATTAAAGAAACATGTCACTATTCAGTACTATGGAATTAAGTATTGCCTGTAGTTTATGGGAGTAGTATGAATTAAAATAAAACACTTTTCATAGTTGAAACCCGAAGTTTTCTAGTTAACTTATTCGACGTTTCGGCCGTTAGAGATTTGTACGTCATGCCCACCATGGGCATGGTTAATTTATAACTGTACTAATTTTAAAAATGATTTTGATGAACTTTAGTCTCCCCGTGACCACGGCTGCTGCAAAGCATCCGAAACGTCGGGCCGAAGTTAAAAATCATTTTTCAAATTAGTTTAACTAATATATCGCATTTTAAACCGTTAAAGTGTTTTATTTAAATAAAAAAAAATGTTTTTAAGGTAGTATTTTGTTTAATAAATATCTTTATCAAATGTACATATTATACGCTTCCATCAGGTACTTACATTTCGATTTATTCCCATGGCATATAAGCGACGCGTGCTGTGAAGTATCACCACCGATTTGTTTCAGCAAGGTCAGACATGAACTTAGGGCTCCACAATTTATCAGTTGCTCCAATTCCTGCCCTTGACATCCCTCAATAAGTAGAGATAGTAGGGTTATCAGGAACCTAAAAAAAAATGCAATTAGATTCATTACCAGATATCCTGAGTTTGTATTAACACAGTACTATCTATTTTCGCGGGTAGCAGTAAACATTAAACTACAACACAACACTGTTTAATTTAAATAAGTTTGTATTATTTATAGAAGGACACTAGGCAGAAACCTAATGGCTAATTGATCAGTATGAAATAAAAGCAGTATTTTTTAATATAGAGAAGAACAGACAAGCACGAAACTTTGATATACCTACCACCTATTTAATAGACAAAATTCCAAATAAATTGGGAAACCTTGTGGGCACCGAACCTGCGACCCGTTGATTATTAGCCATACATTGCTTCCATTGCGCCAAGGAGGTATTCAAAAACACAAAGAAATCACTAACCTGGCTCTAGAAGGTTTATTCAACAGCGCGTGAGCACCATAATTCGCACTCATCTTCAAAGGCAAGGGCTGACTTTGTTCCCCTTCAATAACCCTCGCCTTCAACTCTATGAAGATGAAATCCATCAGTTTCGATTTCTCTATCATCACCATGTATTTCAAGTACGGTGTCACAGACTCTATCCCTTCCAAGGGCTTTTTCAACGGAATGCTTGGTTTCAACGGAGTGTGCGGTACTGAGTCAGCCATACTTGCCCCTAATATTCCTGACAGCGCCGCGTACTTAATACTGTCTGACATAGTTTGTGAGGAATGGATAATACTGTTTATTATTAGATAGCCGTTTCTTCTTATTTCAGCTCTTTGTATCTAGAATATTTATTTTAATTACAGTAAGTTAAAGACTTTATATATAGAATGAGGCATGTCAAACTAGATAAAGATCGATATGAATTGAGAAATATATTTTGGCATTCTATGTAAGTATGTTTGTTTAAATAAAACACTTTAACTTTCGGCCCGACGTTTCGGATGCTTTGCAGCAGCCGTGGTCACGGGGAGACGTCGGGCCGAAGTTAAAAGTCGTTTTCAAATAAGTTTTACTAATATATAGCGTTTTAAACCGTTAAAGTGTTTTATTTAAATGTGTACTACTCGCGTAAACTATGGACAGTATTTAAGTATGCTTGTCTCTAGCAGTTTATGTAGCAGACGGCGATTAATTCTAATGTTAATAATATTCTAATGCTACTAATACTGGTAAATACTTATTTAATATTGACAACTTTATGAGGATTATATTGCAAAGTATTACTTTTTTTTGTTTTTTACGGACCTTTGGATGGACGGCAAATCGAGAAATCTTATCTATATAATCCCTTCATGTAAATAAATGAATTATTGAAAAATATACCTAATACTTTGTTTTATTTTAACAGTTATTAATGAAATAATGGATATGAATAATGCAGTTATTATAAGATTGTTATTAAGTTATCTTACCTGGCAATACAAAGCTCTTCTAAGTATATCTATATCACAGGGTTCTTCAGTCATAACAAAGTCAATTATAGCTGTAGTTACACATTGTTGTTCTGGCGTCACCTCTTCCAAGAGCCAATATAAATCTGAAAAAGAAAAAAAAAACTTTGGCAATCCAAATTCTAAAGATTGCTTCATACATTTGCAGACACGAAATACCTTTTTCTTGACACGCCATCCGCGTCACCCAAGCATTTACAAACTTATGCCGTTCCGAACTATCATCATCCTTTTCTTCATCAGCGATGATAAGTTCATTCTTTAAATCATCAGCTAAAAGCATCACTTGCTTCTCACTCTCCATAGACTCTTTGAAAACCGAATTATCGGTTATGTCATTCATGGAGCTTAATGATATCTCATTTGTAGGAGTTTTATCGTCATCCTTGTCTAGCTGTTCGTCTCTCTCCCTCATTTCACTTCTGCTCTCGTCGAAATTGGACGCGTTTTTAATTTCCTTGTCGTAAGCTTTTGACTTAATTTTGGATATATTTCTAATTTCCTTTGATTGATCACAATCACTTCTGGGTTCTATAAGAAGCGGTTGGTCTTCGACATTTTTGCTTGATTGACTTGCGATTGTGGACTTTATGAGTAACGCATCTCCTTGCAATAAACTACCAGTTGCTTTTAACATGCTCTTACTTAAGCTGTTTTGTCTATTTCTTAAATCTTTGGTTGTTGTTTCCATGCTGTAAAAAAATATTTTTAGAACAATACACCTTGGTAAACATCTTATTTATTCAAAACAGGCCACTTACCACTTATTAAAATTAGGTAATTTGGAAAGTTTCATAACTTTCCTAAACATCCTCTTTGCAGTGGGCGAACGATGACAGGGAGGACGGGAAAGCAAGGCCGAGACCGCAGGTGATATTGCAGCACGAACTTCGTGTAAGAGGAATCTGGCTCTTTCTAATGGAGCTGCGCAGACCTATAAGCATAAAAAATAATGAAGTTATATATTTAAATACTCTCTCGTCTTTACTGTTAAAGTGTTTTCTGTAAATAAGTTATGTATTTCTAGGGGTTTCTAGGGTTTTCTATTGTATACCTTATGTACAATAAGTTGAATATAACGTAAGTACCTCTTTATATCCTCTTGATAGTTGTTGTCTTGTTCTCATCAAGGTCCATTTGCTCTGTTGTACAGCTTTTACAATTTCAGACATCGCCGGTGAGAGCTTTACCTCCCCTTTCTCCATTTCTTAAATAAATATTTATTATCATAAATCAATTTAATAATTTATATTTTAAGAATTTTCACAAACCTGCTGTTGCGGTCGCTAAAGCATGCTCTTTTAAGCCAGCATGGTACAATAGAACGGCTAACAAAGCCCGTCTTAACTCTTCTAGGGGATGTTCCGGTGGGAAATGGGGAGCGCATCCTTCTCGTCTCTCACAAGCCCACCACAGGTGTAAAGCGAGGGGATCCTAAAAAGTTACACGAAAAATTGAAAAATCCTCAACAAATCCGGCTCAAAGGATCAAATTTTATTTTAGCATTGTGTATAAATCGGGTTCGTAAATTGCTCACAAAAAACATTCACAAACATAAAATAATAATACACATAACTTTTAACCTTGTAACTGTGAATACCTACATGTAATTTGGGTTCGGCAAGAGCGTGTAACAGAGCATCCGCCCGGGCAGGCGAAATACTGACGTTAACACGTGGAATCCGCGGTGCTTTTTGTTGGTTAAGCAACACACTGGAAACTTGAGGCGTCACGTGCAAGGCATTGGAAATATGTGGGCCTTCACTCGCTGGACTGTTTCCACCCGTTGAAGATCCACTTCGAGCTTCCGCTTTTTCTTCTTCGAAAGGGTTAGCAGGGCAAGACGTCTACAAAGCATTAAAAAAATATGAAACTTAACGGATCAAAAATTAAAAGTTTATATGGCTAAATTTAACTTAATGTCTTTTATAAATTATTTCAGAGTAGTAGTAATAGAAAAAAATCTTGAAACACGGTTAAATTAAAAATAACATAGAACTAATACGCACTTGAAGACCTCCTCTCAAGAACACAGCACTGACGTACATGGATGCTTCCTTTTCCACTTGCTGTGTGGGCAAAGATCGAGCCAGTTTTAAGCCGCATTGCGAAAGACCAAATGTCAAGTGAAACGCACACGACGACAAGACGTGGTGACTGCGGAGACTAGACGTACTTTCCTACAAGAATATATTATTGTTAATATAAAGTTGGTAAATAAATTAAACAAAGGAATATCCTTTCGATTTCAAAGTAAACTATCCAAAATTAAACGCTTAAATTTTTTTTCAGAAGTTACCTGCAAGTTAAAATTGTTTTATATTTAATTTCTTATTCAAACAATCGTTTATAAATAAAATGTATATTCCTTAGTACCTGACACTTATGGTTATACAGTTGCGATGAATACAATCCGACGCATTTCTCAGTTACGCGTGCAAGATACGCCGCATGCGGTTCCTCGCTTAATGCCGCGGTTGCGTCACTCCCGCGCATATTTCGAACTAACTCTACAGTACTAGCGTTGTCGCAGTCGAAATTTTCCACATCGTATACGTAGCCCGCTATTATGATCCACGAACCTCCTTCTTTTGTATGATTGTGGAGGTCACATCTGTTGGTTTTAAAAACCAGGACATATATACAGGAAAAATAACTTCAGAATGCTTAACATTATTAGAAAATTCATAGAATAAATCACTTAATACTAATTTATTCATTTGTCATTTGTTTTACAGTTTGAAAGATGGCAAAAAGCTTACTTTCTGATAACAAAGTTATTCGCCTGGTTTCGTCTGGAGACCAAGCCTGGCCACCCCAAAAGATCCGCATCTAACTTCGCAGCAGAGGGTAAACACTTGGCCGCTTTATCACAAGCACGGATTATCTTGAGAAAGGAGGATGAACAATCCGAAAGAGCGATTGCAGAGCGAGCTGCGCATGCGCATACCCACACAGCTAATTCGCTGACTACTCTACCTAAAAATCGATTGATGTATTAAATATTACGACATTTGTTACATGTATACAATGTACATCTCCAAAACTGATTATGTAGTATTATTAGCTGTGTCCAACCATCACAAATATAATTTTTCAATTCATACTAGTAGTTCCTGAGATTCGCTCGCTCAACGAACAAACTCTTTAGTTTTATATATTATTATAGATTATAGATTTTATAATCTATAAGCATATGACAATTTAAAAAATGCAGTAACCATTGTGTGAATATTATTTCTTACCTACGATATCAGCACTAATGAGATCACAAAGACTAGTGAGTTGATTGTTATCCGCACGATGAACAGCGGTAATGAAACAGGTCAGTGTAGATTGTACATGTTCAGAGAGAAGGGTCACGTACTGTGTTAAGAGATTACGAACACCGCCCCTCGTGCTTCTGCCCCCTCGAGACCACATTGCTTCGCAAAACAACAACCTAAGAATGAATGAAACATACATAAACGATGCAATAGGAATAAATCAAATTCTTAATTTTAATTCATTTGAATTAAAACACTATTAGGTGACCATAACTGCTGCAAAGCAACGGTCCGTAGTTCAATTAATCTCCCAATAAGTTAAACTAATATTTATTCAGTTTTAAATCGTTGACTTTCTTCTTAAATTAATTCCTATACTTTCTGATAGTGAATAAAAGTTTTAGTTAGTATTTTTGAAAAGTAAGTATGTAGGGAAGTTTGGATAGACTCACACTATATAGTTAATAGATAGGTACAAAGATTTTGTTTTGTTTTAAATCATCCAAAAATATTTGTTAAACCTTACTCAGCATAAGAAGGTACAATTATTTTCATGAAAAGATTTTATCTTTTACGTACCGCCAATTTGATACAGTTTTATGTTTAATCCCGAGGTAATGTAACGAATGTTCGTTTTACGAGGCAATTTTTACCAAAGACAAGTAACTGATATATTTTTCGTTAAAACAGTAAAAGCTTAATATTTTTTTCATACAGGAGGACAGACAAGTTTAGGCTTGATAGAAGATTTTCACCTTCTATATCAGCCATATAACATCTAAACAAAATGCACTGTCGACCTACTTTGGCTTCAATCATTCAGAAAAATTGATTAGAAGCACATGACACCCGATAGGAATCGAACCTACAGCAAATTTATTATTATTAGTAATACATTACTAGCATTAGACCAAAGAGCCCAGCTCCATGCCAATTGCGTTAAGAATTAACACGTTATCAGTATATGATATACTTATTAGATTTTAAAGTTACCTCTGGAAGCGGATAAGAAGGTCACAGCTTGGACTGACTGTGTCGTGTCCTTTAAGATCGTCAGTTTTACTCGTATCGCCAACCATAATCGACTTAATATGCATCTGAGTTTGGCATGTTGTATTTCTTATGAGATGTTTAACCTAAAAAAAAAAATTTTTGGACTCTTATTCAATTAAAAATAGATTTTCAATTGATATAAAGCTATCATGTAGATTATCATCATATGTTAAATGTTTCACATGTAAATGTAAAGTCATCATTAATGATATTTCTAGGATGCAAAGTAAGGATTAGGATGTAAAATCTTATTGTGTAAGTACTAAGGTTGAAATTACATTGTCCATGCGGTACATATATAAACTGAATAATTTGAATAATGACAAACAGCTCATGCAAACCTTATAATCAAATATAACCTAACTTGCAATCTAAAATAGATATATAAATCTTATTAATATGAAAAAAAAAGTATAAATTAAAAATATATGAATTACTCACTAGGTGCATTAAAGGTACAGACGCTCCACTCTCTGACGCCGTTTCGTTAGATATTTGGTATTCCTCTATAGATTCTACTGTAAGACAAAAAAAAGATATAGATAAGTATATACGAGTTGTTTACTGATTGAGAAGTGACACTAGTGGACGCTTAAATGGTAAACTTATTAAAACACAAAAAATTGGGATAATAAAAGGGTGAAACATTTAGGGTTGTATTTATTTTTTGAAACATACAATGTCCAAGATATCAAAAAAAAGCATTTTAGGTTTAGATAACCCTTATCACTTAGGGGTATGAGAAGTAGAATGTAACCGATTTTCAGACCGGCTGAATATAAAATTAAAAAAAAAAATTGTTCGAAACGTTTCGGAGGGGTATCGCAACTAACACTGTGACAAGAGTATTTTATATATTAGATACTTATAAAAACTGAGTCACGCGTACGCGTAGAATAATTGTTTTGGATATCGATTTTTGTTTCTTGCCAACTCTATAAACTCTCAACTCAACTCTATAAATTTGTGCTGTTACCCACGACGTCATCCGCGTCCCGTCGTTCTTGCAAGTTAATCTTAAAAGATAGGTATATAATGTCGCAGAAATTTATTTATATGATTCAAAGAGGAATAATTCTTTCATACATATTTTTTGGGTATCTTGAACCGTTATCGTAGCGTACGCAATGGAAACCCACCCGCAAGGATGAATAATTTTCTCCGTTTTTTCGATATTTACCGCTGTTTCTTCGCTCCTATGAGTCACAGCGCTGTTTGACTAATAGGAACATGTTTTAAGATCAGCGCGTTCAAATAAACACACTCTTTAACTTTATATATTAGTATGGATATGGGTCGAAATAATTAAATTTTGGTATCTTGGACTACATCACAATGAACGGTGAAGAAACCAGACTGGTAGTATTTTTAATTAACAATTTATATCAAATATCGTATATAGGTACGATAGAGATGATATTTACCTTGAATAGCATCTGTTTCATCAGCCATCGTAGTGGTGGGTCGACTCCGCTGTCCAGTAACTATGTCGACTTGGTCGAATTCACTGGAAGAAAAGATATCTTTGATTTATACATATGCGAGAATAATGAGTGGTTAGGTAGTTAATTACCACGTATTTCATGCGTAGAAGAGTTCTCTTTCTTAAACGTAAATAGAAATAATTCTTTGCCATGATCAATATGCCTGAACGGTATTTGATACATTTATGAACATTTTTATATAACCATGAACAATTTTTGGTAGAAATTCTTACTCACTCGTCTAACTGCAAATGGTTGTATGGATCAGACGAATTTACTTGAAGAGCGTTACGCAGTGCATCTCTGAGACCACCCCCTCCAAGTAAGGACCACACTAATAGCTCCGTCATAAATCGGGCGCCGGCACTCGCTGGTACTGAACCTGTAAAATATAAACTACAATAAATAATAGTATAGGCTACTCAGTAAAACGCTTCTTTTACAGTTAAAAGAAAACAATATATTTTCGAATGAAACATTTTTAACTGTTTTAAATGCTAATACGATGTAGGCTGTTATAGACTGGATTGTTATCGTGACCCCTGGTAGGTATATACATCTTTCAATAGGGACGCCCTTCATCTTCAGTCCCCCCGTAACAACGGCTACTGTCAAGCATCCGTAACGATCTAACTACGATCGAAGTAAAAATACATTTAAAAAAGTTACCCAATATATATCGCGTTTTGAACAGTTAAATGTTTTATATTAGCGTTTATACAATAGACAATGCTGAACAAAATATATATTAAAAATTGCATTAACTTTGATATCATAAAACTCACTGACCTTGAGGTAGAAGCGAGATGAGATGATGTGCGCGCACATGCGCTGTGGGTAGTAGTAAAGGCCATGCTGCAGCCAATGCTCGTCTGGCAGCGGTAGCAGCACCAGCTCCTGCGCGTCCTTCTACTAAAGACACTAGAGCGGAATGAACTCCCGCGCACCACGATTTATTATCTGCGTCACTTATATCATCGCTACTGCGCGCACACTGCCATGCGTGTACCTTGTATGAGATTTAGAGAATTTAGTTGCAGCCTTATTTATACAGTATAATTTAGTATTACAAATAGGACGCGACAAAAAATTACTTATCGATATTTTATAATATCATACATAATATATGTAAATATATCATACAGATAATTATTAGACTGAACGTAAAATAGTTTATTAACACTAGAAGTGCCGTAACATACAACCCCACAAGTGCCGCTATGACAATTCTAAATATGTAACTTTATTGTTTCGATATTTTTTTCTGTTATAATATCATATTAAAAATGTATAAACATATTATATACTGATAAATATTATACTATAACATAATACTTACACTATAAATTTGACACATTCATTAAGCATGTAAAATGGTTTATCAAGCGAAGTTTGTAATCATTTTTGACCATCCCAAGTAAAAACATTAACAAAAAATATACTTACTTGTAACCTAAGGAGATTCAAACAGGAGATTGCTAGACATTCGTTTTCTTTAATATTAACTGTGCTGCTTTGTTCCACCGCAATTCTAAGGAGACGCTCCAGCAGTCTAAAAAAAATTGAATTTGTGTAAGACAACATTATAATTTTGTATCAGATAAAACCAACGTAAATATATGTGTCCTTACTTAAAAGTATTTTCGGATAGGTCAATAACGAAGGGCATAGAAGACGGCAGGTCTCTTGGGTTTTCTTCACTCCAGGCTATTATATGATTTGGCCCGCTAGTGACACCTTAGAAAAATCATTTAAGATCATTAATTTTGGTAAAGGATATTTACATAAAATGATTTAAATAAATAATCGGATTATTAAAACTTAGACTTGTACTTACTAAAAACAAAGTATAATGAAAATAATGAAAAAAGTACATAACAGTACAGTACACACATTGGACTTAGCTAGCAGCACTTAGCTAGTGCTAAGCAAGCCTTGCAAGCAAGCGCTAATGTTGAGTCTGTCCTTTATCAAATAACAAGTAGTACCAAAAAAAAAAGTGTGGATGTTACTTAAACAATTATACTTATGAGATATGTATATGTTAGTGACGGCGCGATGTAAAACTTATACAAAAGTAAGAGAAAAGTATAGAGCATGAGTTTGCAAAAGTGTAAGTGAGCAAATACTGCACTTTCATTAATACTCATTTGTATTTCTTAATCGTAATGTATTTATTATTGATTAATATTTATATTGAGCTCCTATCTTGTAAGGCCTTGTCTCTTATCTTAACCTAGTTTGAATTTGGATAGGAGATAGTAAATAAAGAAAATATCTAATAAAAAAATGAAAACATCAAACAAAAATACATTTTCTTAAATTAATTAACGATTATTTCAATCTCCATCTCTTATCAAATGGTGTACTTGTTATAGCTTGTATTTACCATTAGCTTTAAACGAAGGATTAAACACTTGTATCAGCTGCGCAGTGGGATTGGAAATCTGGGCTCTTTCGTGCGTTCCCCAAGCATATACAGAGCCTTCTGACGTCAGAGCGATACCATGTGTCGCACCCAAGGATAGGTCAACGACCTTTGTACCTAAAAAAGCGTTTAGTCCACATTATTTAATATCTGCAATTAGGTAACCGACAGTAGGTATAAACGTTTTTATATACCTTGTAGGCTCTCAACGAGTTTTGGTATTTTAAACTCCTCTAAGTTACCGTGACCTAAACGGAAGCTATCACCTTTACCCCATGTGTAGACTTGTCCTCTGTAAACAAAGATAACGCAAGATATAAGAATAATTTATGAAGTAGAAAGCAAAAAAAAAACATTTAAAAAAATAAGTCTCTCTTAGCATTTCTTCTCTCTATGACATCTATTGAGCCAGGTAAATTAAAACTTGCCCACGTGTGCAGCCCATTGGTTGAGATAGAATAAAGATTTTAAAAACCATTGAAGACTAGTGCGGTAAGATTCTTCTTTCTTACTCTTTCTAAACGCCGTCTCACTCATTTTTGTTAATTTATCAAACGTTCGGACAAATTATTTCTACTTGTTGGATAGTTTTTGTCATAAAACGATAGTAAAATACAAACATACCCATCGGTCAGAGCAGCGTGCCAATGTTCACCAGTATAGACGCGTATCACCCGAAACATGGACAGTGCTGATAGCGTCCTCGGAGTCCCTCCTTCACTATCACCGAACACCTGCACCGCCCCCTCCCACGTGCAACATAGCGTTTGACCTTCACCCCATGCTGTCATACAAATTGTGTATAAGCTTTTAAAGTTACACGACTTAGTTTAATACTAATGAGATTTTATTGTTTAGTTTAATATAGCTGGACGACTTAGGTATGTTATTTAAATGAATTTTATAGCCCGGTATTTCTTATAACGACTATTGTAGTATTTGAGTATTCAATTTTGGTTAATGTTTGATGCTTAAACATAAAAGCTATAATTTAAAAAAAGAGCGACATTATATTCATTAAGCTTGATTTAGCTATAGATTGTTTTCATATGTTAAATTATTACTGCATATTTGAAAACAACAAAATCTCTCTCACCTAACTTAAGGAATAAATGTATTTACAGTGTTGGAACAAACCTAGTGCAACGTCAATTATTCGTTCGATATTATGGGCATTGAAGGAGACAGGCTGTGGTGTTAGGCAATTCTCAATCGTGCCGTGTCCAAGACGACCTTGGGCGCTTCGACCCCAGGTGTAGAGTGCTCCGCGTGATGTGATCACCGCACTGTACACACGCAATCCATAGATAATAGAGCAATGTATAAACACGTTCAAATATAAACTCATTCACTATCGATATCTCGATCAATATAAACACCGCTAAGGAGACTATTACGGTGACCTATGTAATCTCTATGTAAATTGTCAAAAAACATGATCAGAAAATATCACTTATAAGAATATATTTCATGGTCAAAACACCATCAAGAAAACAAACACAATATGAATAGCATGCACTGTCTATAGTTTGCAGCAAAATGCAAATTGCAAAATGATTTCAGCAGTCGTGGTCACGGGGACACCACGTCTGCTGCGAAACATCCGCAACGTCGGGCCGAATTTAAAAATCATTTTCAAATAAGTTTAACTAATATATCGCGTTTTAAACCGTTAAAGTGAATTTAAATGAATATCATGGTTCACATATAATAAATGACACAACAATCACCTGCAAGCTGGTCCAGCAGCGACTTTTACCACCTCGTGATGAGCCAAATGGTGAACAGCCTGAGGTGCATCTCTAGGTGCCGTATCTCCGTGTCCTAACCTTCCGTCTTCCCCCGAACCCCAGGTCCAAACTCCACCACATTCAGAACGACATAAGAAATGTCGTCCCAATGGGTGGCATGCAACTTGACTTATGGTTTTACCTTCGAGCCCTGTGAATTTAATTAACTCAATATTATTAATTTACATTTGTATTCGGTTCATTAGGTATGGTTCTTAAGTTAGTGCTAAGTTAGTTAGTAGTAGTAGCGTAAACTACTTTTATTTCTTATTAAAAGACAAGTTGTTGGTATCCGACTCGAAGGACCAAAACGCCAATTTTTTAAACATACCTGGAACTAAATGAGGTGTAAATGTATCATATGGCAAAGTGTAAATCGCGCCATCCTGAGACAATACCAATGCTAGCTTTTCTGCACACGCGATTTGCTGGATCCGGAGGCTTCCCATCTGTATGGGACCAAGACCTAAAGAAACGACTTCTTGGGCAGATTCCGTGCACTGCAAACATAAGTAATTATATTTTTAGCATTTTACTGTGGTAACTACTAATATTGTTGAATTGCAACTTACTGTAACAAATCCTTTTAGTGGTGGTAACAAAGGCGCGCCCAGTCTATCTAGATGACATAGCAAAGCAATTCCTGCCTTTTTAACGCTTATTAAACCGTCGCCACTTGGGATTTCTAATTCCCTAAAAAGTAGTAAAGATTATAGGATTATATGATCTTACTATATATTATAGTAGTTATAAGGCTACATTTTTAAAATATTTGTATACTGACATAGATCTTAAGCAAGGCTTCTGTACTCTGACCGACTGAAATGAAAACGATTGTTTCCCCGGGTTTCGAACCCAGGACCTTTACCGCAATGTTAGTAACTGTTCTACACAGTTGGTCGCTTACATAATTGAAGTAGAAATAAAACAACGCTGAACTTCATATCACAAGGCAAAGTAATACAAAAACACAAAAATAATAATAAAAACATAGTCAAAGTACTTGAGGTATGTCGCGGTAGCGTTATTTTCCGGCATTGGATCAGAGTTCACAATGGGATTTGGTGCTGTAACTTTTGCCATACGCCTAAGAAAAGGCCCCAGTGGTGCAGTGCATTCTTCTAACACAATCCTGTAAAACATTAAATGCTATATATTTTTATCGGAAAAAGGAAACCTAGTAAAAAAAAGGGTAATATTTTGTCTATATCTTTAAAGTGGAAAACCTATGTGGTCAATATAAAAAAAACACCTGTTATCCGACTGTCGTTTTTGTTTAGGTGGTAGGGTGACTAATACATCAGCTGCTTTCAATAAAGCTGGCAGCTCAGCTCGTCGAGCACATAATTCTACCCAAACACAAAGTGACGTTCGCCAGTCCCCTTGGGGAACATTGCAACCCACTTCTCTGTAATAAATAATAGGAATTATGGAAGGTGATATAAAATCTAATATAATTATAATCTTTCATTACTTTTTTATAATTATTAAAACTATAATAATTGTTATTGTTTCATTGTTACAATATTGAATAGCATCTTTGGGGACTACCAAAGTAGCATTCAGCTGTTTTGTTTTTCAAGGAATGATAGCAAAGCAATATTATTTATTGGTATCATTTTATTGTATTTTATGGACGTACAACAATTTTTATTATTAAATGTTAACTTACCCAACAACAACTTGGTGTAGAAATTTGGCAGCACTATCAACGACCTCGGCCCATATTTTCTGCGAACGTGGAGTCTGTTGCGAGGCAATGCTTGTTTGTCCATTTCCAGCGTATAACGCCGCGTCTGGCAGGGCCCTGACTGCTTCAAGAGCATCCCGTAATAGGAGAGAGCATACATCGGCATCTTCACCACAACGCCATGCTCGACGAACGAGCGATAGGGCGAGACGGAGGGCCGCTCTCGCTCCTACGCGTGCTAAAGCGCTGTAAATATTAACTAACATCGAAATTTGTTTTTCTAGCTTCTAATAGTAGTAAGTAATTGGGCAATGAAAAAGGCTTTGTCTTAAAAAAAATTACATAAACTAATCAAGAAGTATAAAATTGCCAGTAGAAATCTTTTTTTTTTAAACATTAAGTTATTGAGGCTCTGCTGGTAGGGCCGGAACCGAGACTTCCGATAGCCCATAAAGTAACCAAGGCAATAATTGAGCGCAGAATCATAGAAGAAACAAACCAAAGATGGAAATCTTCGACTGGAATGAGACAGTCGAAAATGTTCATACATAACCTAGATAAAAAGAAGACCAAAAACCTGATGAGACTAATGAGAGCGAACATCCGACTCATCGTAGAAATCATAACAGGACATTGCCGTCTAAACAGACATCTCACAATGATAGGAATAGGCAGCGACCCCCTATGTACGGAGTGCAGAGACAGTGAGGAAACAAGCATCCATCTACTCACTGAATGACTGAGACAAATACATATGGGTTCGGACAAAGTTACAGAGAATGACATCAAAGACCTACAGATGGAAAAAATAATAAGATTCAGCAAGCAAACCGGAAGGTTTGAAGGGGAGTTGGATGACCCAAAACCTCTACAAGGAGGAAATGGGAGAAATGGGTGAAATGGTCAGCTGATAATGTTGGCGGATCACCCGTCCTACCACAGGTGTCCCCGAAAGAAAATAATAATAATATTGAGGCTCTGACAAATTTAATTATGTTATTAGGCAATATTATTTTATATGTAGAAACAGCTTCGAGCTGTTCAGCCTTGGGGATTGAGTAATTGTTTTCAACATCTCACCATCACCCGTGGTTGACATCAATAATGTCATGTTGCAGGTTTATCTTCCCAAACTTAAGCTTTGCAATAAGGCTTACTACAGATTATGTCAATTTTTTTATACTATTTTAAATCAAAATATAAAATTGTATATTTATGATACTATGTCTATGCAATTTTACCTTTCAGAATCCTCTGTATGTACTTCGTCTTCTTGTGTTTCGGATCCTATTTCGACTGGTTTATTGAGAGTGCTAACAACATTACTTAAAGCTCTATTACTAATCCCATGGGATGGTTTTTTATCCACTCTCGTCTTTTTAGGTTCATTGTAATGACTTTGATCCCTGTAGAATGAATTATGTTTATAAGAAAGAGAAGTTACAAACATATATAGAAAAGCATAAAAATACTTAATAAAACTTGAATCTAATACTAATAATATTTATGAAAATTCATACTAACATGAAATTTACATATAAGGTATGTTATTTCATGAAATTTTTTATCTTATTATTTTATTTGAACAAGTGGACCCGGTGCACTATAAAAGTTTTCAGATGAACATCAGTGTATTAATAACACATAAGTTACCTTATCACAGCAACAAGATGCCTATGACAAAGCACAATAAGCCGCCGTATTTGTGATATGTACGGACAAGTTACAGCTGTATGTATTGCTCTCATACGTTGTTCCCACACTAAAGATTCTATTAGACTTAGAAGACACTCTGGACCTGAATGAATATGTGTTTTTAAATTTAAAATATATAGAAAGGCAAGTATCAATTGTTATTGAACAATACTTTAAATTAAATAAACATTAAGTTTATTTAATTTGTGATTTAATGTTTGCTTTTACTCAAACCTTTTCAAAACTTTGTATATAAAAGATTGTTGTATAGTATATAGTAAGAACAAACTACAGTCAAGATACAAAAGCCTTACTCCAAATGAGAAATGATGAATGAAAGGAAGTTACATATAATAAAACAATCACCTGGGTCTTGTTTCCATTTTATTTCATCAACAACCTGGGTTGAATTTAATGGTGCAACAAGTTTAGATTGTATTGAAGTCCGAAGTTCTTCCTCAGCTGATAGGGCAGTGCAGGGAGGACAGGCACATCCAGAATGTGGTCCACATAGACCATCACAACATGTGCAATTAAGAATCTACGAAATATTTACAATTCTACAGTTTATGAAGAGTGTATCTAAGAGTTGTGAGAAAAGCCCATCAGCTTAAAAGACTCACCCTTAAACCGCAGTAATACTTCCCACTATCACCAAGTTTTGCAGTTATACCTGCACCATTAACAAGACCATTTCCGGCGTCGAAATATATCTCTCGGTCTTGAATTAAGCTGTTAAATAATGAACAGAGAGCCTCTGGACAGTGTAAGGCCTCTTGTAAGTCAGGATTCAACCACTTTGGGTCTAAATGTTGCTGAGGCCGGAAAATGAAGTCGTCTTGATCTTCAGAAACAGACATTTTCGCTTAGGTCTTCAAACCATAAGTAAGAAATGAAAACGTCCGTCTGATATTGAGAACCACTTAAGTTTTTGTGAATGTTACATTGTGAATTAACAAATAGGCGGTTGCAAAAGAGAGTTGTAAAATCGGAAATCCAATTCAATACAATCAATCGACTTCGAAATACCTATTGAATAGGTACCAGATGACAGATAAACAGCCGTCATTTGTCAGTTTATGTTCGTTCTAAATCTTAACATTAAAGGGTACTTCTATTTTATATATATTTATAATCTTTCATTAAAAATATTCATATTAGTGTTAAAAAATTAAACTTTTTACACGTTTCGCACAACGACGCTTGAATACACAAACGAAAGATTACTTGGTAATTTAATAACGCTCTGGATTAGTATATTAAAATTTGAAAAATTAAACTTTGTCACCTTATAGATTTTATTCATTCCTTTTTGTCATCAAATTATTTTGCGTTAAAATAAAAAAAATATAGCAATACTAATAAAAAATAATAATACGGCCTCGCGAAGCTGCTATACTCAAGAATACTATGCGTATGGCAATATAACATGCGCCAGTTCAGCTATTATATTTTGCTTATAAGAAAATGAACGAAACTGTCACTGCCCTGAATCATATGGATAATAATGTCAACATTGATCGATGTTGTTGTGAATAATCTCGCATGTGGTAATGGATTAAAACACAATTTGTATGTCAGTAAATAATAATCTAAAATTGCGATTGCGACCTGGTATTTAATTAATTTCAATGGATACCGATATTTTAGTAAACGATAAGGACAATCTCTACGGTTAGTATATAAATTGTTGATAGTAGTGTCCGGCTTATTATAAAAACATTACAACGTGAATACCAGTGATTCTTCATAAATTACAATTAAAACAAGATTATTTGACCTTGTGATAAAGAAAGCGATTAATATTTACACTTATTGATTCACTATTCGACATTGAGTTTAAAAGGATGTTTGGTTTCCTGTTTTATGTAAAAATTCGCAAAACATTCTCTTTGTTTTTGTGAGTTATAAATAACTTAATTACGCGTGTATACTTACGTGTAATACTTTGTGTCTTGTTTTCGGTCAATTTATTAAATTTAAAATAATGCATTACAGATTTCTGCCTGGATGAATTTAACGCCGAATGTCATTGGTCATCTTTATTAAATTCAGCCGATGCATCTCCTAGTGAGATTCTCGCTGATGCTGCACCAAGCCTTGTGCCCGCAGTTTCTCCGGTTTCCAGTATTAAGTCATCAGCTACAGAAAGCAGCAATTCTGACTCTAGTAGTGAGGATGATACCAAGAGGTGGGTGGAATGCTGCTCCTAAATTTAGTAAAATTTTATCATTTACAGACAATACTGTTAGAGTTTACTTATTATATAGAAAATAATAAATCTAATTCAATAGCTCAGATTGTGCAGGCTATAATTACAATTTTATTTATCATTATTTTTTATTAATTTTGTCTTTTATGTTTTCTACAGTAGTACCAGTAATATATCAAAGCCGTTGAAATGTGATTGGAATTGTGATGGATTGAAAGGTGAAACTTTGTGCCAGTTAAAACCTGAAGATGTAGAATTATTTCTACAAAGATCAGGTAAACCTTTCTCCCTGTTACAGTACGATATAATGTTATTGATAAATCCACATTCAATTGTTTCTTTTTTTTAGATAAAATCCTTGGAACTGCAAAGCAAACAAGCAGTAACAATTTAGGAAAAAAAGTTCCTGTTATGTCAATAGAAAATGGTGTTATAAAGGTAATTTGTAGCTTTCACTCAATTCATAGCTCAGTATTAGGTAAGTTATGCTCATTATTAAATAACTCTGAGTTTGTAGTCATAAGGTCTTAATGTGTATGACAGATTCAAAATTGAATAAATTTAATGATGAAATATTTTCACCTGCAGGTCAATGGAATTGGTAGTTTTATTAACCCTAGTTCTATTACTACACAATCTTCAAAAGGTAACATAAGATTTATAAAAGGAAGTATAAAAAACTATTAATATTATATAAACTTGTCACCTAACAATCAATTTTTTTTTTAGTCACAAAACAAAGTTCTTACTTCAATGTTGAAAACGAAAATTTTCACACCACAAAAAAAGAAGATAAAGAGCAAATAATTCCACATCAAACGAAAGTGCCAAATATTATCAAAACCTCTTGTAATCCTGTAATGATTATACCTAGTGACCTGGTAACCCAAGCTAGAAATACAAGCAAAGTTGCTGTCCCAACATTGCCACAGATAGTTGATCCTCCAAATGGCTTTCAAATTAATGTAAGTATAGAATTATTAATACTGACTATTGATGTTTATTAAGATTAAGAAATTACTTCACATTGCTTGTGTGGTGCATGTATCATTGGGCTGAAACAATTTTAATGAAGACATATGAGACAATAGATCTAAATTGGTTAGAACAGCAGCACAGAATGCTGCGGATGTTGGTTCAAGTCCCACTGGTGTCATGTTTTTTTTTTCAATTTGAATAGATTTTAATTCAAGATTAAAATTGTTCAGTTGTACACAACACTGCATTGCATTTATTCATTGAATTTTGTCCAACACCGCTCAATCAAATGAAAAATTGTCTTACAACTTTCAGTCACCAAGGCCAAAATGCCACATAACATTAAGTCCTAGACCAGTTCAAGCAGAAACAATTGCAGAAAATTCAAGTGATTCTTCTAATTCAATTATTGGGTTATCTCATCTAAGTGATGCAGACCTTAAGGCTCTTAAGAAACAACAGAGAATGATTAAAAATCGGTAAATATATGACTTAAGACATATGTTCCTCAAAGAATAAGAATTTCAATAATATTACTAGAAAATAAACTATGAATTAAAGTGTCTATTCTAAGCTATTCTATATTGATTTTCAGTGAGTCTGCTTGTCAGTCGCGACAAAAGAAGAAAGAGTATGTTACAGCTTTAGAACAACAATTGCTTGAGGCACATCAAGAAATCGCTAGGTTGCGATTAGAGAATAAGATTCTTAAAAATCAACTCGAGTCTAATGGAAGAAGTAGAAAAGCAAGTCCTTTATTTTCTTTACACTTAAACGATTAAAAGTTTAATTTTTTCACTACAAATATTATTGTACTGTACTGTATAGTAATTAACAGATCTGGAGTTCGATCCCCACCAGGTCCAACATGTTTTGAATCAATTTTCTATTGTATATTAATAGAAAATAAAATAAATATTATTTTTTCAGATACCTCGCCTTGATTCATCAATTTTAGTACCAAAGAAGAATATTGCTGTTATTTTTGCGATGGTTTTCATGTTGTCATTAAATTTCAACATACTAGGGTAACTTCTTTAATCTTAACTTGTAACCTAAGATTGGGGCGTTTATTTCTAACTTAGTACATTGTCTGTGTAAAGTCCTTATTAAAAATATAAACAATTATGTGACATACTCTTATAACAATTGGGTTTTAAATAAACTTGGCGTTTTTTATTCTAACTATGTTTGTGTGAATTATTTTTTAACATCTTCAGAACGATATCTTTGATTATTGTAGATGGAGTTCGAGACCGTTTGTAGGCCCTACAACTTCTCATGTTGGAAGCCGGCATTTACTGTGGTCAGAAGATAGTCCAGAGAACTCTTTGGGTAAGATTATTTTTGAAGCTACAAACCCGACCCGATTATTATTATTTTCTATCGGGGACACCCTTGGCACGACATGTGATCAGTCCACGTTATCCGCTGACCATTTCCTCCTTGCAGAGGTTTTGGGTCATCCAACTCTTAACCTAACCCTATATAACCATATTTAAGTTTATAGAATTTATTCTTCACTAAAACTTAACACTGCCATGTATTATTTAATATACAATATGTATATAGTGTATTTCTCCTAACTTGGCATTAGATCACAACAAATATGGCTGATTTTAAACCATAGAGAACTAGTGATGACCTTTTATATGGACCAAACATTTTTGAATTTGTTATATCATTATATAAATAATACGTTTGTAGTCTTTTAGCGATTGAGATTTATAGCTTTTAAAACCTTAAAATGACAAGTTAGAAAAAAATAGAACATATCTATAGTTTTATGTAGCAATGTTAAACTGCCCTAAAGAGCTGTTGTGTAGATAGCCATATATAAATACCTAACTGTCAGATAAAATTCTAATAATAAGTGACACTAAAATGTATATAATAAGTAACCAACATTTTAGCACATGATTAATACCTTTTTGTGTCATCTTTGTTTTTAAGAATACAATCAAGTCAATAAAACATTGGAATATGGAGTTGATTGTCAAAATAGTACAACGTTTGAAAATATAAATCAAACGGAAAGTATAAGGATAGCTGGTGATTTGGAAAGGTGGATTGGTGGTGGGAAAACTTTTAACAGGACCAAACCACCAAGAACTAGAAGATATGTGAATGAAGAGCAAATTAATGGTATAACCTAGTAAAACAGTTTTTTTACTATATCAGAAAATTCCTTTATCATTTACATGTATTTTTTTCTTTTAAAAACATGTTAAATTACTTATTATTTCAAGAATAAGTCTTGTAGAATAAAACTTCAAATTCATTTTAATCAAATTATTGTCTATGGTTAGTTTATTTTCCATGATAAGTGGCATGTAATAAAAATACTGGCACATAATAACATTCGTAACCTTCTTAAATTTTAGGTGGTTTATTAGAAGCATACAACTTATTCAACAAAGCAAATTTTGACGAATACGTAGATTTTCCTGGCGCATCGAAGAATGGGAAAAACATACGCGATAAAGCGCGGTTACGGCGCTTGCGCAGGTCGATGTCGGAGAAAGAAATGGAGTTTGAGAACGGAATGTATTACGAAAGGCTGTATAATATAAGGAATAATAAAAAGGAGTTTAATGTTAACGAAATCGGGGAATGGCAAGAGCTGCTGCAAGCGTTGCAGAGGCGGGATGACACTTTCTATGTTGTTGGTGTGGGGAAAGGCGAGCATTTATTGCTGCCGGCTGTGTCTCACAATGTTACAAGGCCGCCAAAGATGGCGCTTATATTGCCTGCCCGGTCTGGCAACGGTGAGTTCATACATTAGTTAATGCTAATTAATGACAAAAGTGTGGATAACATTTTTTTTTATTGTGAAGAGTAAGCGTTTGGCTTTGCCACAACTGATGTTCATTAAACTCTTATTTGCAACACGCTTATGTTTAACATGATATTGCACATAATGGCAAAGGTGGAAATTACATTGCGTGGCAGGTGCATGTATTAATAGGTTGCATAAATTCGAACATGACACGTAGGACACGGTTGCTCAATTGGTTGGAGCAAGAGCATATAACGCTGAGATGCCGGTTCGAGTTTCGCCCGTTGAGTGGTAAATATTTTTAATCTTAAACCGATTTTTAATTTATTATTGTTTTATGTTATTTTTCAGAATCAGTATTGAGTGATCACGTGACGTTAATGCAAATCGATTGCTCGGTTGTAAACACAACAATAGTCAAACTGAAGTCAGAAGCATTACCCAAGAGCTTGCGAAAAATGAAAAATAATTCTACCAATCCCACGTTTGACAACCCTAAAGCGAGACGAACGAAGAGCAAACCAGTGGTTGTGCAAAAACCCTACCATAATGCTAGTTATGAATCGTTTAGGGGTAAAAAAGATCCCTTGACACAGTTTATGTTCACTAACCCTAGTGAAAGACAAAACTCTTCTAAAATTGAATCTGTTGCACCACAGATACTAAAACCTATACCGCGGCTATACTAAAGGCTTTTGATGCACAGGGTCTCACTTCCTATGCCAATCTGCAAATAGCTTTGATAAATCGGTAAAAACCATTATTCCAAATTGTAGAATAAAATTATTTAATCAAAACAATACACGTAAATCTTTAGACGCTAGTATACTCTTTTCAAAAAGCAACCCCTAGTAGTGTCAATAAAATATTCAAAAATTAAATTCAGAAAAGCACCAGGCACAGATATATTGCAATTTCGGACATAAACTAAGAGATTATTTCTGCTAGTTTGAATCGTTTAGGGGTAAAAAAGATCCCTTGACACAGTTTTGTTCACTAACCCTAGTGAAAGACAAAACTCTTCTAAAATTGAATCTGTTGCACCAAGATACTAAAACCTATACCGCGGCTATACTAAAGGCTTTTGATGCACAGGGTCTCACTTCCCCATGCCAATAACCTGCAATAGCTTTGATAAATCGGTAAAAACCATTATCCAAATTGTGAATAAAATTATTTAATCAAAACAATACACGTAAATCTTTAGACGCTAGTATACTCTTTCAAAAAGCAACCCCTAGTAGTGTCAATAAAATCATTCAAAAATTAAATTCCAGAAAAGCACCAGGCACAGATAATATTGCAATTTCGGACATAAAACTAATAGGAGATTATGTTTCTCCAGCCATATCTCATTTAATTAATCGTAGTGTTACCACAGGGTTGTATCCGGATGCTTTAAAAATAGGCTGTGTAAGACCTGTGCACAAGAAAGGTAAACGCGATGATTTCGATAACTATCGCCCAATCACTTTACTCTCCTCAATCGATAAAATTGTAGAAAAGTATGTGTGTAAGCAAAAATCGTTTCTACAAAAAACATGAAGTAATAAGCCCAAATCAATTTGGATTTCAATCAGGAAAGAGTAAGCGGGTCTCTTGTCTAAATTTACGGATGAAGTCAATTGTCACCTTGAAGTACGTTTGGCTTTTTATCGATTTTTCGCGGTTTTGACACTTTAAGACGACCAGTGGTATATAGGCTTGAGGGGTTCGTGGCCCACTACTCAGAGTGCCAAAACTATCTGACAAATCGTACATTCTCTGTAAAAGTGGAAAACCTCTGCCGTTAACTGAAGGCACAGCACAAGGTTCGGTGTTAGGACCTCTTCATTTTCGTCCTATTCAACGACATGAGTGATTGCATTGCCAACAGCAAGTTCAGTTTGAGATGACACTTGCCTTGTTATCGGAGATAAAAATCCACAAACGGCCCTGGTTTACAGTCTGATTTGGAGACTAGCAAATGGTGTCAGATGCCGGCCTTGTCATTAACACAAGCAAAACTAAATTGTCATAAAATCGCCATATGTCAAACGCTTACCAATAAAAGATCAGTGCACACGGGCATACCTGCTTACACGCTGGCAGCACGGCTGTATGTTCCTGCCCAGGGATTGAGACAGTGGATAGACAAACATACCTTGGACTTGTTATTACAGTAAATTTCATTGGAGTGACCAATTGAGCGTGTTTGTACCAAGCTTAGACAGTTTCTGGCAAATATCACCATCCTTATAACCGTATCCCGTTTAAAGTTAAATTAATGCTGTATAACGCCTTGGGAGTCTAATCATACGGCCTCAGTAGTTATGGGCGAGTTACAAAACTCAACCTCATTCGTAACTTACAAGTAAGGATACTTAAAACTAAGTCCCTAACAAAATTAAAAGATTCCAGGACGACCCTTGTGGGCTTTTTAAACACTGTAAAGTTTTACCAAACACATGCAAGTTCAATACACTTTACTTAAGGAAAATTTTTTTAATGAATTTTACGTATCCCGATCACCCTGTATACACTCGAGCCATTAACAAAACCGGTTGTGCAGTCGCGCGCAATAAACCTACTGAGCGCACAACCAGATACCTAATACCTCGGCTTATCAATAACCTGCCGTCCAATTTGGTAGGTAGTATAAACCAAAATAATTTCAAATGTAAGCTAAAGGATCATTTCCTTAAGTTATTTAGCATTTCTTCTCTTATTGAGCTTAACAAGATAGTAATTTTTATCTTGTAATTATTAAATAAACTTACTAATTAGAGTTAAGTAAACTCACGAGGATCAGTTTAAACCTTGTGTTTTTTATTGCTATCAAAAAAAAATGATGTTAATATGATAAATAAAAAAAAAAAAAAAAAAAAAAACCTATTAACAGAACTGGTAACAGTAGCTCATTAACAGACAAAAAATAGTACTTACATAAATTTAAGAATTTATATGTGACTGAGTATAGCAATAATTTTGAAAGTATCATGTTTGACAAACAAAAGTCGCTTTTAGTTTAAAATATAGATCACAACTTTTTAAATGTTTTTTTTTTTTTACTTGAAAAGCTATTTTTATATCTATAGGATAGTAGTATTTATTTGTTGTTACAAAATTGTTCAGTATAATTATATTTTTTACTCTTACTAGAAAAGAGTTTTTAATAGAAAATTAATGATTCACATGACTGTATATTTTGGAATTGCTTTCAAGTGCAATATTATCCCATGGTAAATATTAGGAATAGACTTGTAGAATTAGAGATTTACCAGATTCAGTATAAGTCAATACTGACTGCATCTTGATTAGATCTCAACATATATTTATAAATTTTTGTATCTTAAGTAATGTCTGTAGTTTACGCAAGTAGTACACATTTAAATGAAACTTTTTTAACGGTCATTAATTGTAAAAATGTACTAATAAATTTCACGTTTTAGACCGTTAAAAGTGTTTTATTTTAATTTTTGTATGTAATCGTTAATATAACTTAGAGATTAATTATTGATTATTATTAATACTGTGTTCGTTAATTTATATCTCACATGTTTTAACAGGTATCTTCATTATTGTTTTAAATATTAATTATATTCCTATATGGCTGTTTTAATTTAGCTCGTTGGAAGTGCGAGCCTAAATGTTTTAAGTGAAAAATAAACCTAAGTTAGCAAAAATGGGTTTCCTTTTTATTCCACAATGCTTCATATTATCACTTTTAGATCAAAAATGTCTTGTGCCACCCTTCATCAACGAGTTATTACGTGTATGACAAGTGGCTTCATCTTGCTAAACCCATAAGTGTAGCTTAAAACCAACAATATCCTGCAGCGCTACTGCGAAAAAATTACATAACATTGTGGTATACCGCACTGTATTCACCGTAATTCAAAAAAGTATGGACTAATAATGCCTCTTTCTGACAAAGCTTATGCTTTAATTTCGGATTGGTGTCACTGTAACCATTCAAGTAAAAAGGTACCTAGTCTAAAATAAACTGTATTACTGCTCTACGATTTCGTTTGCAAACTGTAACCCAATGGCATGGTCCTCTCCTCGGTCTTAATTTTTGCACTATAGGGACAGCGAGACCGATAAGGATGTAGATAATCTTTATATGCGTCTTAATGATGTGCTACTAAAATCCCATAGATCACCACTGCTAGAAAGGGTGAACAGAATAAATGTTAACGGATTTTTTGTCTACCTTATAGTATTATATTAGTATATTTTTTGCTTCATATAACGAATTATATGATGATCTAGAAATAATCGATTATGATATAGATTGTTTGGTCACTCACTTAATGGGACATCTCTTATATTGACAATTTACAATCAAATGCATTTGAAAGATAACCTTAAAAATATAAAACAACATAACTTCACATAAAGATATTTTTAATTAAAACAAGGTTTTGTCGCCTATAATGAATTATAGCAAAAAATAATTTATGTGAGCATGATACAAATAGAATCTTAAATCTATACAGAAGGTATTACTTAATCAAATTCTAAGTATGAACTCTTTTCGGTTACTGCGGATTATTAAATATCAAACTGCGGCGAAAACTTTTCGGTTATGTTATAGTTCTCAACATCATCCTCTGAAGTTTATTGAAACTGAAGATCGGTGGAGACAAAAAGATGGAGTGTCTCGCAATTGGGAATTAATTTATAAGGCTCCTATGGACAAACCTATCAACTTTGCATCTACATATTTGACTGTTTCCTCTAGCACTATAGGAGCAGCAACCCTCTATTATACAGCTTTCATGCTAGATGTAAACACTATAAATGAGCCAATGGTAGTTGGAGAAGATGTGGTCATTGCAAATAATGCAACCGAATTCCTTATCTATCTCACATCATTTTTTATATTCCATGTAGCAGTCAAAGTACTTATATCAAAATATGTTCTAAGGTTATATCAAGATGGTGACAATTATTTAGCTGTGTTTAGAGGACATTGGTACAATTCAATTCAGAAGCATAAGTTTCATCTCAATGAGTTTAAGAAGTTGAATCCTACGTTTGTTGTGTCTTGGGGTCACTCTAGATATGGCCTAGGGAGCAAACATGGAATACTAATGGATCTCTATTTCAAGACTCCAGAATACTTCAATTATTTATTGTATAAGAAAAAATTAGAGAACCCTGACGATAATTAAGATTACGAAAAGTCACTCTTTTAGTATAGTTAGAAATAAATAAATACAAATTAAATGACTATTTTATTTGAACATTTACTATATAAAAACGAAATAACTCTAATTTAAATAACCACCGGTATATGCATTATTCCATTTTAGTCTAGCATCTCTTTTGATAGTATGTGAATCCATTTTTTTGGGGTCCTTATCAAATTGTTCTAATGCAGTAATTTGTTCCTCTTGAGGCTTCAAAGTTTTTGTCACTATACATTGGCCATTTTCTCTTAAAACTGTGTGCTTTATATCTTCCGCAGTTGGTTCGCCATAAGGAAATGTTATAGGGGTTACTTTTATCAAATGTTTTACCCTCCACAATCTTGCATTCATTTCAGGAACATTTTTGACAATAGCCACTTGGTTCTGTAATTGTTGGGTATTACAAATTATTAAAACATTACACCTTATTAAAGACCTGCTATACCTACAGATAGTTGAATTAAAAAGTTAGTATTTACCAAAGCATTTAATTTAAGTTGTTCCAAAACTTTTTTTTCCCACCAAGGACGAAATTTAGTCGTTTTAATCTGTTCAACTCTAAACAATTTTGTAGGTGTGTACTCAGGGTCTTGGTGATTTGGATCTCTGTCAATAGAATGGTTATTAAATTTAAAATGTAGAATATTATAGCAAAACAAAATATTATGGTTATATATTATTATACCTTGGATAATACATAATACCACCAGGGTAACGTGTTCCTCCTGGATGTTTATACCCTTTAGATCTAAATATTGTCGTCAATGGGCTAAATACTTTTAAAATACTTCTATTCATTTTGATGTTGTAATGTATTGAATACTTAGTATGTTTTCTTAACCTTAAACAGAAAAGGTAAATAAAGTTAGTATCCAGTATCCACTAATTTCGTTTATACTATTGTACCACAGACTAATTCTTATCGTGCCGGTAATGACATATGTTTCGAACATAGACTCTTTGATTGATAATTGACAATGAGATTGTCAATTGTCATTACGTTGTGAAAAAATTTATGTTTTAGAAATTTGAATTTACAAAACAAAACGGACGTTTAATATTTTTTATTTAAATATTTAAGATTCACGTGTTTCTGCATGTTGTGCCCGAAAATTTCTCATCAAATTTAGAACGGCGATTTAAATTATATTTCTATAGTGTCTTGACTGTGTTGTGTCGTGCCCTTGTATAAAAATCTTTATGAAGAGAGTAAGGTTTGAATCCCCGTTAAAAGTTAGGGACACCAATATAATGAGCTATGATTCGGAGTGTCATTCACCACGACCATTTATTGATAATTTTAAGTCAATCCAATCGCCCCGAATCTTGTCTTGCTATAATAGTCCACGCGTTATACCTTGCAGTAAAGATGCTGTGCAAAAGTTTGAACGATCTAACAGTTCACCGTATCCTATGATCGATAAAACATGTCCGCCAAATTTAACAACAGTTGTGTCACAAAGACTGCCTTCAAGCGACTTAGAATTGAGTTTTTTGGACACTACGAACGAACGTCATGAACCACGCACTGGACCTCAAAGAACTATTCAGTCACATGTTGGACTTGGTTATAACTCCAATGCAGCAGAAAATTTCATGAAAAAAGATACAAACTCCTTATCTGACCCGCCAAATACACTTAATAAAAATGACGACTTCTTCCTAAGAAGAGAAAACTTAGGTAAATTTAACCATATACAACCACTGTATGAACAGTTAAACAAACTGTCATTAGAAAAAGAAAATAATCCATTAGTAAAAAAGACAGAAATAATGAAATTGGGTGGGTCGAATCAGAGTGGGAAGATTTATCATCAGACTACAACTCCAAATTGTAACACTTATGAAAACAAAGATTATTGTAGTTGCCACCACTGTGTAAAAACTAGAACACCATACCAACCTTACATCCAATATCAAGAAAAGGAAAATGTACCATATAAGAAGTGTCCATGCATACCAGATCCAAGAGTTTGTCCCCATTCATATAACCCACACCATTTTATACCTCCACAAACTTGTAGCTGTCAATCAGAGCCAGTACAGCCATCAAATGCTGTTGACAAAAAAAGTTGGATGCTAGAGAAATATGAGCAAAGTAAAAAGATACAATGCTCAGAGGTACAACCACAAAGTGCTGTCAAAGAAAAGAGGGAACCAACAGTATCCGACTTGTTTAAAATAATAAAATTACAAAATGAACAATTACAGTTACTTCAAGAAAAAGTTGACAAGTTCATAGCTACAAGTAGTTGTAAGGAAAATTCAAATCCATCTATAGAGGACTATATAACTGAAAAAGTTAATGTACAGTCTGATAATCAGCACAAAATATCCATTGGTGTAATGACAAGCTTTGAAGTGGTCCGCACATCAACAATTATCAATAAAGAAGTAATTAAACAAAACGAAGCCCAAATTCAATGCAATAGATCACAAATAAGCATTAAAGAAGTGGTCTCATCTCAGCCTGTAAATATAAATTTTTTAGAAGGAATAAGAAAGACAAATGATGTTAATACATCGGTGCACAATTCAATACATGACATTAAAGATATGACAAAAACTACTGCTTTTGAAGATAAAACATTTAATGATTTGAGCTTGTACAATGTGCATGTTGATAATGAGACAACCCCACAGATGTCTCCCGAACAAAGCATGTATTTAGATGTTAAGGATTATAGCGAGTGAGTATACTTGAAACAGTTCTATGTAACTCATCTGATGTAGTAATGCATGTCTAAACTGCATTGAACTTTTATATTCTGTTTCAGATCTGATTCAGAAAGCGATGATCCAGCTAGTGTAGGCTGGACATATTATAATAAAGTAATGGTAAAACAAACACTTTTGAATTAATTTCTTATTATTTATATCATATATTTGAAAATAATGATTGTTTACAAAAAATCATGGCTTAAACTCTTTTCATTAAAACTAAATTTTTATTAGCCCAATGATGTTACAGAACAGAGTCAATGGCATGCTCCAGGACTCAGATATGCCGTCTTCAGCGAGTGCCCTATTCAGAAACACAAGACAAAAATGTTTGATGCAAATTGACAAGACCAATGTTAGTGTGACAAAAAGGTACTTTTTGGTTAGATGACAATGCGAAAGTAACAGAAATATTTAGTATTCTAACTGTAGTAAATGTCTTTCTTTTGCAGAGTGACTTTTGGAGAAACTCCAGTTGAAATTCAAAAGCCAGTTTTAAGTGCGCCCTCTACAGACACAAGCCTGAAAATGAATCAGTTAGCTGCAAAGTATTTGCCAATTAGTCAGCAAGTGTTACAGGGGCCTATAAAGTCACCCACTGTAGGAACCAACATGTCGATAGCCACCAGGAATTATATGGAAAAGCATAGAATTATACAGGGTAAGTTTATCTTGTTTTGTTGTAGACTAAATAATTAAAATTTACATAAAAAACGTTTTTGATTTCACCTTTGCAGTATTGTAATTTAAGAATTTTTAATAGGTAGGACTACTCAAATATGTATACTTGATTATATTTTTTCTAATAAGAAAGAACTAACTTTTCAGGGACCACCAATCCAATACCACAACCGTCAAGACCTCATCAAGAAATACCTAAGTTCCTGGACATAACAGTATTAAAGCAGCAACCTAAGTTACTCTAAATGTAATTTTTATACCTTAATTTATTGTTCTTATAAAGTTTATTTAATAAAACGATGTATTTTAGAACAGACATTTATTTCAATGAAAATAACAATTTTAACTAATTTTCTACATATACATTACCTACATAATATATATATTGGGAACATCTGAGTAACATTAATTTATAATGTTGATTTGGTTGCACAAATGTGGAACAGACGTCGAGGGTAGTTTCAGTCATATGAAATATGATAAGGACAACTATTAATTAGATTTGTACAGCCAAACCAATTTCGATATTCTTTCTAAATTATTTAAAAATGCTAAATTTTATCCCGTTCACTCATATTGGATATTTTGCTCTGGTATACAAATAAAGGCAGACTATGCATGCTGAATGTCAAGGTACACAATTGGGCAGGCAACATACACTAAATGTTGGTTAGTTAAGAATTATACGACACAAAGCGTTTTGTCAATTATCCACAGAAAATTAAAAACAATTATATTAAACGAAACCTAAAATGCGATTTAATTAAAAAAAGTCAAAATAAAAAATCACATTGACCAAAATCGATTACACAGACGTCATTCGAACTCACGACCTCAGTATGCTCTTATATATAAGCTATTTTCAACATATGCGACTATTATTAATTGTTTATTAATACATCCAATAAGAATCAACAGGTAATACTTATCCTAGATCTACGGTAACAACACACAAAATATCTGTTTTATCACGTTTCGTGAAGTTTTGGAGGACATCCATAAATATCTTCTGTACTAGGCCTATTCGCGCCGACTAATATTTTTATTTAAAATATCAATGTCTAACATTTCGGTAAATAAATTATATCAGTTGACTTGTTATTCTTAACATTATAATGGAGGTATTCACTTATTTTTACATCAAAGTTTGTACAAAATGTGTGATTCCATAATTAAATAATTTTATTACAGAAAAATTATGTTCCATCATAATGCGTAACTAGAAAAGCACAGCTTTTTCCATTTTTGTGAGGAAAAAGTCATATAATATTTAAAATATACTATGCATATATGTAATAGGTAGGTTTTTCATTTTTACTTTCAGTATTAGGTACAAATCTTTGCTCAAATATATTTTACACCGATATTAAGAGAAACAGTATAAACATTTTAAAACTATCCTACGCGTCCAACGCAGATAGTAAAATATCTACAGCTACATATTCTTTTTTGTTAAAATTTAATTTCCTCTTATATATAATTTTTGGTTCTTCATTTTTGGTGTATCAATAGACATCAATATAATTTTAATTAACAATATTTCTTTTTATACCTAAGCTATATCTTGCTTAAAATTTGCAACATCAGATTAAGTAATTAGCTTCAAATGTATATACACTTAGAAGTTTATGTACATAGAATACATACACTAGGTCATCTAAATACAACTTCAATTCTCTTGCATCGCAAATTGTTAATATTAAACTAATAACCAAATACTTGGATGGCGCTTATATTATATTGAACATCAAATCAAACACTAAATATTTTTACTATTTCTTATTAGAGTACTATGATACATCACTTTTTGTCTTACATGTCTGTATGTAACAAGATAAGAACTACACATTACTTAATATTAAAATCTAAATGGCAAAACGGGGATATTAATATAACGAGTTATAATCCTCTCGTTATCTAGTTCACGTAAATGCAGTCAAAGTTCTTGTATTTTCTTATAATTTATATACTTAGAATTCTCAGTTATTATAATTATAATAAATTTACAAGTTCTTCTAATTAAAAAAATAATTTAAGAGCTATATTCCATGAGTACTACGACTTAAATACCTCAAATCATTGTACACTACAAGCTTTAGTATTTTTTTAAATTTTATTTAGCCCCAACGTAGCGTTAACGTCTTGTATTTGATCTCAGATTCATAATGTTATATTCATAAATATTACCGATGCCTGTAAGTCCTGTGCGAGTCTTAAATTTTTAACAATTTATTTGGGGGCCCCCCCCCCAAAAAAAACCCCCAAAAAAATTTTTTTTAAATAAAAAAAAAAAAAATTTAAAACCAACGGGAGTGGGGGGAAAGAGGGAGAAGGGCCCCCTTTTAAAGGGGGGGAAAAAGGCTTCCCTGTTGTCCCAAACAATAATTAACTGGCTGTGCCCGCGCGTGGCGTGGGCTGTCGATTTTTAATTTATACCGTTTAGTAATTAGTAAGGGCTATTTAAGGCAGCAACGTTGTTAATGCTACTTTGCGCAACGCTCTCACCCACATCACTCCTACTGTAACTCTCAATCAATATAACCTAAAAACAAGTTTTTTTGTTCTAGCTTCAAAAAATACAATTCCCCTCCAGCTGTATTAAGCTATTTACTTTGCAAGGTAATATTTTAGTTCAGTTAAATCAGTTCAGCAGTTTCGGAGTTAAATGCCGGACAGACAGACAGTCACAGTTACTTTCGCATTTATAATATTAGTATAGATATCGATTAAACTTAGTAAAAAATTATAAAATAAATTATATAATAAGATATATATTAGGTAAACTTACTTGAAAATTATTGAAAAATACATCCGTTTAAACCGTAGTGTTATATTTAAATGTGTACAACTCGCGTAAACTATAGACAGTATTTAAGTCGCTCCTTATTGTAGAACCCAATTGTAGGTAATTATACTTACAACGCTGTTATTTATATTTATTAGAGTTAACACTATCGATACTTACAAATATAATTAATAATTACTCATTTAAATTAACAGGATTCTTTCGAACGCACTAGCAACACTTATACTACAGAACAAAATTTCTACATAGTTCTTTCTAAAGGATAAAATGGAATTATATTTTGGAACTGTATGTACAATTTAGTATTTTATTTTATATACAGTACAAACTTCTCAATACTGTGCGCAGATATTATAATACTGTCTTTCGTTATTATCTATGTATTGTGTGCGCTTGAGCTTATTGGAATCTATGGTGATAACCCGTTATCGGCACTAGCAATTGTGTTGTGAGTAGGAAATCGGATTCATAAACGATCAGAAAAATCTGTAAAAATGAATCCAAATGACTTAACTCACTGCGTCTCTAGGGACGTAAAAGAGATTCTCGCAGTTACCTTTTGTACCTATCAATACCCAGAATCAATTGCTTGATACTTACATTTTCTTATTACAAAGCTATGCTTACTTTCTTTAATCAAATATTGGACCTGCAATTGATTCATTGTGTATTAGTATTATTAATAGTTTCTTCATCTCCACCGCCTCGTGATTTGCTGTCAAGACGAAGTTCTGCTAATTTTTGTCTTATGCTGTTGGGCCTGCAAAAGAAGTCAACCACAATTTAATAAAATAACACCAAACATTTACATTACGTTATATAATGTATGCGTTATAAGACAGTTATGACACATTTTTTGATCAACTTTTAACTATTCAGTTAAACAAAACAACATTATAAAGTTGATCTACAGGTACAATTTTTATGTGAATGTCAATAATTAACGTACATCGAATATTAGTCTAAGTGCCTCGCAAACAAAGTTATTATTTTAAATTCACAATTTATAATCAATAACTTGAATATATAAAGAATTAAGAAAAATAAGACTAGAGATAAAATGTTTGATAGGATGAGAGATAAAAAGAACGAAATTGCTTATATTTCACTAGACAGAATATTTAAATAAGGAACGAAACGTTTTTCGTCTAGAAGTTGTATGGCCTAATAAATAATTTGGCAAAAGATAAACGCCCCAAAAGTTTTTTGTCGTTACAATAATCAGATTAATATTACCAAATAAAATGTTGTTATACAAAAAATTGACAATCGTTCGTCGCCAAAGTGAAAATTCCTCGAAACGTTAGTAGGCAAGTGATAATCGGTCAAACAATTTTCGGCAAAAAGGCAGAGATCCAGCTGTACCATAATGCTATAAACTTACCTATCAGAAAAGTATGAAGTGACGACGTGGTCTGCGGAGATGGACTGACGTTGGTAGGTCGCCGCGCTCAAATTGCTCTGCGGGATTTTGTAGATTCGCACACAACGCCCGCTATTCTCTGTAATAGAACATTTAATGGTTTTATAATTTAGTCCATTAAGTACTTAATTGTGACCTAGATTGCTTTATGTTTTCTTGAGAACATGAATTTCAAGGTTAACTATTGGATTAGACACATTGGTACAAGTTGAGAACCAGGCTTCCTTCAGTTCCGGTTAGTTAGGCATAAATAATGACTTGCTTGTAAATAAAGTCGACAGTGTAACAAAAATCACAGGATAGTAGTGGAAAAGTTTCTCCACAATTTCGAAACTATTTAACAGATAGTAAGTATAGCTTCTTATGGGCATTTATCTTCATGTTTTATGTTCAAAGTCGTTTACAGTACCTTGAGGCGAAGTTGGTGGAGATATTGGCGCCATTCGGTGCAAAGGTGGGCGTATGTTCTCCTGCTCAGAAGATATAGAACTGCTCCGGCTAGATGCGGAGTTATTTTCTGAAGTTCTACTTGCTTGATCAATCCTGTTAAAAATAATGGGGCTCCGTTACTGAGTTTCGCCAAATACCAACTACGACAAAACAGATGGCGCTATTGCAATCTATACTTTGACATTAGGCCCACCCTCCACCTGTAACCTCCCCGTGACCACTGCTGCTGCATCCGAAACGGCGGACCGTAGTCAAAATAATTTCTTAATAATATATTTTGCTTTTTAAACCGTTAGAATTGTTTTATTTGTGTGTACTACTCGCGTAAACTACAAGCAGTATTGAAAACAGTGCTTGTGTGGAAAACCGTCGCTTTCTTTAGCAATAATAATACGGAGAATAGTGAACAGAAGATTAACTAACTTGTAGTCTGCATCATCATCATCAATAGAGTAGGGACCACATTTGCTCATTTGACGAACAAGCTCATAATTCTCATGTCGCGCCAAACACGGATCTATGTCTCGTCCCAATGGGACGTATTCTGGGGCACACGCAACGTAGAAGATATCCTGGAGAAGAATCAGGATTGATGATTACTTTTGTTTAGATAGATTAGCTCGGTCTAGTGATTAGTAATTAAGAAGGCGTAATTAATCCCTGAATCATTAAAAAAAAAATAATAATAACATCTAGCTTAAATGAGCTTAGTTAATATAAAATATTTTTAGGTATTGAAACTGTATTTTTTCACTCCTGAATTTCTTTATATATTACCAATATATTAGAATAAGAGTAACGAATACCTTTCTTCCACACAAAATTTTAAGGCCAGGGATACAAGCTGCATGTACTAATGATCCATTAGCGACTAATCTTATCTCCAGCAAATCTTCCGCAAATGCCATGATGTAAGGAAATGCACACACTAGAAAAATATATATAGATTTTGTTTCAACTGCATTAAAACAATATTTGATCTATTTGTGTAACTTAAGTTTTCTTTCTATGTAAAGAAGACAGATCTTACCAACAGCTGTAGGAACAGTTGTCCAATGGAAATCGTATTCGGTATCGCTCTCCAGACCTTTTGTCGTTAATCTTTCGAAATGGCAAGTATCTGAAAGTATTGAAGTTTGGAGTAATTTTAAAATTGGAGTAAATTTATTTTATTGCTAAATACTGTATTTACGATCAGCGTTGAAGCATTTTATGCTATAGCGTAACATTTTTAAAGGACAATTTATACGTACGGTTGTAACAGAGCAAAAGCTGAACATCCCTATCGTCACCGATCCTCAATGCGTTCACCAGCGCACCTCGTCTTGGCGCGTTCTCTTCGGAACTATCAGCTCGTTTTACCGCCTGTTATAAAAAAAATAGTATCTAAAATACATGTAATAATTGTTCTTATCGTCTACAGCCTGTTGGTTTAAACACTTATTCACATACAACTTCTTCATTTATGCTCAAATTTATTTTATACAGCAAAATCTCGCATTTACTTGATTTTAAAACTTCGATCAATTTTCAAACAGTGGAGAATATTCAATACCGTTACTAAGTACTGTTAATTTTTAATTTTTAATTATTATATATGTGTAACCTACTGGTTCTTCAAGCCGAATATATTGTGCATAGTTAAAAGCTGACCTGTCCTGTACTAGTCTCTAGTACTTCCCAGTGATGTTTGTATCCGACCACGGTAACTGGAACCTCCCCATCCATCAATTTTAATAGCACCGGCGTTTCACTTAGTTGGATATCCTGAATAAAATACAGAGTTCATAAGCAAATTTCTGACTTAATTATAATTGATGATCTTTCTTTACAATTGATTCAAAAGAAGACTTACTTTGATATGTACATATTCAAAGCCCATCTCGTTTTCAGTCTTTGCCTCTTCAGCTAAAAGTAGAATTCTTCTTCCTATCGCTATTGCTAATATAGTCTTTCCTCCTTCTCCTGTAACCATGAAATTACCATGCTGTATCATTTTTACCTGGTTCAAATGTTGAATTTATATTTTCAACTAAAGATTGTTATACTTTAAAAATTTTATTTACGCGGTATATACAATAGGACCTTTCCTAAGTGCAATAAGAATAAGAATGCTAGCTCTTTCTTACCTTGTTCTAGTATGTCAAAGTAGTGCGTGGTTTTCGATCGAGGAAGTCGTGCGTGTTTGCAATCTTGCAATGGCCGCATGGCCCATGCGCCCGCGCAGAGTTCCTGTATTGGAAGAGCGTATAAACCCGCGCCCCCTGCCCCACCCGTGGTAGACCCCCCACCTGCTGTCATCCGAGCGCCCACGCGAAAGAGGCCTGCTCTTTCTGTCACTCGGGCTGATCTGACACATCCTTCCCATCGAAGAATCACTCGAGTTGTACCGCTTTCTAAATACGATAATTAAAATTAATATTGGTATATGATTGCATAAAACTTAAAGTAGGTGCCACTAGTATAGGATACATATATCATTATATTGTGTTAAAACTTTTAATGAAACTTTTTGAAGCGTAGTAGTTTATATGATGGTTGATGGAAAGAAATGTGACAGTCAATATCTAATATTCCTAATGTCGTTTATATTTTAATTAAGTGGATATACGAATTAAAAATCGAATTTAGATTTAAATTGTAAACGACTTCTAGTTTTAAACACACAAATATCGTTAAAACATATTGTTTACATTAATTATTTACAAATCTGCAGCGCTAGCGCCATCTGTCCTTACAGAACGGGCTAACGGTATTCTCTCGGTTTTTTGGATCTAGTGTTTTTTATTACAGGGTGCCACATTTAATATCTTGAGACCCTTCTACTTAAAAATTTAGGTGTTTCTTGATTTTAATTGCTTCCCGTACCATTTTTATAATAGTATGTTAGTTACATGTGTTTTATTTAAATGAAAAAGTTGTTTAGCTGCACGTCCTCATGTACTAAAACTGCGAAAAGAAATTGCGTATTACAAATGGAATAGAATAGTAATAACTAATAACAGCATTGTGTTTACGTAAGCTATATATTTTAATAACCGTATAGGCTAGAATGCGTAATGAGGAATATTCAAGTAATTTGAATATTACAGCAGTGACCCGCGGCTAACATTCATACATTATCAAGCAGCTGGTTAGCGGTGAATTTTGATTTTGGTGCATTTGAAGGTGACCAATGAACCAAATCATACAAAGGGCAGTTCATTTGTGGAATTTGGGAAACGTTTGCCGTTTAGCGTTCTAAAACTGAGTAAAAAGTAAATAAACGACGACCTTTGGAAAAGGTAGTTTGAGATTACATTAGTGGAAAGAGTAACATCGCACACAATTTAGAAAAATAAGTCTGCGGTAACAGATATTTTAATTATTGAAAACTTCGATTGATAGCTTTACTAATATCTACTACAATCTACTGTATGTATTTTTTATTTTATGCTTAGGTCTATATAAAACATTATGAACAAAATAAATTAAGTTTGTAACAAGCAACCATCGCTATTTCATGCAACCCGAACAGAAGCTTAACTTAAATAAAACTATTTTAACGGTTTAAAACGTGGAATATATTAATTAATTTATTTTTATGGCCCGATGTTTTGGACGCTTCTCAGCACCTGTGATCACAGGGGACGGGGTGGGATGATAGTCCCTCCGTTATAAATAAGTTAACTAATATATTTCGCATTTTAATCCGTTAAGTATTTTATTTAAATTAGTACTAAACGAGTGCTAGATGGGCGAAATTGATTAAATACTTTTAATAAGCTGTCTGAGCTGGAATTTACGTTCATACCTTCTAAGATGTAGGTGTTAGAAGTAGTAGAGAGTAATACTCGGCCTTCTGCAAGTTGTTCTGCACAGACTGGCGTGGCGGGTAGGGGGGCTGCCCGCCATAACCTGCCCTCCCATGGTGCTCTACGGGAACTACCGGAACCTGTGAAACGATATGCTTAAGAGATTGCAACAAACAGTATTATGCTACAAGTGTTTAATGTTGGAAAGTCATCTTTATAGTGATTGCAATATTTTAGTAAGAAGTGCGATAGTACATTTATTGTTAAGCTTGAATTTAAACCACTTTTTGAGAGTAAACAACGCAAATATCAGTAAATGAAGTTTGATATTTATCACATGTTATTGTAAATTTAAAATAACAGGATACGGGCGGATTTTGAACCGGTATCCACAGCGTTCCGTGCTGTTGCTCTAACCAAGGCCACCAACTCGATTTTTAATGTGTATATGAGTTAACTTTTTAATTTATTTTCTACCTACCTAAATACTGGCTGTTTTTCACTGTGGGATTTCAATCCTGAAATTATTTTGTGTGAACAACTAAGAGTGGAGATACTAAAGGCAATTAAAATTTAAATTGGTCTATACAAAAACCTGCGCAACAAGCATATGACCTCGTCATTAAGCAAGTAAAATTCTTTATTCGGAAACAGAAAAAACAACAAATGTAAAAACCAATTATTTGGTTATCCAAAGCTCTTTCATTCTCTACGTACTCTACGTTTATCAATAAGATAAACATAAAGAACATTAAAATAAAACACTTTAACGGTTTAAAACGCGATATATATTTTAAACTTATTTGAAAATGATTTTTAACTTCGGCCCGATGATTCGGATGCTTTGCAGCAGCAGCAGTCTCCCCGTGTCGGCTGCTGTACTACTCGCGTAAACTATAGACAGTTTTTAAAATAAAGAGCATTTTTCTTAAATAATTCTTTGTTTGTAATACCGATACGAACCAGTTGAGACGAGACTAGTTGGTGCATCGCCACGTAACACAGCGTCCAGCTTAAGAGCTTGGCCGACGTGAAGGAATCTTTCAGTGCGAGCTGCCCCCGCGCCGCCAGCCCCCGCTCCACCTGACCAGACATCTGATAGGGCGCGTCGGGATAACATGGGCTGCATAAAATTGAGTCAAGATGTAATTATAGGACTAATAAATGGTATTTTGTCATGCTCGTTGGTGTAATGTGGTCTTGTCGTGGTTTCGATCCTCACCGGGTTCCAATATGCTTCTAATTTTTCAATTTATAATTTTTCTGAAACACGTTGTCAACGTTACGTTGTATTCACTTCTGATTACAAGTGGATTTGAACCTTAGCGCAAGTGTTGGTGAAATTACACTGCGCGAGAGGTGCATGTATCATGTTGATCGTAGGTGTCGGACTCGTAGCTCTATTGTAGAGAAACACGAACGACGATGCCGGTTCAACTCTTGCCCGAGTCGAAAGTTTACGTTTATTTTCGATTTTTAAACCAATAGTTTATTAGTTATTTATCAATTTTTGTAATGTACTTTTCAAGTTAAACAATACTATTCGGTAGCCGGCCAATGTGCGCTATCCGGCATTCGTCCATAGTAAAATAATGGCCGGAAAGGCGGAACCGATTGTTAATATCATTGCATCTTGTGTTTTAATGACACGCACACAACGAGTCAGCCAAAAGATAAATAATGACGAAGCGATTTCGTAGCGATGTAGCACTTCTACGAATATAAAGTATGAATTAAAATGTGAATTATCTATTTCAAAAGAGTATAATAATAATAAAGAAAATATAAAATACCACAATTTTATTTTTACGTAAGTTACAGTTAATAGAGATAGCCAAGGTGTTCGCCGGTTTAAAAGAAGCAATGTATGGCTAGTTTACGGTTCGTGGATTTAATACCATATCTATTTATATATTATATTTTTTTTATATTTCCGGTATTAAATTAAAATTTATGTTAAAAATTATAAATATTTCGCAAGTAGAATTGTTTTCACGTTTTAGAACGCACCCGTATCGGAACAGTAGAATAAGTCACTCGTATCCGTATCGAGCACTCGAACACATTACGAATGTGCTTCGTGCTGCGAACTTTTACTTTCTACGGTAATCGTAAAGTGTACCGTAACTTTTACGTTACCGTACGTCAAAATATTCGTCCTAGGACCACAGAAAATGTTGTCATTCTTCCTTCCATCTATCCACCATTTCTAAAAATTCCATCCGGGTTCAAAAATCACCGTGCATAAATGGAAAAAAATTAAGTATTGTCTATAATTTACGTGACTACAACTTCAAATGAAACACTGTTAGCGGTTTAAAACGCAAAATATATTACCTAAGTTATTTGCAATTTATTTTCAGTTCCTCTGTGACCACGGCTGCTGCAAAGCATCGGGAATGTCGGGGCGTAGTTATAATAAATTATAAATAAGTTAACTAATATCTTTTTGCGTTTGGAATCGATGAAAGTGTTTTAAAAACTTCACTTTATTTAAATGTCTACTTCTGTTCATGCATTTCGCAACGACTAAAGCCTAAATATATCGATTCTCTTAACATGTCATATGATTGGAGTATTTGACATTCCATTTATAGAAATCCAATGCGTAAAATACTTACCACTTTATGATCTGAGCAATGTTCAGCGTATATATCTCGTATCAATGTATCCAACGTCCTTTGCCTCTTTAAAGCGAATGTCGGTGTTTGAAACGCTGCTTTTTCACCATTCATTAATTTCACCTTAAAATATATAACCCAATAAGTATTAACGTTATATTAAAGTATAAAGTTTGCAACAATATAAGAGGTACCGAGAAGCTCGATAAAAGACTATTTCAATCTAAAAAAATATAGACTGTTTTAGAACTAATAATTTTGTCACAAACCTTCTTCGGTGTAAAATCTTATATCATTGTTAAGAGTCCTGAATTAAACATTTACTTTCCTGAACATAAAAATTGATCAGTGAAAGAAGTCCGCCACATATATAATTATAGATTTTGTATCTATCGAATGTTGTGGACTTGTGTCTTAAAAAAAATGACGGTTAAAAACGTGAAATTATTAGGTAACATTTTTAATTCATTTAATTTCGATCGGACGTTTCACTTGATTTGCAGAAGGTCTTAGTTCAAATAAATTATAAACAAGTTAAGTAATATATTTCGCGTTTTAAACCGTTAACATGTTTAACTCAAAGGTGTACTCGAGTAAAAACTTAATCCCTTTGTTCTTTTAATATAAAAATATTACACATACAATTTAACAAATGCGTATTTTTATAACAAGATAATGAAATAGCGATGAACGCAATAATGCTTACTAAAAGGAATTCCCTGAAGAGTTGTGGGTCGCTGAATATGGGGGGGCAGGGGAGGGAAGGCCCGAACGGCGGTACCGTGTCGTCTGTGTACACACTCAACCTGTACCCTTCACCTTCAACCTCGGATACAACAGCAAATATATCTGGAGTTTTTTGTAAGAAAATGTTCTATTGAAGCATAATCCACGGATCAACTCGGTTTACCTTATTGACAAGCGAAGGAAGCGCTGACTCAACATTTTTATGTATTACTTCTGTATAAATTTAATTTGTCTTGTCTTTTGGCGAATGATGTGTTTGCCAATAATTGTTAAATGCATTTGTCACCTACATTATGAATGTATATATTATAAATGTATGAATGTAATTTTAGCTACAGACTAATAAATAAAAACACGATTAAGTACAGTTTAAATATTGTTGCTTAAATAAAAAAAGAACATTGTCCCATAACGAGAAACACTTGCAACTTGCTGCAAGAGTTCGGCCTACCTACTTTTCTTTCTTACAGATTATTGCATATATTTTATTTTATGTATATATAATGTACTCTATCATTATTGGTACGCGATATAAATTTACATAGAACATAATATCTTAATATTAATTTCTCGTGTTACGGTGTTGGAAGTTGTAGTTCTCCTCCCGAAACGGCTCGACCGATTTTCACCAAATTTGATATGTGTTTCAGTAGGTCTGAGAATAGGACAACATCTATTTTTCAAGTGATAAGGGGTTGTTCACCGTTATTTTTTTTTTAGACTAAATTTTATATTTCTATTTTTTTATGAACAACATAAAAAAATACATACAATCCTCAATTTACACCCTTCTACGATCAACCCTTATTTTTTAATATACATTTTTAGTAAAATTATTTATGTACTAGTATAATAAATATTCGCGTTGAGACGTTACACGTCAACAGCCCTAGGATACACCGGAAAATCAGCGTAGCGCACTGTGCACTACTTTGCTGATAGCGGTGCCCTATTTCCTCAGGAACCTATTGAACCATTGCTTGTATCGAGTAACTTATGTTATTCAGTTAATCGGAATTTAAATAATGTAATAATTTTTATGATGGTAAATAAATGTTTTTTTTTTATTTTGAAATACTTTCTTTCGAAATGACGTTCGTAGGAACGTCAATTTGTCTCATAAAATTTGTTGATACCGTTTTATATAATTTAAAAATCGAAAATCAATTGAAAAAAATTTTTCCACTCGGGGTGGACTCGAACCGGCATCGTCAGCGCTCCGTGCTGTTGCTCTACCAATGCGGAACTCTGACGATGCCGGTTCAAAACCATTCAGTTTTAAATTCTTCTTAAAGTAAATACCAACGGTTATATTGATATAATATAATCAATATATCTATCCTAACGCGTAAACCTATTCTAATCTCAAAAATTACTGTATGATATCATCTTGCGACATTAGGATCAAAGAAAATAAAAGTGGGAATATTAACCTTTGATGGCTTCAGTTGTAGCCGAAAATCGAACTAACATACAAATATTTAAAAAAAAAAAAAAAAAAAAAAAAAAAAAAAAAAAAAAAAAAAAAAAAAAAAAAAAAAAAAAAAAAAAAAAAAAAAAAAAAAAAAAAATAAAAAAAAACACCAAAATTAAAAAATTTTTGGAAAACCCAAAATAATTAAGTTTTCAACCGTTTTATATTCTTCTTAAAGTACAATTAACTCGCAAGAACCGTGTTTTGGTGATAATATTTTGTTGAAATAAATGCATTGATAATAATTACTTCGTTTTACTACGTCGAAAAAAAAAAAAAAAAAAACAAAAAAAAAAAAAAAAAAAAAAAAAAAAAAAAAAAAAAAAAAAAAAAAAAAAAAAAAAAAAAAAAAAAAAAAAAAAAAATTACCCCCCCCCCCCCCCCCCCCGCCCCCCCCCCCCCCGGGGGGGGGGGGGGGGCCCCCCCCCCCCCCGGGGGGGGGGGGGAAAAAAACTTTAAAAAAAATTTAAAACAATTCCCCCCTTTTTCCCCCTTTAATTTTTTTTTTTTAAAGGTTTTTTTTCCGGCAAAAAAAAAAACGGGGTTTGCCGGATCAGCTAGCTTTTGTAACACTCAACTTTAGTGTCACTAAGAAAAAAAATACTTTTGATTTGTCATACCGCTCACTAATTGCCATACTATAAGCGGTTACTTTTTTGTACATTGCGAACTGAAATTTCAGTTGCGTGTACGTAACACTAGCTTACTAGTCATTTAGTAAAAGATACTTGAGTTCAATTAAAACTTATCCATAACACGAGTCAAAGTTTCTAGGGAAGTTGTTAACGTAGTATGGAGAGTGCTTGCATATTTAGTGTAAATTTACAATATTTATAACTAATAGACCAGAGTTTGTATCTGGACGGTCCTAAGTTAGGACAGATGTTTCTCCACCACCAGCTCGATTGATTTTAATGGAGTTTTACCTAAATATAGCTGAATATCTAGAATTAATCTGTAATTTTTGTCCATTCTTGTTTCTTTTCATTGGATTTTAGTCTTTGTTGTGCTTTCTATCACGAGGTCAGAAAAGCTTAATTATACTGGACGACATGTAAAATGTGGCCTAATTTTATAAAACAGAATCGCGACGTTTCCATCTGTTAACTCGATTTCTGAAATTTCGATTAGTTTTTTTTATTATCGCGGGTTATTATAACGGTATATATATAATTATAAATATAATATTATTTATTATAACGGGTCGCGGATCAACCCCACCAAGTCCAACATTTATTGACTTCTGTATGTATATTTCCGAATACCCAAAGCTAGAATAAGTCGAATGTACATCTTGTCCAGATGTTACACGGCTGGAGTATTTCATCTTCCATCAAGTTAACTCCATGTTTGTCTGTCCTTCTCAATCATATTAAAAAATATTGTAGAGGGTAACACGAAAAGCGTAACTAATACGTAAACAAAGGATACGTGTAAAGTGGCTTTTTACACACTGAGGGTTGAAAGTGTTGTGCGCGGAGTCTTCTGTGAACACTATGTTGACTATGTCATTGCCGATGTGACGTTTCCTTTCGAGCTGTGGACAAATTGGTCTATATTAATAATTATACTATTAAAGTTTTATTTTGTGACAGTATTCTATACAAAAAAACCTATTGTTTCTGTTTCTTTTGACTTTTTAAAGTGACCCAACAATGTTTAAGTAGTATATGATGTTTTAAAACTCATTATATGCTAGTAAATTGTGTGAGAATCTAAATGGGACATTTTAGAACCAAAATTACATTAAACACAGGCAATATTTTAGATCTAGATCAGGTAAAGTGTAAATTAGATAAACTAAGCGTAACAGCACAGATAAAATACGCGAATCTTTTACGTATTGAAAGCAAATACAATAGAAACTTTCTGTATTGCTACAAACACAAATTAAAAATACATACAATTGTTAGTATGTATTTGTAATTTTTCTTCTTAAATATCATTAAAACCTCTTAACGTATAATATGTAATATAATAATATTAATTGTTACCCTGTGCTTTCAAAAGTGCGTCAAACACAGGCAAAACAGACTTGAGACAGTTTCTCCTTATCGACACATTTTTAGTTTAAGATTCGAAACGATTACTTCCCAGGGTTGTCAATGTGAACAACTGAGTCATTTACATTTGTGTTATAAGAGTAACTCGAAGGAAACTGAACTAAATAAAACAATAGTTAGTATCTACACTAATATATAAAGCTGAAGAATTTGTTTGTTTGAACACGCAAATCTCAGTAACTACTGGTTTGAATTGAAAAATTCTTTATGTGTTGGTTAGAACATTTATTGCTGAAGGTTATAAAACATCGTGTGTCTAAGAGGAGCGAAGAAACAGCGGGAAATGTGAAAAACGGAGAAAATCTGTGAGTTTCCGATGTGTACGCTGCGAAAATGGTTCAAGATACCCAAAAAAATTGTTTGAAAGAATGATTTCTTAAATGATCTAAAAAAATATCACTATACGTCTATCTTTAACAAGTAACAGTGTGACTGTATAAAGATGAACTGGTTTGCAAAAACAAATTTGGATGCCCAGAATTACTCTACGCGGACGATGTCGCTGACAGAGCTAGTATATTGTATACAGCAGCATTGCGTACTAATTTCGTCAATTAATATGACAATGTGGGCTAGTCATGCTCGTACTTAATTATATTACGGTAAATGTCGCTTAATTATACATGTAATATGTTTCAATGACTATAAAATAATTATGTCAATTATATATGGCGCTTTGTAAAAGCAAAAGAAAGTTTAAACACAGAAGCAAGCTTTGAAACTATTTAAGTATGTAGTTAATTTAATAATCGATTATAAATTGAAAAAAAAAAGGACAAGGGCAGCATTTGAACCGGCATCTACAGCGTTCTAATTCTGCCTCGTTCTAACCAATTGACATAGAAGCTCTATTGGTTAGAGCAACAGCACGGAACGCTATGGACGCCGGTTCAAGCACTGCCAGTGTCGTAATTGGCTTTTCTTTTTACTATCGATTTTCAATTTATAGTGCCGTCATGTGTAAATCAATATAAAGGTTTTCAGATTTGAGAAGTTAGTTGTGACAACCGCTTCTGAAGCCAGATGCTTAAACGTCTTACATAGCAGGGCATACCACAGAAGTCTGATCAACTGATTGATTGTAAAAACTGAACAGTGAAGCACAGAAATGTGTTCACCCCATGCCCCAATATGGAAATATTTCACTATCTATCAAGTGAGCCGCCATGCTGGTATCTCTCTGTCATTAAACAAAAAAGTAAAATCTAAAATATCTACTCGTGTCTCGAATTCGTAAAAAATACTAGATTGGAATAGTTTTAGAGATAAAAGTAAAAAATTACAGCTCGTGACAAATGGAAAGCCATTTGTACAAGCGGCTGTCTAGTATCTTTTTTGTTGGAATTGGCTTCAAGCACCGGTAGCGATTTAGCGATTTCGAAATCGAGATTTTTATAGCAAATATCTGTTTGCATATTATTAATTGAAGCTGCTTTAGGCATAGTAGCCTAACTGTAGTTTTATTGAATTGCAGTTTACTTGAGTTAACTTGTATATTTTTATAGTCTAAAAATGTTAATCTACAAGAGCACTGTGACCGTAAATTGTTAACGTAATTTTTACACAAATGATTGTTAAATTCACTTTCGCCAAAGTTAATTGCGCATTTATTTTCATCCTTATTGAAAATCATGTTTTTTTATAATTAAGCTACTGTGCCTCTATTTTCTAAACAATTGTTAAATTCGAGAAACTCGAACGAATTTCTTGGGAATCTCGAGAAACGTTTGAGTATCAAATTTTGTAAAAGTTTGGAAGTCCTGAAAATGGGATTTCTATTTTTACACATGTGAAAATAGAGTAAATATTTTATGAATTGTTTTATTATTAATAAGTAGTGTAATTTTACTTAATATCCCAGTTACACAGGCATGGGATAAATATATTTTAGAGTCTGTTTTGCTGATAGCTATAATTTACAAGTTTTATTATATGAAAGATTCGATCTCAGCACTTCAAAAAACTCTTAAAATTATATTGTCTACTTTATATTTCGCGTTGTTTTTTTGTTTTAACACAGCATTATAAAAATAATATCGTTAAATGATTTGTATATTTTAAGGGCTTATACAATATATTGAACTAGCGGTGTCAGTGACTTTGTCCGCCGAGAATATTAATTTTAGACATCAAAATTTGTTTTTAACAAACCTCCTCTTTATAAATTACTCTTACCCACGACGTTATTCGGGTCCCGTCGCTCTTGCAAGTTAATCTTAAGGATGGATATATACTGTCGCGGATATTTTTTTAGGTAATTTAAAGAAAAATCATTTTTTCATGCACGGTTTTGGGTTTTCGCAGCATACGCAACGGAAACCCACAAGGATGTATAATTTTCCCCTTTTTAAACATTATATATCGATATAGAAATATAGATATTAGACTAAAATACTAATTACTAGCAAATGTATTCAAGTCTTAATAATTAGTCTTAGTTGTTAGTTCGAAATCGGCATACAAGCGTTATTCACGAAAATCGGCCATCCAACATATTTGGAAATGCTTGATAGAGCGGGGTATTAATTAGCTTAATTGAGAGCTATCCGTCTTAGATGACCAATGATCCGTGTAGAAACACTTATCTTTGACATCATTCATTAACTATATAAATTCAAGGTATATTTATCGTAACTATTAGCCAATGAATGTATAGCGTATCTATTCTTATAAAGAAATCAAAATCTGAAATTAATAAAAATAATTTTTTTAATTATACATATACTATTAAAATATTAGTCCGGGACTTGTACCCGATTCTTTGATTTACTAATGTTATTGAATTATTATTCTTTTAAGTTTTTGTAGCGATAAAACAATTCTATTTCGTTTAAGTAAATAACGTGCGTTTAGATATATAATTAAAGGTAAGAACTTAAAAATTAATAGTTACTGCAGACTATAGCCAAACCCCCAGACTACGTCCCCGTGACCACGGCTGCTAAAAAAATCGCAAAGCACATCTTCCGAAACGTACGGGCCAAGTTAAAAATCATATTTTAAATAAGTTTAACTAAGAAATATATCCCGTTTTAAACCGTTAAAGTGTACATTTACTTAAATGTGTACTACTCTTTCGGTAAACTATAGACAGTATTTACATGTTATAAGACAGGCGAAATTAGGTGCTGAAGCAAGTATTTTTAATTATCCAAATTGGTTTAACTTTGACTAACATGGTTTCCCCTCACAAATGAGCTCTTAAAGTAAGAAAATAAGTCAAAACGAGGAAAACAAAACGCCTTGATGGCAGATGTTTGCTTCTAAGACAAAATTCCATTTTCTCTTAAAATATTTGTTTGTGAACAATCTGTTGATAATAATTTTGATGGCGGCAGGAAGCCGTCTCATTTCCATAAACGGGAATTAGCTTAAAAGCTTTCTTTATTCGAAACGTAATAAAGGTATTATCGAAGTTAAGTGTAAACAGGAAAAGTGTTTTTTCTTGGATTCACAGTACTTTGGTAGTAAGTAATATTATTATGTTAATCTATACACTCATAATAAAGCACTTTAAGAAGTATGTATAAATGTATGAATGTGGGTGATAAAAAAAAGATTATTTGACTAAGTGTTTCTACCTATTACCATAAATATCGAACAAAGCAGCATAAAACCCCCGTTTGTTGAATGGGATCCCCTTAAATATTTATTTTATTTTAATATTAGTATTTATTATTATCAACAGCTAATTTCTGAATACGCTACAGAAACTTTTGGCGTTCGTTATAAACATATCTTTTTTTTAATTGAAAGCGTAACCAGCCAGTATCAGTTGTGATTTTATATTGACATACTCTGTGGGTACATAACAAAGATTTTATATCTGCTGTAGGTAACTTGCAACCGTGAACTTAGTTGACTATCTGTGGTGTGCCAAAACTGTTTAACAGAAAGCTTAGCAATAATTGTAACTGTAAAGTTTCCTTTTACATTGTTTTATGTTATATAGGTACTTGATGTTAAGTGACACCAAAGCTCATAGAAGTCTGTGTCACAAAAGGCATCAAAAATGCATAGTCAGCCTTTTAACCAACTTTTAACATTCTGCTGAAAGTCACGTTTCCTTGCAGACGAAATCGCGAGCCAAAGCGAGCACTTAATATGGTGAACCTCCTTTGTTGCTAAGATAATATTGTACGGAAAATTCAATAGATAGAAAATTGATAGTTTAACTGGGACAACAAGTCTTCGATCATGTGATGCAGTCCTATTATCGTTTCATAATTATAATTTTAGATAAAATATTGGAAACTAATTACTAGTGAAATAATAAGTGTTGCCTAGCATTACTTGATCACGAGACTTTCGGGGTTTAAATCCCCGGGTAAAAAACAAATTGTTTTCTTCGGGCTGGGAAATCTATATCTGTGCTTGTAATTTAAATAAATCAATACAATATACTTACTCTATTTTATTATAAAATATTTGTTTTTACCTCATTATTATTTTTCATTGCATTTGTACTTACTTTTATAGTTTACTAGCTGCCGGACTACGTCTACGCAGGATAAGGATTATGTAGAATCGCGCATTAAAACGATATGATGTCTATTATATCATACATTACATAATTAAGTGTAACTAACGTTTATGGTAGAGGACGCCAGAATAGCTCGCACAAAGGTAGGGTGTTTTCCTAGTTACTTGATAGTTAATGTCATATTTCGAAAAGCTCACACAATATTTGTATAAATTGTAGTCTATGTGTTATTCTGATGTATAAGCTAACTATTGGAAAGTTTAATCGAAATCCATTCATATTTTTGCTTGAAAGAGTAACAAACATCCAACCACACATACAAACTCACACGTTTATAATATTAGTAGGATTCTGGTCCACATTTGAAAGTATACAATAATAACATTGTTGAAGGAAATGTATTTCAGTTTCAAATTAGTATGTAATCAAAATACTGACCTGTTGTTTATTATCTTTGGAGAACGGCAACATTGTCGATATATGAAACATGATTTCGTGGCCTTGATGCATCGTATATATTGAATGGCTGCCCGTCATGTCACCTAAGGAATTTAATACATTTTAATTTACTATCATTGGCATTTTATATATCCTATATAAGACCTTATCCATAAAGTTGGTCAATCTGTATTGGCCGTACTTGGTGATTCCTTGTTGTGATCAAAGTTATAATTATCACATTATTAACCTAAACACCTAATTAATCATTTTGAGTTCGCAAGATTGAGAACAGAAAAAAAAAAACATTACAATATACATATTCCCTTTAATTTACTAAGAAACAATTATATTCTTTACCTAAACCCTAAACTCTTATATTAGTAAAGATTTAATAAAACACTTTAAAGGTTTAAACGCGAAATATTTTTAGTTACCGGGACTAAAGATGGACGGTGTCCTGGGTGATTATAGATAAAATACGTAAACAATTTAAATAATATATTTCGTGTTTAAAACCGTTAAAAGTGTTTTAATGAAATTTGTAACATACACGTAAACTTAAGAATGTTATTAACCATATAATGGCTTATAAGATACCTGTACAATTATGACATAAATAATATATTTGTCTTTGTTTTTCTGTAATTGGTTCCAACCGCCCTCTTTCATATATCGTAACGTAACTGCAACGATATTAAACCGAAAACACCCCAAAGAAAATATCGAATTATAATTTCCAATACATCGAGTATCTCACGTGAACGGAGCTCGAAGTCACAATACATTTCCGAAGTCCTTATATAACAACGAGTAAGCTTTTACGTAACCTCACGTGCGACTCTACGAGAATAAACACGAGCATATTAATTTGCTAACGCTAGGCTTCGCTCGTGTTTGATTTCACGTTCGTGACAAGTCGAAATCAAGTTGTAACTGCATACTTTGAAATACATAGCATGTCTTGTACATTGCATCTGTTTACACGAGTGATACACTTATAAACGCCTAATGGTTAAAACATTTTGGCGGCATTCAACATCGACTTTAGACGGGCTTGGTTGAATCGTCGTAATTAATGGATAATAATCAACGGATCGAACATTTTTTTAATCAATGTAAAGCTTTTTTGAAACATACTGGACTTCTGTGGAAATTTAAATAGGGAGGTGATAGGAAAATCGGAATTCCGTCCGGGTCGAAACCACTGTCCATAGACAATAAAACCATGTATAATTTTCTCCGAATAGTTTCAAATATCGAAGACAGAAATTCGAATCCTGGGTCGCGACATCTACATTCGAGTGCGCTAAACACTAAACCAACATGGCTGTTTAAAAAAGAAGTAAACAAATAGTGTAGTGTGCAATTAGTTTGGAACCTACATTCTATAGTTTGTGCAAAGGAGATCGCTTACCTTTGACATCCAAGCCTCCCCGAAACCGGTTCCAGCCTCTCAATCGAATCTTGTCTCCCAAAAGTGAAATAAATCTCTCCCATTTCGCGTTCCCTTTTTCTGAAATAGACCTTTCTTGTAATTTATAATAATAGCCCCGATTGCAGGATAGTTACGGGTTGTCATTTGCGTAATTACACAGTTCTATCCATTCATTGTATCGTACTGTAACTGTAATATATTTTTATTTAAATCAAACACTTTTAACTGACATTTGACTTGCTGCTACATCTAAAAACTTTGGTCCGTAGTTAAAATTACATATGTAAACAAAAGACGGTACTTAATATATTTTTTACTAAGCTCGAATATGAATATGAGTCCCAAGTTACAGTTGTAAAAAATATAAATGGATACTAAATTGGTACGTCGTAAGTTCGAACCCCGCTTGTGTTATTCTAAGCTGTACTTTTAATTACCGTTAGATAGCATCTCGTCGTCTGTCCTCTGACCCGCCTTCATGATGACCACTCCAATCTTGAAATTTACTGACCCCTCCTGTTCTTCTAATAACAAAATGTCCTTTTGTAGTTCGGGGCACGTAATCTAGACAAACAGTTTATATAACTTGAATCAATACAAACAATACTTAGAAACTATTGGAACGAGGGAACTTCGGCAATATACTTGCTATATACTGTAGTTACAGTTCTTAGAATATTGATATCATGGAGTTAATAATCTATACTAATATTATAAATGCGAAAGTAACTCTGTCTGTCTGTACGGCTTAAACTCCAAAACTACTAAACTGATTTAAATGAAATTTGGTACACAGATATTTTAGAGCCTGGGAAAGGACATAGGCTACTATAGGCTTTTTAATGTCAAATAAGGGTTGTTAGGGGTTGAAAAAGGGGATGAAAGTTTGTATAGAAATTTTTGGTTTTTGAAGCTAGAACAATAAAGCTTTCTTTGGCTTTTTCAAAGTCAAAGTCAAAAATCATTTATTCATGTAGGTAGCTATGTACACTTATGAACGTCACAAAATAATTATAGAATCTAACTTTACATTTACTACCAGTTCTCAAATCAAGGGCGTAGAACGAACGAGAAGAACTGGCAATAAACTCGCCGTCACTCCTTTTATCGCCAAGTTTCTTTTTACATTCTCGATTTACTAGTACACAACATATTTTTCCTTGTAAGAGCGGGTTCCTCCACACCCCAAGCATTTTTATCATTTTAATATTGATTAACATGATAATAACCCTTTTCAAGCAGTTTTTGTTTTACATACGATTTAAACCTATTTATTGATATATTTTAGGAATAGGAGTGGGAGTAGTAGTGAGAGTGAGAGTGTTGCGGCAAAGTAGCACCTACAACATAGATTGGCTGCCTTAAATGTGCCCTTACATAAATTAATAAACAGCCTAAATAATTAAAAATTGTACCCCAAGTCACTATTCCACGCGGGCAAAGTCGCGGGCACACCTAGTTAAAGTAAAATGTTTATAAACGATAACATACGATATTTATTTTTTTATGATAGAGGAGGACAGAAAAGCATGGCTTTGACTAGATGGAAGATGAAATAGTCATGTAAAATCTGGACAAGATGTCTACCTGATTTAGCTTTGGATAATCTACAAGCTGAAGGCGAAATGCGGATAAACTTGACGGCGTTTTTGTCTGTAGACGGTGGCTCGAAACGCGGACAGAATTTTGATATCCACACCACCCATTTCCAGATTACCAGACGAAGTCCAACATGTTTTACAATAAAAAAATGTGGACCCGGTAGGGATCGAATCCACAACCCGTTGAAGCTATACATTACTAACGTTTTACAAGCGAGGCTATGAATTTATCTCACATTCACACTGCCTAACTTGAATGAATTAAAACTTTATTTGTTTTCACAAACAGTGAATTCGCATACACGATGATTTTACTAAACTTAGTTCATACAAAATGTTATTCAAAAATGGAACAATTTTATTCAAGGACTTCGTGTGCGTAATTTTCTTTTTAGTACTGTATAGTTTGCAAATATAGACGCAAGAATGTTTATTTAACAATATTTTGCAAAATAATAATGTATTAGGCTTTAAAACGTCTTCGATAGTATTTTGCTAGCATTAGGAATATCGAAATTCCCTGTTACTAACGTAAGACCAGCGTAGCCTTAAAGTGCAAAGTTCACATTTCGAGATCTAATTAATGTCAGATGTTCTACGTAATATGGTTTCGGGACAGAATACCGAACATGGAAGTGTTGTATCTGTTATGCACAGCGTGCTGTGGGAAAAAAAAATTTCGAGTTGACAGGCGTAGTACAAGCCTTGCATTACTACTTTGTTACTACTGCTAAAGTAAATGTTATATTCTGAAAATAATGTTTGATAATATTAACATGAGTAGGAAATATAGAATCACTAACTCAAACTACTGCAATTTGGAGTAATCAGGAAGGACTCAATTTCAAGAACGAACACAGTATTTAATTTGAACTTTACTTTTTTTGAGGAGTTCGGAGGAGGAGGGATAAACGTGGTGTTCACAAGTGGTAGCATTGGTTATATAGTAGCGTTTCTATGAGGCAATTGGCTGTCGACCTCTGACGTGAAAAATTAAATCAATTAATCACCTCTCTTGGCATCTTATCGATCCTCTCAATAGCTGTGAACTGTGATAGAATCTGTTTGAGAGTGGGCCTCGACGGTGCTTGACCTCCACCGCCACTCCAAGCACTCGCGGGCAAGTAAATTTTATGCGCTCCCTGTTGACAGAAAAAAACTTGTATTACTCCATACTAATGCATAAAGCTGATGAGTTTGTTTGTTTGAAATCTCTTATCTCAGGAACTACTGGTCCGAATTGCTTTAGGCTAAAAAACATCACGCTGCGAAAACGATTCAAGTTACTCAAGATTTCTCTTTAAATTATCTAGACAGTATACGTTTATATGTGTAAGTCGTCTAAAAGGTAGATAAAACACCATCGTTACTTAAAAGTAAACAAAATAAAGTCTTTAAAAAAGTCTTACATATATTAAATAAAAATTAATGCTTAAATAATAAAAATGTATTTTGTAATGCGTTGAAATAGGTCTTTTATGGTAACTTAAGCGTAAATACACATAGTAACAAAAACACTGACCATTTTATTGAAGAGTATAGCTCGTAAAAGCCCAGCTCCTTCCTGTACAACGCTCAAGAGATACGGTTCTCTCGCGCCATCTACTCCTATATAGTTCTGGTGCACTGGAACAGTTAGAAATTTTATCGTCTGCGTCGGACGTCTGTCTAATTTTCATTAGGATTCGTTTCTATGACAACCACTTACTAACAAAATACTCGCTTGCTTTAAAAGGGTGAGAAATAATTGTTAATTCAGATGTAGTGGTCAATCATTTCATCATTATAAGTATATCTTGATATGAACCTAAACGTGACATATATTACTTATGTAACTGGTTAAATACTGTCTATAGTTTACGCGAGTAGTACACATTTAAATAAAACACTTTAACGGTTTATATATTAGTTGAACTTATTTGATAATGGTGATTAACTTCGGCGATGGAGGATGTCTCTGTCAGAGACATCCTCCATCTTTAGTCTCCCCGTGACCACGGCTGCTGCAAAGCATCCGAAACGTCGGGCCGTAGTTAAAAATATTTTTTAAACCAGTTTAACTAAAATCTATCGCGTTTTAAACCTTAAAGTGTTTTATTTAAAATTTAAATAATTCATACTTACAACCTTTTCCTACTTACAACCGAGTCTGCACATGTTATCTTATTTTGAATTCCTTATGCAATAATATTGAAGACAAACACAATTAGTTGTATTATTTTTTTATATGTATTATAATATATCAGTAATTTGCACTTGACATAAAAAATACTTTACCAAAAAATCGGCTGTCATATGTACATTAACCAATCAGTAGCATTTCTTTGATATTATAAATTAAATTGTAAAAAATTTGAACGGTTCTTAAAATGGCGATTGTTAAAACACGCGTTTTTTAACTTGACACTGGCAAATAGTTAGTTCTTCTTGCCATAAATGAAAAAAAAAACAACAAATTTACAATCCATCGCGTTTCACAATTATTACTGAAATATTTCACTACTAGGGGCTGCATTAAATTTTTAATTTTCTTCCTCATTTGAAATTTAGAAGGGAAAAAAAAAGTTGGGAAAAAAAAAAAAATTTTAAGGGTCCTTTGGGCGGATCATTACTGTTACAATTATTACTGAAATATTTCATACTTGCATTAAATTTTTATATAATCATGGTTAAGATTTGAATTTGAAAGTAATCAATAATTTTTAATACTTACATTACATACTACATATGAGGCTGCTAGAGGCAGAGTGGCCTCATAACAAAAAACATAATTAAGGAGAATGAATAAAGGGGAAAATTAAAATATGTGCAATTGACTTAGGCGAAAAAGAATGTATTTGTGTAGATTTTTTTTTTAAATATAAATAACTCAAGTCATAAAATTGCAGTTAGGCAACTCTGCCTCTAGCGGCCTCATATATATATTTCAATGTATAGCTTCGAGACATAGAAATCCGACCTCGATTGACACTTTTAAGATCGCTTCACTACTCATCCACATAACTCCAAGGTCTGATAATGCTACTCAACAACAAAGTAACAAAAGAGGAGTTACGAGTAGTTATTTTTAAACGATTGTATTAAGGTTTCTCATTCAGATATTGTATGAGGTAAATATTTCAATACTTTTTAACGGTTTAAAACTCGAAATATATTAGTATACTTATTTACAATTCACTTTCACTAGGGTCCGATAACGGGGGATAATAAACAAAACTTCAAATAAAGTGAACAAGGTTAACTAATATATTTCGCGCTTAAAACAGTTAAAAAGTGTTTATTTAAATGTGTTAAATATGTTAACAGTTAAAGGTAGTGCTCACAAAATTTTTATATATTTTTATAATAATTTCAATGTTTCTTTTGTCTCCTTTTTAGTGTATACTAGTAAAATTACACATTGTCTACAATTATATTATTAATATAAATGTAGTATAAGTCAGTATGTTTGACTTTTCACACATTTTTGTCTAGATTATAAAACTATTATTTATTAGGTAAGTGGGTACAAAAACTAGTGGCCCATTTGGTTATTATTCAATACATATCAAAGCAATTATATACAGTACATTACCATGAAACATACCAACTTGTTGACGTTAAATATTCGAACAAAATAAAAACATAATTACCTTATTTACTTCACCATCTCCCGCCTATTACATAAACAATTTATTACGTTTGAATGTGTATTTTATTCAAACGTTCCAAGAGAGAAAAACAAAGTTAGACGTTCAATGAAAATTTCCATCAAGGACACACATTTACGTACCACAGGAGGTAAAATGTTCCATTGGCTAAGTCTAAAAATAATTGTCTAAAAATAAAAATCAATACAATTTGAATTCAGGTGTCATAAGTCTTAAGACCTCCGATAAACTGCTTCTCGTTTTGTTACAGTCTTCCTTCTAAGAGTCTTACACAATTGTGCAATAAGGAGTTATGTTATTCTAAGATACCCTCGGTTCAAAACAAGAAGTCCCGCCGTGACAATTCACAATGAAATTAGTTTTTATTTAAAAAATAACGTTAAGGCACACAGCCTTGTCAGCCACAGATAATGTTCATAAAAAAAACTTCAAATTTCTTTTAAAATTTATATTAGTCTTAATTGGCAATTAATAAAACAAATGACGGTTCCAATTTGTGAGAAAGGGTGTAGACGGGTTTAATCTGCAAAAGAAGCCTTGCTACTTTAAAGGGCTTCGATGTATCGGTTTTAATTTTCCGCTTGTTAGATCGCTACCCTGTTAAACGATTAAAACAAGTGTTTACAAAGATGATGTTGTTTTTACCTTGTGTATTTAATCTTTCAAATCAAAAAAAATGGAAGACATTGAAAGAAATGGAAGTAGCGTATACAGTATTGTTAATTGCTCTTTAATTTTTTTTTTCATAATAACCAATTTTGTCTTTTTACATGAAATGCAAATACGTGCTAGATACTTTTTTTTTTAACTTTTATTTATCATATTTACCAAATCGACTGGATAGTTTGTTTATATGGGATACACGGAAACATAGTGACATTGACGTTTTACAAACTGTCATTGAGAAATAACAGACAGTTGTTGACAAAGTTGACATATTTATTTTAATGTCTGAAATAATGTCTGGATTTTTCGTGGTTGGAGACCACGTGCCCTGAGGGTATTCCAGTTCTAATCTTAAAGCGATTGCAAAGCTAATCGGATGCTTTGCAGCAGCCGTGGTCACGGGGAGACTAAAGATGGAGGATGTCTCTGTCAGAGACATCCTCCGTCTTTAGTAGGGTCGTAGTTAAAAATAAGTTTTAAACAAGTTTAACTAAAATCTATCGCGTTTTAAACCGTTAAAGTGTTTTATTTAAATGTGTACTACTCGCGTAAACTACAGACAGTATTTAACAATACGAAATATTTATTTGAGATATGAAAAATAAATTAAAAATTCATACACATATTTATATTGAATGTAAGTACTATGTGTATCGTTAAAATCTCGACTGCGCAGCTGACAGTAAGCCTCGTTAATTAAGGTGAGTTAACGTAGAAAATTATTTTCAAATGAACTTGCTCACTTCGTGAAGCCCTAATTAGAGTCACTTACTTTTTCCGAGGAAGTATTTGAAGTACCAGCGCGTCTGGAATTCGGGATTTTCGAGGACTGGCGCACTGGGCGGGCCGAATAGCTGAAAAATTAACTATTGTAATTAAAAATTATACTACTACGACTATTAACAATGTATTTCAAGACTATTAATAATAATAATTCCATTCGTGTGTTGCCCTATACCTTTAAATCTTATCTGAGTGTTACAAAAAATTCTAGTATCTTAAAATTTTCGTAACTACGCCCAGACTTCTGTAACGCGTTACTTCATTTGATGTTGACCATTATTAATTATAATACACATGTAGGTATCGTGGTATCTAATATTATATGAGTCTGTTAGAGCCAGAGTAGCCTAACTGCAATTTTATGTATTAACATATTTATATTATTATAGTCTAAGCCTGTTAATTTACAAGTGCACAGTGACCGAAAATTGATAGCATAATTCTTACAAAAAAAATTGTACAAATTAATTTTCCCCCTTACTGAAAATCATGTTTTTTTGTTACTAGGCCATTCTGCCTCTAGAAGCCTCGTAGGTGTATAAAAGAATTATAATAAATGGAAAGCATTTAAAAGGTTGTTAGCCGTAGATTAGAGTAACACCTTTGTAGTACACATATTATCCATGGCTATTATTCTATTATTTATTTATTTAATTTGATAATAAAATTTATTTATTGGATACAAGACGTGTACATTCATGTTCATCTGCACGCCCTCGTGTTGGTAAATACAATACGTATTACGTTTTACGAAAAATATTAGTTTACTTATTTTTAGCGGTGACCTAACATTTTGTGCTTTGCAGCAGCTATGATCACGAGTCTACTGCAAAGCGTCAGAATTCTGGCCGAAGTTAAAAATAAATACTAACCGTTTTAAACCGTAAATGTACCTATTGTATTTAAACTGTTAGAATATTATCAAACACTTAAACAATACAACAGTAAATAATAATAACGTTAATTTGGAATGTTTATATGTGAAATTGGAGCATTATTCAGGTAGAAAAATATACAAAATGTAATAATTTTTCTACCCGTAGAAAGTTGACCTATTTCTTTTTTCTACCTGAAAACGTCCTGCAGTACAGAAGTCTTAGGATAATTCAATATGACAACGGTACATTGACGGGCGGGTAAAATTTGTATAAAAGAAAAGCGTACAGTTTGTGTGTAAGTTTATAAATCTTAGACTAACGTTTCAATAGCACGTACGAAGGATTTTTATGGAAGCTTATGAGAACCCACCTCATCTTTTTCGCCAAGAGAGTTGCCGTTCTCAAGTCGATATCGACGTATGATCGTATCCACCGCACCACTAATTTCACTCGTCGCTGACAACTGTAACAAAAAACGGAAATGACTAAGATCAATCCTAGGTAACACGTGGAACGTTTTTTATTTGACGAGCTGGTGCAAAGGTAGCAATGCATGGCATCAACACGTCATCAATTCAATATTTATAAATTTTATTATGGCTTATAAATTTTATTTTTTCTGAAACATGTTGGACTTCATTTAGAAATCTGCATATTAAAGGATAGTAGAACGAAATTGTGATATTCCACAAAGCTGTAAAATTGCGTTTCGTATCTGTGCATTTCCGAATATCCAAAGCCAAAGAAGGTCCACACGTGTATCTCGTCTAGATGTAATATGGCTAGGGCCTATCCTTAAGTGAATCCCTATATTAAAAAACTAACTTTGCCGATGCTCAAATTGTTTTGAATTGTTTTTAATCAACGATTTTTTTTGGATTATCATTAGCTTAGAGAACTTCTAAAACTATGCACCATTTTTCTTGTATAGATGGGATGCACAATTTTTTATAATTCCATACCTGCATACTTATAGATCGTGGTATTAATGAGAATATATAAAAACCAATCCTAAAATTAACAATCAATGTCGTTTTGCCGCTATATCCATTAGCAGATGAAATGTATCGAACTTAACAATTTGAGTCGCTTCATGTCGAAGCAAAGTTATTAAATGAGAGATAACAATTCTCAGTCTTCCTTCACATTTAATATCCTTGATTAATATTTCTTCCCCAAGGCAATGTTAAATAGTAGAGTCTAGTGGGTAGAGATCGGATCCTATTTAGTTACCAGCTACGCGACGTTGTAGAATTTCCAACGAATCCCGCTGGAGTAGGAGATTTTTCCGGAACGATGTTTCCATTTAATTAAAATGTGCATATCGTTTTTCGTTCCAATAGTACTATTTATGTATTGTCTGTAACATGTCGATAACTAGTAAATTCACATAAAAAAAACATTTAACGTTCTAAACCGTGAAAAATATTCGCTAAACTTATTTTTATTTTATTTTAACTACGACCCGCCGGCTGTCGGATGTTGTGCAGCAGTCGTAGTTGGGGTCTGAAGATGGTAACCCTAATGTCAAAGTCAAATCTGCTAAACTAGTGCCATCTGTTTCTTTGTAATACGTATTTTATTTAGAGATAAGTTTAAAAAAAAAAAAAAAAAAAAAAAAAAAAAAAAAAAAAAAAAAAAAAAAAAAAAAAAAAAAAAAAAAAAAAAAAAAAAAAAAAAAAAAAAAAAAAAAAAAAAAAACCCCCCCCCCCAAAAAACCCCCCAAAACCCCCCACCAAAAAAAAAAAAAAAAAAAAAAGGGGGGGGGGGGGAAAAAAAAAAAAAAAAAACCCCGGCCAAAAAAAAAAAAAAAAAAAAAAAAAAAAAAAAAAAAAAAAAGGTTTTAAAAACAAAAAAAGGTTTATTAGATAATTAGTTATACATTCCGCTTTTAAACCGCTTAAAGTGTTTTTTTTTAAGTATTAGGTATAGTTTTTATTCGTTGTAGTGTGGAAAGTAAAACTAAGCAGTACTATTCAGAATTATAAAACCAATAACGAAGTTAACGAACAACTAATAACAAAATTTTTTTAGGCGCCAAACTATTTTTTCAAAAAACACCATTCTATCTACAAGCCAGTTCGAATTTTAAATTGAACCTTTGATAAGTTACCTCTTTAGTCACCATATTACGAAGTAAAAGATCGTTCCATTTTTAAATTACACTACAAATATAATTTTACAAAGTAATTTATTTTGCCGTAATTTTTATTAACACGACAGATATGGATTTTCATATAAGTATTGGCGGCAGCTGCTCTACCGACAGCAAGTTCGATTTATCTCGAAGAAGGTTGTCAAAATAATGCTCAAATTTCAAAGCATGTTTGAGAAAACAACTGTTAAATGTACGTGTTTGGTCTAACGTGTATTAATATAACGATATATGACAAACATTTTAAGTATTACAAATGTTCAGCACCTACTTCAGACGTTTGACAAAAATAGAACGTAGCTTTGTTTGTAAAGTTGATAGTGACCTTCCCATTTTTAGAAAGACCTTCATTCATATTGTAACACGAATAGATATTAGGGGTAGATTATTTACAAATCTAAGTTCTTTTTAAATGATAGATATTAAAAATCAGGCAAGTAACTTTCAAGTTAAAAGTAAGTACTTATGTATTGTCTATTGTTAACGAGAGTAGACTCAAACATCAGTGGAACACTTTAAACGGTTCAAAACGCGAAGTATATTCAAGTATTTTTAATCTATTTTAACTATCACTTGACGTTTTGAATGTCCTGCTACAGCCGTGGTCACGGAAGGCGTAGTTAAATTATGTAATTTGCTTCGCGTTTTAAACCGTTAAAATTGTTTTTAAAAAGTATTTAAATGTTACTTTTAGACAAACATCAAAACATGCATATAAGCTGGCTATTGTAGGGTAAAACTATTTTATTTTGATAAATACAGAAGATTAGATATACTCCAGTCTCCTTGTGTGAGATGTTTTGCGATTTATGAAGGTAAATTGGGCATCGGTACGGGAAATGAGATTGGGGGTTGAATTTGATTTGATCAGGCGTACATAAGTTAGAAAGCCATAAATTATTTTTCGTTACATGAAGAAAGATGACGGAAAATTCAAATGTTATAACGGCAATCTTCAATATCTTCGTTGCTACAAACAATTCTTCTATGTATACACAGATAAAAACAACGTGAAGTTCAATTGCGTTTCAGTTCCAGTCCGTGGATTTCAGGATATCCAAAGCCACAATCAAAAAACAGTACATCTTGAGAAATATTATATGGCTTAGGTATTTCAACTTCCATCAAAGTTAACCCCCATGTTTGTCTATCCTTCTCTATCATATAGAAAACTACAATTCGCTCCTATTTGTCGCAGCGTGATGTTTTATAGTCTAAAGCCTTCTTTGATAAGGGTTCCAACCAAATTTTTCATACAGTAACAATTCATAGAAGTAGTTTCTGAGCGCGTTCAAACAAACAATCTTCTTTATAATATTACTGTACATTAATTAATGATCCCATTGTCATTAAGTCAAGTCTCGTTAAATAGTTTATGACACCAATAATCGAGATGTTGGTCTATTAACGATCACTTTTCGAGTGTGTCATAAAATTGTTGACTATAAACGTTTATGGTTGAGGCAAACTGAATTTTGCTTAATTAAAATCGTTTAATAATTCTCTGTGTTTTTGAATGATTCTGCGTTTTGAAAAACTATTTGAGACTGCAAAAATAACAGGCCATGTTCGAATTTATAACCTATAACATAAATATTTGTATCTGGATTTTTACATAATTCTAATTTTTCTATTAGAAGCGAGGCGATAAACTCAAGTCATTGTTACCGGTTACATTTGCTAATATAACTTATTTGACACAAAGCTTTATTGTCGGACATTTTAATCAATGAATCATAGTAGTACACCGCTAAAAAGAGACGCAGACAAGTATAAATTATTTGAATTTCAAATTTACATATAACACTACATGTGTTCAAAAGTAACAGTACTAGTCGCCATAACTCGGTAGCACAATTGGTAGAGCCACAGAACGAAACGCTGACGATGCCGGTTCAAGTCCTGCCCGAGTCGAAATTTTTTTCAATTTATTTTCGATTTTTAAATTATACAGTTCCTTCATGTAAAAAAAATAAAGATTTCAAACATGCAATCTTCTTTGTTGAGAAAAAGATTTGCAAATCCCAAGTATACATTTATATCGATTAAAAGTGAACAACAATGTTTTACATGAATACAACTCATAAACTTTAAGCACATGTTTTAGTATCGCTGTGGCCTGCAGACGTTTAAGGTAAAATGTGTTCAAAATATAATAACAATTTACTTTTTACGTTTCATAAATAAAAATAGGATTTTTGCCGGCGGTTCACTTGATGGTAGATGTAATACCGCAGCCATATAACATGTTACACAATGCCCCGTCGACCATTTTGACTTATGGATATTCGGAACGTTTTTTTCCCCACCCCCCCTCTAAAAAACCCCAAAACCTGCGCCCCAAAAAAAAATTTTTTTTTAAGTGTGTGTGTAAACTATATACAGTATGTTACACAATGCCCCATCGACCTATTTTGACTTTGGATATTCGGAACGTCAACGCACTGGTTTTGTATCACAGGAAATCTGGTACCACGACATCAACATCCTTAATTAATTAAGTCTCCCCGTGACCACGGCTGCTGCAAAGCATCCGAAACGTCGGGCCGAAGTTAAAAATCATTTTCAAATAAGTTTAACTAATATATCGCGTTATAAACCGTTAAAGTGGTTTTTATTTAAATAATTAATTCTAATTAGAAAAATAGTAAATTGTATGTAGTTTGATTTTAAAAGGATGGATTTTTAGTTGTGAATAAGTAGTTTAAAAAAAGTATAAATCATATACTTTATTAACAACATTGTGTTAACTATGTAGGAATGTAGTAATTTAAAAAGATACTTTGTTGGAGTCTATAAGTTTTCAAAGTTTTATAGTCTTTAAGTACTGTGTATGTATATCATAACAATTATAGGAAAGTTAGTTCATTCTAAGTTTAGTAATAACTATATAGTTTGTTTGAATGATGGGGATAGGGTGCCAAATTTTCCAGGAAGTTATAACTTTAAACACTTATAGTATACTCTAAAGAATATAAAAAAAATTTGAACTTGTGTATTTAGGAGGAGTACAATTTAAATAAACTTTAAGTTTAGATAAATTAACTAAACATATATGAAAATTATTTTTCACTTCAATCTCCCCATGGTCTACAAAGCATCCGAAACGTCGGGCCGATGTTTAATATTTCGCGTTTCAAACCGTTAAAGTTTATTTAAATGTGTACTCCTCGCGTAAAGTACAGACAGTAAGGTAGTTTACACATTTATCATCTAATAAATATTTGACACTTTACGCATAGAGTACCTACTCAGTCACGATATAATTCAATTACATCATATAATATTATAATACGGTTGGAAACACTAATTTCACTAATGCGTCAATTGGGTTTTGCAGATTCTTTGTGTTCTTTTAAGTTAACATTATAATAGACAGAGGTACGAACAAAGAAAAGAAGCTTTTAGCTACGCTATAAAAATTATACAATATCAAAGGGTAAGAAATAGATGGGCTTCTAACAAAAGAAGGAAATGGACGCATTTGAGTTGTAGTTTGATTAATTGTCTTCATAAGTAATTTGTATTTTAAGAGTATTCGGAATTGTAATAGGTATGTTCTGCAATGCAATCTTTAACCTACAGCTCAATTAGTATAGCAACAGCACGGAACGCTGACGATGCCAGTTCAAGTCCCGCACGAGTCGTAGATTTTTTTTAATTTATTTGCAATTTTTTATAAAAGTTAATTTCAGGAATAAAAAAGCCTTTGAAACTGTTATAATAACTGAACTTATTCGAAATTACTTTGTGCGATAGCTTAAGTTTCTAGAACCCATTGTCTTACAAAGCATAATCCGAAGCTGGGTTCGGGTCCGATCGTTAATAAAATATTTCGCGTTTCAGACCGTTATCGTGTTCTCGTATTTAAATATGCATGATATTTAAATGTTATTAGGTTCTTGAAAACTTCCTGAAATCTCTAGCGTAAACAATAAGAAACATTTCTGTATAAGTTTCACTAACTTTACTCACGTATTTGTTTAGATTAATGTTTAGACATCTTTGTCAAAACGTATATAACCTGAAAAACCTATTACATGTTCTCAGGAACCTAAGACCACACGGTATGATGCAATGCGTTTATCTAAAACTGTACAAGAGAGGAAAACTAGAGATGTACCGTACGTATTTATAATTTAAAATAACTAATTTCAGTACGGTTAAAGTTACATAAATGGGTGGATTGTTTTGTAAATGCTGTGACCTGGTGACCTTAAGCTTCACAATAGCTCTTTGCCAATCAGAGTGCAGCTTTTCACATACAAGAACCGTCTTAAGCTTTGAGGGCCAAGTGCCTCAATAAAATAAGTTTTGCAGTACATACCTATTAAAATTACGACCATTTAATAGGCTAAATTTCTGTAATTCACGCGAGTGTGTAATGTTATTTGTAAATAAGTTTAACATTTCGCGTTTTAAACCGTTAAAAGTGTTTCATTTAAAAGGCTACTACTTTACACCAAAATTAAACCCGTGACCATGGCTGTTGTAAAACTCACATAAGGTCCAACGTTAATAATATTTACAATATACATATAAAAAACATTATAACGAAAGTATGTATGACTCAAATCTAAAGTTACATAAATTTTTGTTACACAACCAAGCAAGTATTTAATTAAAACTTTTTTAGCAGACGTTTAAGCATTCGAAACGTCGGGCCACAGTAAAAATAATCTGAAAATAAGCTTAAACAAAACATTTCTCGTTTTAAACCTTTAAAAGTGTTTTATTTTAATGTTTACTTCTCGCGTAAACTACAAACAGTACATAACTAGTAGTCGATAAGATTTCTGTATCGTAACAATTTGTGTCCCAAAATTCGAACCTACGACCTAGTCGCGCGTAACTCATTTTTAACCAACGCGTGTAACACTATACACTCTCAGAGTTGAAACTTCAAGGCGGTTTTTGGGAAGAAAATCTGAGCGTTTTCCATTCACAAAGCAATATCGGCTAGCTACATCTTCAAAGCCATTCAGAGCACTTCAAAAATGGCGATGTAATGTACTCGCTTCACCTTGATATTTCAATAAATCCTCTTGCTACTGAAGTTTCTTATTTCTTATTACATATCCATACCACGCGATATACAAACGGTATATAATAAAATGAAGTTGCGTTATTTAAACTTAATTATGGCTAGACCGATTTTAATAAAACTTACAAGGGTAGTAAATGTTACACTAAAGAAGTTGAAAGTTCTATATTGGTGGAATCAAGACCCACCATGCTACTGCGTTGGTATATACATTTTTATTCATGTTGTTTTGAGTTTTAGTTAAGTTTTTTTTATTACTATTTTTATAGTATTGGACTCGTTGCGTGTCCCATGATATTTACACCAGAAAAAGGATTTACTTGATTGTAGATGTAAGTTTAAAAACTTTAACTTTAAAAAATAAAAACTTTTTTAAAAATATCAATAATAATATATCGCGTTTTAAACCGTTAAAGTGTTTTATTTAAATGTGTACTACTCGCGTAAACTATAGACAGTATTTATTTCACCCATATAACATAGTAAACATCGATGTCGATCTATTGTTAATATACACAAAAAGATTTAAAAAATCCCAATTTCTACAAACTGAAATCGAAACGTGATTAAATTTGCCCACTTCTTCTGTGAACGGTGGGTAACCCAGACTGAATTTCTTTATTTCTCTTACTATCCAGACTTTCTAGACGAAGTCCAACCAATGTTTGGAATTAATTACAAACTGTTATAATCAGAATTGCATTAGATAGCATTATATAAATTGAAAATCTATTCGTCCTCGCAATAGCACGGAACGCTATATATGTCCGTTCAATTCCTGCCCGTGTCGTAAAGTTTTTACGAACCAAATATATTTTTTATTGACTAGACATGTTGTAATCGGTGGGGATAGAATCTACGATATTTAGTATTGCTATCATTAGACCAGCCTAATTATTTTATTATGGGCGGTATAGATAGTAGAATAATTATGTTACCTGTTCCACGGACCCATATTGCCGCCGTGAAAACACGCCGCGCCTGGAGATCAACTCGCTCGCTGATGAACTGTTGAAAAAACGGGTCAAAGTTAGTAATTGCATTCTCAATGCCTACTAATTATCTTTCCGTTCCATAAGGTTGAATTGCCCTTTTTATGATAAAGGAGGACAGACATAGGTAAACTTGACGAGGTGAAATATCTGAGCCATATAGTATTTAAGAGATACGATTGTTCGTGAATAGGGATTGCGCTATTACAGACAAAATCCTATGTTTTAACATTATTTACTCGTTAAAATATTAAGCATAATCTAATATGCATATTGTGGAAACGTTGTTACGTAATACTTACGTTGCCCTTTCTAGATAACGTAAATATTACAGAACAAATTACGTACGACGGGCTCTTAGTGTTAACAATGTACGGCTTACAATCAACGGGTCGCTGGTTCGATCCCCACCGGGTCCAACATGAAACATCGTCATCATTTAATATCCAGATTTGTATGGATATTAAACTGGTGGATGAAATATTCGAATTCCGTTCGGGTCACGAAACAACAGCCACGGATGAAAAAGCCGAGACGTTTAATAGCGTTAAGGTACGATGGTTCGTGAGTAGGAATTGCGCTATCACAGACAAAATCCAACATGTTTCAGAAAAAATATTAATTAATCATTACCACCGAGTCATATTGGACCCGGTGAGGATCGAACCAACGAATGTTAGCTGTATTGTTAACATTATCAACGAGGCCGTGAAGCTCAATTTGTATCGTAATATACACGTTATCTAGAAAGGGCAACGTGAATATTACTAAATTCACGTAGCCATGATTCAGTTTCCACGCGTTTCCACGGTTTGGATACTGGATCATGCTTCATACTAGGCTTTGTTAATTATTGTAATTAAGAATATTAGATATTAGCAATGCCCGTGACTACGTCCCCGTGAAATATTTATTTTGGGTATCATGTAACTGATTATTAACAATAAGCTTTATAAATTATGGTGCCTACGACGCCGACCACATCCCGCCGTTTTTCGCGAGATAATCTTATAAGACATACATACTTTTTGTAGATAATTTAAATTAAAATTATTCTTTTTAAGTGTTCCAACAAATATGGAATTGAATGGAATGGAAGGAATTGAATATGGAAATAAATAGGAATTGAATGCAATGGAAAATAATTTTTTCCACATTTTTCTTCACATTTCACTCTGTTTCTTTCACCTGCAAAGAAACACGAAGAATTCCTTTTTAGCCTAAAGCGTAAAAAGGAATTCTTTATCTTAATAATATTTGTGTAGATTAATTCTTGCTTCAAACCAAAGTTTAACATAATGTAGCTCTATAAAATAAAATTTCCAAAATTAAACGTGGCTTAAACATTACAAATTGCTCCCGCAGACCCGAACTACTTGTTTTCAGGCTAATCTCATGTCATTGAAACTCCGTCGTTTAACATCTGCTTTGTTTCCTCGAGTGGCAGCAAATTTTCGCTTCCTACTCTAATTAACTTCAATTTCCTCTAGACGCAAAGAGCTCATGTTACCTTTTACCATTTTCACTAAGTGTTAAAATTAGTATTAACTTAAAAAAACTTCTAAGTTAAACGGTTTTATTTTTTGTGCACTAAAAAAAACTATAAAGAAATATATATTTTGACAAAATCATTGTGTTTTACTAGTGTAGCCCTTTCATTTGATACCCATATTGAGGGGGTTAAGAAAAAATATGTAATCCGCCATTTTGTATCGGCGGCCATCTTGGATTTATATTAATTAATAACTCTAAAAATCGATAATAAATTGAAAAGATTGACTCATGCAGGACTTGAGCCGACGACCTGTGGGACTTGGTGGCCCAATCGGTTAGAGCAACAGCTCAGAACGGTAACGATGCTGGTTGCCCGAGTCGATTTTTTTTTTCAATGTATTTTCGAATTTTAATCTTTTATCTTTTAGTCCCATCATTGCAATAGAAAATACTAATTATTAACAACATTACTTACTCTTTAAAATATTAAGCATGATCTAATATGCATATTGTGGAAACGTTGTTACGTAATACTTACGTTGCCTTTTCTAGACAACGTAAATATTACAGAACAGATTACGTATGACGGGCTCTTAATGTTAACAATGTACGGCTAACAATCAACGGGTCGTTGGTTCGATCCCCACCGGGTCCAACATGAAACATCGTCATCATTTAATATCCAGATTTGTATGGATATCAAATTGGTGGATGAAATATTCGAATTCCGTGCGGGTCTACGAAACAACGGCCACGGATGAAAAAGCCGAGAAGTTTAATAGCGTTCCGATTTCAGTCAGATTTGCGAATATCCAAAGCCGAATTAAGCCGGCAGCGCATCTCGTTTGGATGTTATAATATGGCTGGGGGCTCATGCTTGCCGTCTTCCTCTACCATAAAAACAAACTGGCCGAGTGTGGATTTTTATTTACTATGTTTCCTCGGGGACCCATCAAGGAATCCATCGTATAATTAAAGTAACGTTTTATTATTTTTATTTGTTTAAAAATAGTGTAAAAACCGCTATATGATAGATTCGCGTGTGATTACAATATGTACCTAAACCTATTATGGAAGTAAAAATTACGAAAACAACAGGAAACAGTTTAACGCCATTTTACACTTACATTTTAAATAAAACTAAAACTGACAGCTTAGCTAGACCTTGAGTTCTTTCAAGTTTAATCAATAATGAAGCAGAAGTTTTAGTTCTCGGAACCAGTCGCTAAGTTTCTTCGCTATTTGTTGCAAAAATGCGACTGCTTTGTCACCTGAACCTTTTTCTTATTTTGAGATGAGCATGGAAAAGCGGAGCATCAACTATTTTCAATTTTTTTTTAAGTATTATTAAATTTTATAGTTATAGTGTTATTTAAGTAGGTATGACTGTTAAAAAATACCTATTTTTTAAGTAACACCAAAACATATCTTAAGTTTCTTAAAAGGTATAAGTAATTGCCACAGTAACGTTATAAAAAGCAACTGAAACATCGATTCGCACTGAAAGTCAATAAAATATTAAATTCAAAGAAATATTTTATGTAAAGTATACAACTCGGGCATCAGTGGGCAACAGTGGGCATGGGATGAACACATTTCTGTGTCCGTTTCATTTACACATATGAGTGTAACTGTAACGGCAATGTTTAATGGCAAGTAAATGATCAGACATTTGCCCGACCAAAACAATCTATTCTCCCGGGATTTGAGACCAGGACGAGGTTCTATTGAGCTCAACGCAACGCTAGGCAACACGTTTTACCATTTAGCTATAGAGGCAGTCAGCTTCGAGTTAAGAACCTATTTATTTAAATAAAACGCGATATATTAGTTAAACTTATTTGAAAATGATTTTTAACTAATATATCGCTTTTCAAACCATTAAAGTGATATATTTTAATGTGTACTAATCGCGGAAACTATAGACAGTATTTACCTATTTATTTTCTTAATACTTAACTAATACATTCAACCACTAGAGCAGTTTATCACAGATTCTCGGATCCCTAAGTATATAAAAACAAACATGGCGCGTGTTTGGCTTCAACTTGAAGCTAGCTCGAACAACAGGATTATGTTTTTGTTTACACAGGATTTACATAAATGCTATTCACTGAAATCAAATTATTTCATTGTTCGTTTTTATTGACCATCACTAAAACTGAAACGTATACTTTATCATATTTCAACTTGGGTAGCCTGGAAGAGATCGTTTGTTAGCGATAAAGCTTTTGTCTTCTTTGCTTGTATCTAATTCTTTTCTTTTGTGCAATAAAATGTTAGTAAATAAATAAATAATTTAACGATCCTAGCTTTTATCTAACCGTGCTATTATACGCGAGAGGCCATAAGTTCGAATCTCAGGAAAACATTCCTTTAATATGTATTGTTGGTATATACCACCATCTATCTAATTTTTTTTTGACATAGGAAGACAAACTTTCATGGGATTCATTTGAGAGTAGGTAAAATACCCCAGCCGTATAATATCGGACAAGATTTGCTGTTGAGCTATTTTGGCCTTGGAAAGTACGAAATCTACAGACTAAAATCGTAACACGATTTTACGGCTTTGTCTGTCTGTGGACGGTGTTCGAACCCACAGCCGTCCATTGAAATTGCAAGAAGCCCGTCAATTAATACTATAATAATAATGTATAAACACTTTACAACCTTAAAGGTCGTCTATGTTAGCATGTTAGTTCTTAAAAATAAGTTAGTATGATAAATTCAAAAAAAGAAAACATTTTTTTTTATAAATGAGCGTCCTTTGTTTTAAAACGTCTTTTCACGTTAACAAACAAACTGCTGACTTTTGTTGCGAATGAAATTAAAAAAGGTTGTCCTCTAAGTAGGAATATAATTTCATCATACATTTTCAAAATTTTAACGGGACATGACGCGATTCCGAACAAAGCTCTCCGCTCGCGGCTTCATGCCAATGCTTTTATGAATTTAATTAAAGCACCCAGCTACCCACCTTTCGCGTGTAACTCCTAGTATCGTACCGTAAAAAAACTTTCTTTTTAATGTAAGAATTCCGCCATCTTGTACTTTTATTGACGCGATTAATTCCTACGTCTCGATAATATTTTTTATACACTTCTCAACTCATCAATTTTATATTATTTTTGTTTAATATACAAACTATAAAAACTCCGAAATTTTAAGAGCTTTTCGTGTAAATTAAATATCGATTTTAGATTTTTTTAAATACGACATGGGCAGGTCTTGAACCCCCATCCACAGCGGTCTGTCTTTGCTCTAACAATTGAGTAAGTGACTGCGAAGGTTCAAAGTACTCTCGGTGGTATTTTTTTTTGTGCCATAATTGAGTAAATGTTTACGAGTTTAGAAGTTCAATTATTAGGATTCTGGTTCGAATTCCGGAAAGACAATATATTTTGGGCACAAAAGTATAATCAATTGATTACTATACCTAACAATAATTTATAGTGAAACGACAGGAAATTTCAAGCCCCAGATGGGGAAACTAATTTTTTATTATATTATGAATTATTA